ATGACGGCGTAGTGTGTTACTAATGGTTTTCTTTGAGACTGTGGTCCCAACTCTCGTCATCTTGAACTTCTTCCATCTTCTAATAATTGCGCCAACAGTTGTTGCCTTCTCACCAAACTGCTTGCCTATTGTCCCGTAGCCCATCCCAGCCTTGTGCAGGTCTACAATTATATCCCTGATGTCCTTACACAGCTCTCTGGTCTTGGCCATTGTGGAGAGGTTGGAGTCTGTTTGATTGAGTGTGTGGACAGGTGTCTTTTATACAGGTAACGAGTTCAAACAGGTGCAGTTAATACAGGTAATGAGTGGAGAACAGGAGGGCTTCTTAAAGAAAAACTAACAGGTCTGTGAGAGCCGGAATTCTTGCTGGTTGGTAGGTGATCAAATACTTATGTCATGCAATCAAATGCAAATTAATTACTTTAAAATAATACAATGTGATTTTCTGGATTTTTGTTTTAGATTCCGTCTCTCACAGTTGAAGTGTACCAATGATAAAAAATTACAGACCTCTACATGCTTTGTAAGTAGGAAAACCTGCAAAATCGGCAGTGTATCAAATACTTGTTCTCCCCACTGAATGTATGTATGTGTATATATACAGTGGGGAAAAAAAGTATTTAGTCAGCCACCAATTGTGCAAGTTCTCCCACTTAAAAAGATGAGAGAGGCCTGTAATTTTCATCATAAGTACACGTCAACTATGACAGACAAATTGAGAGAAAAAAAATCCAGAAAATCACATTGTAGGATTTTTAATGAATTTATTTGCAAATTATGGTGGAAAATAAGTATTTGGTCACCTACGAACAAGCAAGATTTCTGCCTCTCACAGACCTGTAACTTCTTCTTTAAGAGGCTCCTCTGTCCTCCACTCGTTACCTGTATTAATGGAACCTGTTTGAACTTGTTATCAGTATAAAAGACACCTGTCCACAACCTCAAACAGTCACACTCCAAACTCCACTATGGCCAAGACCAAAGAGCTGTCAAAGGACACCAGAAACAAAATTGTAGACCTGCACCAGGCTGGGAAGACTGAATCTGCAATAGGTAAGCAGCTTGGTTTGAAGAAATCAACTGTGGGAGCAATTATTAGGAAATGGAAGACATACACAACCACTGATAATCTCCCTCGATCTGGGGCTCCACACAAGATCTCACCCCGTGGGGTAAAAATTATCACAAGAACGGTGAGCAAAAATCCCAGAACCACACGGGGGGACCTAGTGAATGACCTGCAGAGAGCTGGGACCAAAGTAACAAAGCCTACCATCAGTAACACACTACGCCGCCAGGGACTCAAATCCTGCAGTGGCAGACGTGTCCCCCTGCTTAAGCCAGTACATGTCCAGGCCCGTCTGAAGTTTGCTAGAGTGCTTTTGGATGATCCAGAAGAGGATTGGGAGAATGTCATATGGTCAGATGAAACCAAAATATAACCTTTTGGTAAAAACTCAACTCGTCGTGTTTGGAGGACAAAGAATGCTGAGTTGCATCCAAAGAACACCATACCTACTGTGAAGCATTGGGGTGGAAACATCATGCTTTGGGGCTGTTTTTCTGCAAAGGGACCAGGACGACTGATCCGTGTAACGGAAAGAATGAATGGGGCCATGTATCGTGAGATTGAGTGAAAACCTCCTTCCATCAGCAAGGGCATTGAAGATGAAACGTGGCTGGGTCTTTCAGCATGACAATGATCCCAAACACACCGCCCGGGCAACGAAGGAGTGGCTTCGTAAGAAGCATTTCAAAGGTCCTGGAGTGGCCTAGCCAGTCTCCAGATCTCAACCCCATAGAAAATCTTTGGAGGGAGTTGAAAGTCCGTGTTGCCCAGCGACAGCCCCAAAACATCACTGCTCTAGAGGAGATCTGCATGGAGGAATGGGCCAAAATACCAGCAACAGTGTGTGAAAACCTTGTGAAGACTTACAGAAAACGTTTGACCTGTGTCATTGCCAACAAAGGGTATATAACAAAGTATTGAGAAACGTTTGTTATTGACCAAATACTTATTTTCCACCATAATTTGCAAATAAATTCATAACAAATCCTACAATGTGATTTTCTGGATTTTTTTCCTCAGTTTGTCTGTCATAGTTGACGTGTACCTATGATGAAAATTACAGGCCTCTCATCTTTTTAAGTGGGAGAACTTGCACAATTGGTGGCTGACTAAATACTTTTTCCCCCCACTGTATATATGTGTGTGTGTGAGTATATAAGCTCAGGTGGGACAGTTGTCATCATCTGCAACAGCAGCACCATGTGAGTCTCGACTCCAACCATTTCCTTTCCTTTGGTTAATTTAACGAGAGTAGAATGAGTTCCACTGGGTATGGTTAATGCAGTCAAAATGAACCGGGATTAAGTGCTGTCTTTAGTCTCCAGCCTCATGCTTTCACCAGTCAGGTAAAAAGAGAGGAGAGAGGAAGAATGAATAATTCATGAAGAAATAGTACAGGGTGTACTATATTACCAGAACATAGTCCACCATCATAATCAATGTGCTTCATGGCATGCATAAGCATAGTACACATATTTCAGTTGAATGCATTCAGTTGTACAACTGACTAGGTATCCCACTTTCCCTACACACCCTTGTAAACATGCAAATGAACACAACTGCCCAGCATTTATAGGACTGAAAATTAAGAGATGGAGCTCCTTCTAGTGGCTGAAGGATGCAACTCGGGGTGACCTGCTGGGTGGGGGAGAGGATCCAGTCACCCAGATAAGCCACCAATTGACATTATTACTTGAACACACCATGTTTAAATTAGTTAATCTCACGGCCGCCTCAGAAACTCAATTGTCAGTACTATGCGGCTTATTTTGGTTGTTGGGGCCTTTGCACATACAGAAATTTGTATTTGTCTAATCCAATTTCATCCTTAATGCAAATCAGTTTATGTACCAGGGATAATGGGCAGATTTCCCACCCACTGTCCTGCTGCCCTGGAATTCATTCCATTTTATGAAGGCAGGCAGAGGGAGAACATGTAGAGCAGAGATGTTGTTAAATTGCCCATTTCCTAATCAAGTATATAAAACCTGCTCTCGACCTCTCAACCTGCTGAACTGTTTATGGGCTTAATAGCCAAATCAGCACTTCTGTGAATTCTACAAATGAGAGAGAGCCCAAGGCAGAGCAAAATGAACGAGACCATAGTTCCACACAAGCCATTAAACGATTGAAGAATTCTAAGTTCACTTAATCGGAAGAGCATTACACTGGGTGAGCACTCTAAACTCATGATGTGGTTAGGGGGAATGTGAGCCTTCTTTCACTGAGTCTACATATTGCGTATCACAAAGATACAGTTCCCTTCAGCTTCAAAACACCACTGAGTCATGTAGGCTTTGGTTTTCATAACGCTGCAAAGAAACGTATTGTAAGAGCCAGACACAATGAATAAATAATAAAGAAATACCAAAATGGCATCGTGACCCAACAGGGATGTGCCGAGTCACCTTGGGGGACAGTGACATGCAGAGGCCATTGATTCAGAAAACTTGCGTCTGTCCCTGCAGTGAATCACTTCCTTCAGTCAAAAAGACACACACGTACACAGACATACACACATACACACGGACACCAGTACACACGTACCACACACACCTCAAAAGGGTCACAGACTGAGACATCCATCTAAAATAGCCACAGTATCAAAACAACATGATCATGAAGTCATTGCATTTTCATTTGGTAAAAACTGTACTGTTCACCTTGGCCTTTTACCACTGACAAACCACACAAAAGATCAACTACTCAACAGTGACAATCACAAATGGCTAAAAGGAAGAAGGACCTCAAATTATCTTGCTCAGCAAAGAAAGGACGAAATGTGCTTTGTTGCAAAATAATATCTTCCTTAAAGCAGCCTTGATGAGTGGTGACATAACTTAGCCAGATGTGCAGGGCTAAAATCCTGTTAAAAACCATGTTAGATGTTGACATACTGCTGATTTACTCACATGGCTCCATGATTTCACAACACATTGCTATTACCGAACAGTGGCACTGCCAGGTAATAACAACTGCATCATATAGCATTGGCTTACATTAGAATAGCTTCTGCTAGGTCAAGGAGAGAGTTGCAGACAAATGCTTTCATACTTCCATTATATTTTGAGGGTTTACAAGGTTAACAGCCTTCCAACAACTTGGCTATGCATCCAGCTATAAAAAGGACATACTTTACATTTTAAAAAACAGATGTGCACTTTGTAGGTTTGCGTTTCCAGTTAAAGAGGTTAATTGTGAAGATGTGACAGGTCTCTCCTTGCCCCTATGCGGAGAGCTGAAAAAACAATTATTGGACGAGCCATACAATCTTGCGATTCCCATCACATCTGATTCCATACAAGACTTTGACTGACCTTCCCTTGGGCAAGCGGAAGCTCAATGGAAGCAGTAGAGACTGGATAGTTGTTACAATTGTGGATGGATATTATAGCTTTGTCATTCAGAGAATAATCACACCCCCCTCAACTTCTAAAACATAATGCTTCCCTAATGGTCTTACGGAACCCAACAGCATACATACACAACAGCAATTACTTCTAGCTCAGAACAGGACTAGGCTGACCAAATGCAATAATGGTTTCCCCACCGGGACATCCTTACTGATTGCCTTCTCTTGACCAAATCCTGAGTGCCACTGACACATAGCAGGTCGAGATAGCTGCATAATGAGTGTGCATCTATCCAGTTTGACCCTCAGAGCCCACTGTGAGTGTGTCACTGGGGCACTAGATCGCAAGGTTGACCACAGTCTTTTAGTACCTTACAATGTCTATGAAAATGAGAGTATCCTCAAAGAATATGTTGGATTATGGTCAGTTACACAAACATAATGAGTATGTTGTAACCGAGCATGTGAAAACCACTCCAGGCTGAAATGTGAGACTGTTGTGGCTGTCATAGTGAGTTAATGGAGTAGAATTGCCACTGCATCCCCTGGTGGCAGAGATAATTGTTTAACAAGCATCTCTCAGTGGCCGGAGAAGTGAACAGTCCCTTTGCTGCTTGCAGCTGTGTAGTCCTGAAACGGCTCTTTCTTCATCACTCTGTTTGGGATCAGAATAACAACCCCAATCCTCGTTAGTAGCACTGACTGCACTGTTACCTGCCCATGCCAGACAGCTGCATGAAAAACACACACACACACACACACACACACACACACACACACACAACCGTTAACATTAGGCTACTTGTGGGACATTTCAAGCTGTCATTGTCACCTCACAGTTGTGCTCTTCAAGTTCATTGTCTGATAATGTACGAGAACACATTAGAAACCAAGAAAACTAGCAAACATATGCTGGCTAACCGTACAACTGGAGCTGGCACTGATGGCAATTTGTTTTATTTCTGCTAACGCGTCGTTGACGAGCACAGAGTTGACTAGAAGTAAATTGGCTGGTTAGCTAGCCAATTAAAAATCACAGTTTGACTACTATTTGACAAATCAGTTGATAAAATAAACTATTTTATAATACCATGTGCCTATTCCTACCTGAATGCTGGGTGAATATATTAATTGCTGGGTCCGGCACGTTAACCGCAGCAACCCTGCCTGGCGGCGTTCCAGTGCTAACGTTACTGACTTCCCGTGGTCTCCTCCCGGCGCTTCCCCTGTTCCCCTTCCCCGGGTGTTGCTGCTGTTGTTGTGGCGATGGCGGTTGGAGCCCTGTCGAAGCCCCCTCACCGACGCGGCCTACCTGTTGTCCCATCCCCGCAGTTCGGTGTAAAGATGTTCGGGACGAAGCTATCCAACCCTGCACACTCCCAGTTCACATCCCCCAACTATGGAGCGGCCTGTTCCGAAGTCTTCCTCAACCCCCTTTTCTCCACCCGTCTCCTTGCTAGCTAGCTTAACGTTAGCTCGATAGCTATTTCCGTGTGAAACCCACCCACCTTGCCTCAAACAATAAAGCAAAAGTCTGATAAATCACTGAAAACAACTCTCTGCCAACGGTCCGTGGGATCTCGAGACAGTAATGTTCGGTCCCCCACGTCCGAGTTTCTATGAAATACGGAGCCTTTCAGGGTCGTTTCGCCGTGCTCCGGCCACTGCGCGCCCCCTCTGCCGCCGCCATCTTTACCGCAGAATAGAGCTTGCTATTTCGCAAAGGGGGGTTCACCCTTCACCAAACTCCATTCCTGTCCCCAACATTACTAGGACCTCCGAGCCACTAGGCGGACAGCTCGTGCACCAACCATAGAACCTCTGTCGCGATTCGCTAGACCATCATGCTTGCATTGTTCACAACTTTTATGTATGAATTTAGACCTCTGGAAAAACAAAATGTCTATTGTTCAACGTCAGAATATACACTCTTGAAATACGGTCATAACAGTGACCTAATGTTATTTGTGTGAAAGATATTTCTCCCATAAAAACACTTTAAAGACAGCCTGTGGCTGTTTTCTTTTGGCAACGACAGATCGGATCCATACCATTGACATGACAGCTAATGTTTCATGCCTCAGTATGTCCTCCTCCCCCTTTTCCTACTGCACATACTGGTGTGATTTCATGGATAGGATCCCACAACTGTGATTTGAACTGACTACATTTTATATTAAGTCAAATCAAATTGTATTTGTCACATGCGCCGAATACAACAGCTGTAGACCTTACAGTGAAATGTTTACTTAACCAACTATGCAGTTTTAAGAAAATAGTTTATTTAGTAAATATTTTCTTCACTCTAACGTTTTTAAAAAAGTAACAATAAAATGAGGCAAATAGTTTTAACAATAAACTTAATGACAAAAAGCATTTGGCAAAATCCATTGACATTTTAATTGTCTTGACATTGTGAAATGTACAATAGTCTATATGGAAGGTACATCAAAAACCATAACTGTTCTTTTGAAGTAAAAAATGCTGCAGTCACAATTCGAACCCAGAATTTGGTTAAAAGACCAAAAATATACTATAAGATTTATAGCTTTATTTTCAACCTGACATATAATAACTAATGCACTGTAATGGTAAATAATATCCAACATATCTCGTATAATACCAAATAATTGTTTTAAACACCATAACTCCATAACTGTATCAAGAAAAATAGAGGAATGTCAATCTCTGTTCAAAAATAGAAATATCTGAACAAAAGTATCACTCATTTTCTAAATGATGAAAAGAGCATCATAATAATCTCAAAGGTTGCAAGTGGGCTCGAAATAACCACAGAAATACTACCACAAATAGTGAACAGTCTCCCAATTCCAATACAGGCTGAAGTAGTCTTGCAACAAAATATCTTGCTAGGATATATATACGCGCACACATTTTTCTCTATATAACACAATATTTTGTAAGCGGTCCTTCTTAAATAATTACTTGGATAATTAAAATGGAAATGTATGGATCATTTAGGATTATTAATAGCAATGGATTGTCATGAGAAAGAAGTGTAGAAATTCAAAAATCTTACATTACAGCGCCATCTGGTGGTTCAGATTAGCACCATACATGGTTTGAGTCTAGCATCAAAAACTGCTCCAGAGAGATAAACATCACAAAATGACGAGACTATCAGACTCATGGATTGAAGCTGACATACAATCCCTCATTTACACCATGAATGGCAACAGTTAGTGTAATTATGTAATTTCTGACAAAAGCAAATAATGCACTAATGTACAGCAGCACCTCAATCTGAAACCTGCCAAAGCTACATATATTTAGGCATTGGCACTAATCAAGTAAATACATGTTTCATTTATCAGTCATACAGACAATGTTAACATTGGAGCAGCCAGCTGCAACAGCAGTGCAGTTTCCACCAACTCAAGCTCAGGTGTGGAATTTCTGATTTGTATAGAATCACCTTCAATATTTACTTTGAATAAATATGTATTCTTAATTAGCATTAATCTGTTGATGTGTGTAAGGCTGCACATCTGACAAAACCGTCATACCAGTAATCACATAACAAACAAATCTCAATTTTGTTGAATAATCTAACATCTCCATCAGGGTTGGGCTCAATTCAGAATTGAATGGAGCATGCCTGAAAATCCAATTCAATTGTTGAATTTAAATTGCAATTCAAAATTTCAATGAAAGGAAATATAATTGAATTAAGAGAAATTCAAATGCCTCTATTCTATATTAGGTGTAGTCTATACAAAGATGCATCTTATACATGAAACATGTCGTTATATACATGCATATAAAATACTGTTAAAACAAAACAATTGATTTTCAGAACAAACTCTTAAAATTAACGATCAAGGAAAACAAAACCTGTATGTGAATATTCTAAGTTATTATATTTCATTAAATCGATTCAATTTTGTTCAATGAGGAACATACATTTCCCAGAATGCATTAGTGTAACCCTCAAGTTGACCCTGAGGACTTCAAAAAGAAGCCAAACAAATGAAAGGGTTGGTGGAAATATAATTGGCTATTCTAAGCACCAGGGTTAAAAGAGTATATGAACATTGTTTCCAGAGAAAAAAGTGATACATTATTTGGTGTCTGGAACTGTAACCAGTGAGATTCAATGAAACTCATGTTGTATGACAGAGCGAAATTTCTTTGAATTGAACGGAATTACATTCTACTTCCTGTCACGCAAACTCTACATCCTGTGGGGTGCAGCCAATTCAACTAATTTCAACTCATGAGTTGAATGAGAGGTAATTTCAAAGTTCTGAAATGAGGCCAACCCTTATCTCCATCAACATGATTGAAAACACCCTGGTGACTAGACTAGTAGAGACAAAATACAGTAGCTGAACATTTGAAACATCTGGGTTCATGGAAAAAAAAATACATTCAAAAACATTGTTCAGGTAAATTATTAACTAAATATATTACTGTGTTTGCTAAGAGGTAAACTTTTGGGCAAAGCTGCCATTTCACAATATTGGCCTTGAAAGTGCATGTCAAATGAAAGTATGGTAATTGTATCCAGGCTGAAAATAAAAGTATAAATAAAATAAAAGTTACTGTTCACATTTCAATGTGCTCTATGTTAACCTGATTTCCAATGGGATTGTCATCATAAAACGAAAAGGATAAATAAGGCATCTTTGTGAATGACATCACACAGAAGCCATTTTATTATTTCACACCCACTCCATGCCCTTTCAAATGAATAACGCAAATCAAAGTCTATCAACAAAAAAAACAAAGTAAAACAAAAGTAAAAAGGCTTGAAAGAAACTGGAGGTTGTGCTCTTCCTAAACACATTCAATAGATTGCCGAGTGTTGACGGTTCAGTAGTTCAATGTGATGTCACTCACAGCCCCTCAGAGTCCACTGCTGGGTTGGTCTGGAGGTGACAGCTCCAGGAACGTGGCTTCAGCAGCTCTAGGAAAGAGGGCTAAACAAAACAAAAAAACATGGCATGTAAAGACTGGGTTGGATCTAAGGCTGCATCTCAATAGTTTAAAAGTGAATTACTCTCCTGGTCTCTTTTCCTTTATCTGAACAGACATGAAATATGAGCCTAAAAATGAATGTTTTCTAGATGTGCAGTGGTGTTTACCTCCTGAAGGGGGCAGTAGCGCTGTGCATACCACTCCTGGGAGTAGAGGCAGATGATTACCCCCTGACCGAGGAACAGAGCGGTCCACATGATCACGTTCCAAATTGGGCCTTTTCTCCGGTCATGAAGAATGAAGTTGAACATCACTGACAGAAGTTGATAGAGGGGAGAACAGCACAGTAAAGGAAATGAGAGCAGTTAAGATTTAGGAAAAAAATTAAAATACAACACAAAAATGAGAAAAACCTTGTTTTTTTATATTGTGTCTGTTGTATTGTAATGAAGGTAAGGTCTTACTTCCGAAGCACATGAAGAGGCAGAAGAGGACTGGGTAGAAGAAGCCGAAGCAGATAGCCAAGATGTACTCATGCACTACTGCAGACACAGTGAAGACCAATAACATGCCTGCCGCCCGAAATCTCTTCTTCGACATCTGTCAGGGAGTGGAGTAGGGAAAAAACAGCCAACAGACCAGAGGGTTAGGATTGGCATGGACAAAATTTGATCCATTTAATTTGATGAAAGTTGCTCAACTGGCTTGCTTGTTTAAGGTTAGAGTTACAAAACAATGGGAGGGATACTTCATAAGTATCGTAAAAACAGAGAGATTAACATTAATGCCAAGTGCAACAATAAAGCAACGCTCACCCATAGGAAGTCACAGTATACATAGTAATACAGCCAGTCATGTACCACCACGTTCCAGGTGCGGTAGTAATTGGCAAAGGATGTTGAGTTCCACCAATCCTGTGAAGCAAAATGAATATATAGCTCTTTGCTGTGTTCTTAAAATAAATAAATATATATATATATATTTTTTTTAAAAGAACACAGCAAAGAGCTGATTGAGGCAGTGTAGTCCCCTGTAGCTAATGTACTGTAGTCCCCTGTAGCTCAGTTGGTAGAGCATGGCGCTTGCAACACCAGGGTTGTGGGTTCGTTTCCCACGGGGGGCCAGTATGAAAATGTATGCACTCACTAACTGTAAAGTCGCTCTGGATAAGAGCGTCTGCTAAATGACTTAAATGTAGATCTAGTCAGTGATTGACTAAATTAGTAATATGACAGAGGAAAGGTGTACCTTGTAAAACATCCGGTCAGCAAACCGCAGCATCTCAGCAAAGGCATTGAGCCAGCAGTGCAGGAAGGCAAAGAAGGCCAAGAAGAGAACCAGAACTCCTAGAGAAAGAGAGAGACACACAGAGATGATATGATTTCCCTCCATTCATTAAAATATTGCTGTAGGTAGTTAACAGAATCCTCCAGAAGACAATATAGTGAACATGCAGGAGGAATACTGTGATGCCAATGAGACAAGCTGTGAGTGAGGATGTGTTGACTGGAGTTACCTGGCAGGATAGAGTTGAACACACACAGGACCATTGCCCGCAGGTCAAAATGTTGCTGGCTGATGCTGCGGAACTGTGGGATGCAGAGGCGTACAAACACATAGTAGGCATAGAAGAGACAGCCTAGAACCTGAAAGACCAGAGAGAAACTATATAACTGAACTGATCTTCTGGTCAAGGTCTTCAACTCGGCAGTCATTTTGATTCTCAAATCATACCTGTAATAACTTAGAGGCCACATAGCTCCACCTGATGATGGGATTCCTGCAGAGGGAAACAAGAGTTTGAGTGTTTACAGAAAGGTAAATAGCGCTCTTGCAGCCGAGTGTAACATGCAAGAGGTATGATCACAATTTAAACTAGGTCTTATGTCATTACACTCTGCTTACCTGGGATATTTATCTCTGTAAATAAGGGTGGGAGCAAAGAGGAAGTAGATATAGTGACTCAGCTGTGGGATGACTGGGGAGGAGCCTGGAGAACAAAAAAAAAAAAAAAAAAAGAGGGAACTGAATACATCTGCAGACAAAAACAGAATGTAAGATACAGTGTACATAAAAACAACATGTAGTTGCTTACTGGATTTGTCTTTAGCCAAAGCCAGAACTTTGGGGACATTCTCCCTGATATAGGAGTGTGCCTTCATCATCAGGCGCACCTGCAGGGGGACAGCACATGTTGTCAACCAATCACAATGCGTGTCCATGATTAGACTGAACATCAAGAAAATAATGAACTGCATTTGGAGTACCTGTTCCAGGATGATGATGAAGCAGGATGCAGGGGGAAAGCTGTTCGTCACCACCACAAAGGTGGGCAGGAAGCCCAGGCCCAGGCCCTGGTAGAGCAGGAAGAGAGAGCCCAGTAGAAGAGACCACATGGTCCCATGCCTGGACTCACGGTAGTGAGAGGCCCAGGTGTGGAACAAGCTATAGGGCACCACCAGCACTGACAGGAACATGCAGATCCAGGTAATCACCACCAGAGGGAACTGTCCAAATACGTAGACCAGTAGGTCAAAGTCAAGCACCAGTCTGGGCAAGAGGGGGGTTGAAAAAAAAAAAAAGTGGCAATCTGTCATTCAGGGCAGAGCCCCACCTGTTCTGAGCCCCACATTTCTTTTTTGGGGCGTGCCTGTTTTGCATGTTATTTTGGCATTAATACACGTCACGTATCAGTTTGCAAACAATGTAAAACATTTTTTTTTAAATCATTGAATTAATAAAGCTGCATACAAACAGTAGTAAGGCAGCTCCAAAATGCAGGTGTTTCAGCCTAGCTCAGCGCTTTCTGTTGTGGTGGGGCAAGCCAGCAGAAAATACAGAATGTTGCACCGTGATTGGCTCAGTGTTCTGTCACTCAGTCAACGCCAAGTCTAAGGGTATACTTCGAAAATTCAAGCCCATTGGTTGCTGCCATCGTTACATTAGAAGTGCCCTTCCAAGAAGGCTCAAGGTCATTGGCCACAGATAAAATGACGTCAAATCACGTTATATGTACAGTAGCTTTGATTGGACTGATCATGTCAACATCTTACTTTCAAAATCTTAGCTAGCAGTCATCATGAATCAAGTCGACAATCTACTGGCAAATCCTTTTTAATCCTTGTCATATGAAGAGACACAATGAAGAGAAATTATAGATAAAACGTATCAATGCTCATCGGCCATTGGACATAAACAACAAGTTGGAAATCGCAAATTCAACAATGAGTGGTTTGGAAGAAAACTCAGTGACAGTGGCTAACTGCAAGCATTGCAACTGGGAAGTCGGGAATAAACGAGTGCCGACTGGGAAAATACGTTTTGAACAGTCATCCAACTCGGAACTGTAAATCCGGCCTCTTTCTTTGATGACAACATTTGCCCACGAAGGACCGCCGCGCCACCTTCCTGTTCAAGTGAGCTTCAGCACAACAAGGTGAGTCCAAAAATGTATTGTATGCTGCCGCATAAATTATATAATCTGCCAGGGAGATATGTATACTGTAGCTAAGAAAGTAATACTAAGTGTATGTTGTGTAGTAAGATGTTAGTAGCCCATGTGCCTCACCCTAATAGTTTGGTCTATTTACCCCTCTTAAATTCACCTACTGTTATGACTTGGTGGTGCACATGTAGCCTTTGACCTGTTTTAGAGAAATGTAATCATCGAATATTGTAAGAGGTTTCATTGTCTGCTTAAATGCCCCCTTTATTTATCCTACAGTTCTGACTTGGTGTACAGGGAGAACACTAAGACCCGCCCATGTTCTGAATTCTGTCGCTGTACATTTCAAAAGTGCTGAACAAATAGTTATATTGACTACGTCCGTCCTAGCTCGCTCATTAATGTCTTAATCGAAATTACGGATGACCCCTTATCCGCTTGTCATCCCCTTATGCCATAGTTTGTACATCTCAATTGTCATTAGAAACCACATTTGTTTATGCAAGTCAGCAATGTTTTTTTTTTTAAAGGCAGTAAATGAGGCCGAATGAACTGTTCCGCTGCCAGACAAGGCTCCGCTGATAGCCAGGTGTAGCATGTTAGGACTGCTGTTGGGACAGCTTTATGTAGGCCCTAACAGTTTGTTTGTCACCGTTATAATGCAATTAATGTATTGTTTAGTGTAGTGGCTTTGCTGGCATGCACCACACTGTTTATTTTTTGCCCACCTGATTTACATGCTAAAATCGCCACTGCAATAGAGAAGCGGCAGTTTATATTTAAAGAGAGATCAGTGAAGAATCAGTGCTACACCTCACCTGCCTTCATCAATGAAGTCAACCACCAGGGTGCTGAGGATGAAGAGGATGAGCAAGGCGATGAACATGTGGTAGATGGTCCGGATGTGGTCCACTTCAAACAGCTCACTGTGAAACAAGAGACAGAGACCATGCTGATAAACATCAACAATACTGAGCCAGCAACATTTCAGTTTAAGGACAATGTACAGTGGGGAGAACAAGTATTTGATACACTGCCAATTTTGCAGGTTTTCCTACTTACAAAGCATGTAGAGGTCTGTAATTTTTATCATAGGTACACTTCAACTGTGAGAGACGGAATCTAAAACAAAAATCCAGAAATCACATTGTATGATTTTTAAGTAATTAATTTGCATTTTATTGCATGACATAAGTATTTGATACATCAGAAAAGCAAAACTTAATATTTGGTATAGAAACCTTTGTTTGCAATTACAGAGATCATACGTTTCCTGTAGGTCATGACCAGGTTTGCACACACTGCAGCAGGGATTTTGGCCCACTCCTCCATACAGACCTTCTCCAGATCCTTCAGGTTTCGGGGCTGTCAATGGGCAATACGGACTTTCAGCTCCCTCCAAAGATTTTCTATTGGGTTCAGGTCTGGAGACTGGCTAGGCCACTCCAGGACCTTGAGATGCTTCTTACGGAGCCACTCCTTAGTTGCCCTGGCTGTGTGTTTCGGGTCGTTGTCATGCTGGAAGACCCAGCCACAACCCATCTTCAATGCTCTTACTGAGGGAAGGAGGTTGTTGGCCAAGATCTCGCGATACATGGCCCCATCCATCCTCCCCTCAATACGGTGCAGTCGTCCTGTCCCCTTTGCAGAAAAGCATCCCCAAAGAATGATGTTTCCACCTCCATGCTTCACAGTTGGGATGGTGTTCTTGGGGTTGTACTCATCCTTCTTCTTCCTCCAAACACGGCGAGTGGAGTTTAGACCAAAAAGCTCTATTTTTGTCTCATCAGACCACATGACCTTCTCCCATTCCTCCCCTGGATCATCCAGATGGTCATTGGCAAACTTCAGACGGGCCTGGACATGCGCTGGTTTGAGCAGGGGGACCATGCGTGCGCTGCAGGATTTTAATCCATGACGGCGTAGTGTGTTACTAATGGTTTTCTTTGAGACTGTGGTCCCAGCTCTCTTCAGGTCATTGACCAGGTCCTGCCGTGTAGTTCTGGGCTGATCCCTCACCTTCCTCATGATCATTGATGCCCCACGAGGTGAGATCTTGCATGGAGCCCCAGACCGAGGGTGATTGACCGTCATCTTGAACTTCTTCCATTTTCTAATAATTGCGCCAACAGTTGTTGCCTTCTCACCAAGCTGCTTGCCTATTGTCCTGTAGCCCATCCCAGCCTTGTGCAGGTCTACAATTTTATCCCTGATGTCCTTACACAGCTCTCTGGTCTTGGCCATTGTGGAGAGGTTGGAGTCTGTTTGAGTGTGTGGACAGGTGTCTTTTATACAGGTAACTAGTTCAAACAGGTGCAGTTAATACAGGTAATGAGTGGAGAACAGGAGGGCTTCTTGAAGAAAAACTAACAGGTCTGTGAGAGCCGGAATTCTTACTGGTTGGTAGGTGATCAAATGCTTATGTCATGCAATAAAATGCAAATTAATTACTTAAAAATCATATCATTCTGGATTTTTGTTTTAGATTCCGTCTCTCACAGTTGAAGTGTACCTATGATCAAAATTACAGACCTCTACATGCTTTGTAAGTACGAAAACCTGCAAAATCGGCAGTGTATCAAATACTTGTTCTCCCCACTGTATGTAGTGTTCGATGAGGGAGCTTTTTGTCATAAGCAGTCACACACAGCCCAGTATTAACTCGTCACTTACTCTAACAAGGACCTCCGGACCACAAACTGTTTGCCTAGGCCCTGGGATGACCCTCGGAGATGCCTAATAGAATAAAAAAAAAACATTGACAAAATATAATTAAATAGATGTTGACCTCTGACATAGTAAGAGAGCAGGTCAGAAAGGAGAAGGGTGGAAGGTAAAAGGGGGCAGTGAGGGGCTCAGTACCTGAGCTTACTCCTCTCCTTATCGGACAGAGGAGGGGAGAAGACAGCAGGGACAGGTGCAGGCTCCAGGCTGGTCGACTCCTCTATCAGACTGTCCATGAACTCCAACACCTGGGAGTCAAACTGCTTCATCAGGTCAGACTTCAAGTGCTGCACACCAGAGAAACATCCACAATCAACAAGGCATACGGTTTTCAGTGAAATAGAAAGGATGGTTGTAAAAAAAAAAGTTATTTCAATCCATAATCATATTGACAAATATTAAATCGGACATGATATGAGACGAACATTAACTCAGACCGTAAGGTAACCATTTGTAGCTAGAGAAAAAAATGTTTGAATGATGACCTCATGTCCAGAAAGACTGTGGTGATTGTTCGGTCTATTTTATCTGTTTGCACAGTAACAGCTGATGAGGGTAGAGGTTTGTTGACCTTTATAGGAAACAAACAGCCCTCAAGAAGACCGCTTTAAGAATACAATAACCCTCTTACACATTCTCTCTTCCTCTTACATTGTGTGCAAATAAGGGAGCTCTCTGGGTTTGAGTTTTTGCTTTGGGTATTGTGTACAGTAAAGATAGGACGTGTTAATTTCACCTGTCTCTATTATGATGCGTTAAGATGTGAATAAGACTTCCAGCCAGTTACACCATTCATCAATACATGTTTCAAGTGGCTTTTTCTCTTCAGTCTGCACTTCTCAATTCATTGTGAAACTTTTGTTTGGCCACTCAGTCACCTAGGTTGACCCCTACAATGCATTTCAGTACTTTCCTATGCAATATCCACTGACTCAGATCATAAAAGCAGAACTGCCTCTTGCTGTACTTTCCCATTCTCCAGCCATGTAAATAGTGGGAGAGATGCAGATTAGTTATTAGCTCTTTTTTGAATGCACAAATAATGACGGGATTTGAAAACTAACAGTCAAGGCAAAGCAGCTTGACAGATTTTGAAATGATAATACTACAGCTTACATAGGCTTAAGGAAGATTGACTCAGTCCAGTAGGGATTTGGCAGTGCAGAAGCAAAGCACAAAACACTTTTTTTCTAACGAGTAGGCACATCCACAAACAGTGACAGAACTAAGAGGACTTTGTTGAATCATGGGGACTCAATCAATGACGGGTGACTCGTGAGAACAGACAACATTGTTAGGAGGATGTGACATCAGCACTCAGCATCTAATCACCGGCTCAGAACAAATAGAACACATTTGACCTGCTGACAACACATTCTGTTCTAAGTCTCACCTCTGCTTTCCTCTTCAGTTGGAGTTTCTTGCTGATGAGTTGCTCCACTTCCATTTTTCCTGAAATAAATGGAGAAAATGTAATTAACGCAAAGCAATAAATCATGGGTCAGACTTTCGTATTCATTTCGTTCCAAAGTCTACCAGTGCCGGTGAGTAATATGAATCCCAAATGACTTCAGGACCAATACAGTTGCCAGGTTACCCAGGAGGAGGATGGATATAGGCATACTATGAGTAAACAATACCATGTTCAATATTTACATAAATGCCTGAATCAATATAGTGGGTGGACAATTGGCCATTATTCCCCATGGGAAATAATAAGCACAGTCTCAGGGGAATTTAAGGACAAGGAACAGAGCTAGCTGAGGTGTGGTTAAATCCATCTTCCTCTTCAAACAGGGTCAAATGAACATGTGCTGAAGTAGTACACTACCATGTAGCCTTTAGACCGGATATAGTTCTACAGATAACAACCAACAGTTGATTGCTGTTGACAAAGGATTCTGATAAGAAATTTAAACTTTGTAACGAACCGGGCAACAGGACAGGTCAGGGAAGTTCCATGAGGCACTTAGTCATTTGTGAGTCAATGAAGACTGGTCTTGAGAAAGCAAATGTAACCACTATAAAGAAATGACTAGTGACAAACAGCTACTGGGGTTTAAGGAAGTGCCACTGTATAACCTTTCAAACACACCCATGACTGAATGTCTGTACTTGGGGTTAATCCAGGTTATCTTCACAAAGAATTTAGACTGAGGTTTGGCCATTGACAATGTGGAAATAAAACAATGCCTTTTCTATGGAATTTTAGAGCTCAACCCATGACCTAAGAATTGCACCATCTATATCCTGTTAATGTCCCCCCCACATAGTTCATTCTTACTCATAAGCATAAACACTGTCCAACTATTCAACCATCTGTGTTGCATTTAGCTCTGACACCTGTTAATCAAGCTTCATTCTCACACCATTACTGTGGATCTCTCCATTGCAAGGGTTCTCTCCATTGCTGCCCTCTCCACCTATGTCATCCAGGTCTGAAATGGTGGGCATCTTAGGTAAAGCTCTGCGGCAGCGCAGGACACCGTCATCCCCACTCTCCATCTTATAAGAAAACAAAAACAACCTGTTGGATGTATACACACTACAGTGGACAAATCCAGAACCAAATCATATTCACCTGACAAGATAGATGGAGCTCCACACTAGTTAAACCAATGGAAATTCATAGCCTTATGAACCATGATAATGCCAAAATGTGAAAACATTAGTGGCCATTGAATGTATTTTGAATTAATGTCTACCTAACCATCAACGGGCTTGAACACAGTGGAAGACAAGCTATGATCTCTTTGTTTACTTGCTTGCTAAACTGACCTCATTATAACTGAAAGACCTGGACTGTCAAAAAGTTAGTTGAGGGTCAGTGGACAGCTGTGATTTGCTGAGCATGCCCTGCTAGCAGTCAGAAATTTGTCCAGAGCCAATAATATAATAATCGAACCATGGATAAGTTGCTAGCTTACTCCAGTGATCACAGTCTGCCAGGTATTCAACAACAAGCTATGATATGTAGCTAGTGCGCTGGACATAAATCACAAACTTGCTACAATCGAGCTAATCAAGTTACAAAAATATTTGTTCTTATGTTAGTTCAAATTCCGTGGTTCCATTGCTGGAAAACATGTCAGTCAAGCGCGAGCTACCTAGCAGAGCTTGTCTGTCAAGTTCGGCGTTTGTTTTGGTTAGCGAGACACGGAATTGGCTAGCAAGCTAGATTCATGCTACTCACCCGTCACTGAGCCGTGTCTTCAAAATGTATGGTATGAATCCCCGTGTTAATCTGTTACTTACAAATTAATTTACCTGTTCAATTGTCATCACATTCTCACCTCTTCAATGTTGCAAATGAGTGATGCGATGACGCCTCTCTTGCTTTTCTAAGCCACCGCCCCGCCTCTAAATGACGAGCGTGGTCGGCACCCAAATTAATCATGTATAGTCACTAGGCCTATTTGTTTCGCTCTCCAGACCAGTATGCTGGCTGCAACCTGGTCTCAGAGCATTTCGCATTATTCTGTAAGTAAATCAGAGCCACTTCAGTTAGTGTGATATGTTACGTTTCGAATATGTTACGTTTCGAATGGTGTGTATTAATTTGTGGATGTCCGTCATCCATTTCGTATGATCTGATATGAATTACAAATTCAAATGATATGTTACGAATTGCAATTACTACAATATGTTACGAATTTGAAAAAACGTATGATATGTTATGAATTCCAATTTGTTGTGGCTAATGTTAGCTGGGTGGCTAGGTTAGGATTAGGGGAAGGGTTAGTTAACATGATAAGTAGTTGCAAAGTAGCTAATTAGCTAAAATGCTAAAGTTGTCCATGATGAGATTCGAACACGCATCCTTTGTGATGCTAGATGTTTGCGTTATATATCGTTTTTGTCTTAAGTAACCTTCTGTCTTATGTAACCATACCAGACGTAACATAGAATACTAATGTTAGTTTCCTTGATTTACGTTTACTATGTTACGTTTAATCTATGAGACCACGCTGGTACAATGATAATCATGTGTTATAGTGTGGTGAATTCAATCAGTCTACATGGTTTTCGAGCAATCTGGGAAATTACATTTTATTTTCCTTGCCAAGCTGTCCATGTAAGAAACCTCAGTCAGAGGACACACTGACACTGTCCTCCATAGCTTTAGGCAAAATATCACCAAAGTTATGTTGACCATGGAGAATGGTGAGAAAGAACATTGATAACAGAATGTTAAACAACAGTCCTTGTAAACTACAGTATATAACCTGTCAAATTTCCAGTTGATCAACTACTAGCCCATGTTAGGTAAATTAGGCTAATCAGCTATTTAAACCTTGTAGTTATCATGGCCAGATTGTGCCCATGGGGTCCTCGAACCACAGGGGGCCCACATTGATTTTGTTGACTCACTCAGGTATCATATGAAACCACATGAGACATGGCAAAATGTGTAGAATTGCAGGAAATTAGTTGAAAAACTGCAGCCTAGGAAATGTGTGTGACCGGACCTTCTCAAATAGTAGTTGAGTACCCCTGGTCTAAAGGCATGGTAGCAGGAGAGGATGAGTAATGGACAAATGGGGAAGAGCCAACACAAGAGAAAATGTAATCCTACACATGATTAGTCCTCAATGTATGAAAGTGTAACCTACTGCACATGCTCTGTATGAACAGCAGTTAGGAACAGTTCTACCCAGCATGGGTTTATTGTCCTGCAAATCATGTTCTGTAATAAATACAGTAGCTTACTACAACAGTTTTCCATCATCTTACGGAGAACCATTTAAATAATTCATTGCACATATTTAAGTTAATTCCATTTGTGACAAAAGGGTGTACTACTGTTTACTGCATTAGAGGTGTAAACCATAAAATGTGTGATCAAGTTATTGTAAAGTAAGTTGAAGTGACATTTAAAACGTTTCAATTTGAAGTTTAGACCATCCAGATATTGGTGTTAATCAAGACTTCAGGTATTAGTCTGCAGGAATAAAAACAAGACATCAAATAATAGCAAAGATATACTTACAAAAGCTTAACAATTAAATAAAACATCCACATGAATCTAATATGAAGTATATATACACACAGTACATCAGTAAGAAAAATTAATCATTTAAAAAAATCGACATGCCGGAGATACAAAGAACACAACAGCTATATATTTTTCTTTATAAAAGACACATATTATAACAAGATTAACAAATAACTCCAAAATACATATTTTATTATAAAGCTCTAGTTGTTATCACAATTAGACAAATGCTACAGAGATCACACAACATGATGATATCTCTTTCTTTTGTCCTGAAGAGGAATTGCACCCAAATGTTCTTGACCCATACATTGGGCAGAGCTTGACGGCTCTGGGAGAAACAGCTGCTTCTCTTTGGATAAGCTGAGGCTACAAAAAGCACAAAGGTCCCAGGACAGCTCTGAAGTCTGTGTCCCAGTGGTCTCCACTTCCCTCCACACTAACATCCCTGAGGGGTAGTAGCTCCATGTCCCCTCTGTGGATCTCTGTGCTCCCTCTTACTCGAACCTCCACCTCCACCTGAGTGACAGACATGGGAGAACAAGCTGAAAATACCCGGCTCTCATTACAGTACACAACATTGGTCTCACATTGTACAGTAGACATGTAGTCTTTTTATAGGTCTTGACTGACATCAAGTGGCCAGGCAATGAATTACAATGGTTGTGTAGCATGAGTTGTAGGTGACATAAAGCAGCAAATGTACTACATGTGTATAAAGGTTTACATTGTTCTTTGGGTCTTACTTCACAACCATTCCTCCATACTGTCATATAGCTTGAACCAATCTCCCCACCGGAGTCTCCCAGAAAGTGAAGAACCCTGTTTGTTGTCTTTTTCCTGATTTCTCTGCTAGTGTGGTTAAATGGGCAGGCGATGGTCAGGCGCTGAGAGGCAGAGTGGCTGTGTAACCGTAGAAACCGGAGCTGGACCACATCAAGACCAGCATACTCAGACTACAGTAGGAGAGACATAAATCATTTGGATCAGCTACGGTAATGCAGTTGTAGATGGATTCTAAATGTAACATGCTGAATGTCTTACCCTATAGCCACCATCATGCTGGCTAAACCACTTGATAGACTTTTTGGACTTCTTTTTTTCTGGTTCCCATTTTCCTATTATCTATAGGAAGATAAATCACAACATGCCTTTTCAAAATGAAAACAATAAGTGTAAGTGATGTATGTGAGAAATTATGTTACCCATAATTGATGCTCACTAGATAACCTTCCTCAATATTCTGCTCAAGAGAGAGGCAAAGTTGTAGATAAATCATTAATTCTCAAATATTCTGTGCAACCACTTGCCCCACTCTATCTTGACTGATGTCAGGACCAGCTACTTACCTGTGACTGGACAGGAGGTATACAGGTCATCCCTCCTGCAGTGAAGTTACAGAACACTTGCAGGGCATCAAATGGGCAGCCCTGGTTAGGGTCCATGTAGAAGTGTCCTGGAAAGATCACACCTTTGTAAAACTAACGAACACATTATTGGACAAATGACTCTAGCTGTAAAAATTACGAGAGGTTGGCTTCACTTGCTCTGTTGCATACAACAGCTCAGTGGCCAGTCTAACTTCTACCTGCTGAGCTCCACTCACCATCCTGGAGGTTTGGGCGAATAAGCCCCAGCTCGTGGCAAGTGGTTGCAGGGCTGTTTTTGGTGCCCTGAGGCCAGCTGATGGAGCTGCTTGAGTTCTGGTCAGGCAGTGAGGCAAGCGTTCTCCTGGTCATGGCCCGAGTTTGCTGGGAAAACAGGGCCATCCACAGACAGACTCACATTAGGAGGTTTTACAAATAAATACTGATACATCATCCCAAAAAAAAATCTTTGTCACATGCTTCGTAAACAACAGGTGTAGACTAACAGTGAAATACTTACTTACGCGCCCTTCCCAACAATGCAAAGAGAAAGAAAATAGAGAAATAATAGAAAAGTAAAATACGTAATAATAAAAGTAATAATAAACACAAAATTAGTAATGATAACTTGGCTATATACACAGGGTACCAGTACCGAGTCGATGTACAGGGGTACGAGGTAATTGAGGTAGATATGTACATATTGGCAATTGGCCCAGCGTCGTCCAGGGTAGGGGAGGGAATGGCCGGCAGGGATGTAGCTCAGTTGATAGAGAGCATGGTGTTTGCAATGCCAGGGTTGTGGGTTCGATTCCCACAGGGGGTATGAAAAAAATGATAATGTAAGTCGCTCTGGATAAGAGCGTCTGCTAAATGACATAAATGTAAATGTAATAACTAGGAATAAAGTGACAGATAATAAAACAGTGGCAGCAGCATATGTGATGAGTAAAAAAAGTTAGTGCAAAAAGGGTAAATGCAGATAGTCCAGGTAGCTATTTGGTTAACTATTTAATTAACTATTTAGCAGTCTTATGGTTTGGGGGTAGAAGCTGTTCAGGGACCTGTTGGTTCCAGACTTGGTGAATTGGTACCGCTTGCCATGCAGTAGCATAGAAAACAGTCTATGACTTGGGTCTTTGACAATTTTTAGGGCCTTCCTCTGACACCGCCTGGTATAGAGGTCATGGATGGCCGGGAGGTCGGCCCCAGTGATGTACTGGGCCGTATGCACTAGCCTCTGTAGCGCCTTGCGGTCAGATGCCAAGCAGTTGCAATACAAAGCGATGATGCAGCCAGTCAAGATGCTCTCAATGGTGCAGCTGTAAAACCTTTTCAGGATCTGAGGGCCCATGCCAAATATTTTCAGCCTCTGTGTTGGTATGTGTGGACCATGATAGATCCTTAGTGATGCGGACACCGAGGAACTTGAAGCTCTCGACCCAAACCACTACATCCCCTTCGATGTGAATGGGGGCGTGCTCTGCCCTCTGTTTCTTGTAGTCCACGATCAGCTCCTTTGTCTTGCTGATGTTGAGGGAAAGGTTGTTCTTCTGGCACCACACTGCCAGGTCTCTGACGTCCTCCCTATAGGCTGTCTCATCATTGTTGATGATCATGCCTACCACCGTCTTGTCGTCTGCAAACTTAATGATGGTGTTGGAGTCGTGCACGGCCACGCAGTCGTGAGTGAACAGGGAGTACAGGAGGGGACTAAGCAAGCACGCACACGTGTTGAGGGTCAGCGTGATGGATGTGTTGTTGCCTACCCTTACCACCTGGGGGCAGCCCGTCAGGAAGTCCAGAATCAAGTTGCAGAGGGAGGTGTTCAGTCCCAGGGTCCTTAGCTTAGTGATGAGCTTGGAGGGCACTATGGTATTGAACGCTGAGCTGTAGTCAATGAACAGCATTCTCACATAGGTGTTCCTTTTGTCCAGGTGGGAAAGGGCAGTGTGGAGTGCAACAGAGATTGAGTAATCTGTGGAGCTGTTGGGGCGGTATGTGAATTGGAGTGGGTCCAGGGTGTCTGGGATGATGGTGTTGATGTGAGCCATGACCAGCCTTTCAAAGTATTTCATGGCTACAGATGTGAGTGCTACAGGGCGATAGACATTTTGGCAGGTTACCTTGGCGTTCTTGGGCACAGGGACTATGGTGGTCTGCTTGAAACATGTAAGCATTAAAGACTGGGTCAGGGAGAGGTTGAAAATGTCAGTGAAGACACTTGCCAGCTGGTCAGCGCATGCTCTAAGTACGCGTCCTGGTAATCTGTCTGTGCCTGCGGCCTTGTGAATGTTAACGTATTTAAAGGTTTTACACACATCAGCTATGGAGAGTGTGATCACACAGTCGATCTTAGTCCTGTATTGACACTTTGCCTGTTTGATGGTTTGTTGGAGGGCGTAGCGGGATTTTTTATAAGCATCCGGATTAGTGTCCCGCTCCATGAAAGCGGCAGCTTTAGCTCAGTGCGGATGTTGCCCGTAATCCCATGGTTGGAATATGTACATACGGTCACTGTGGGGATGACGTCGTCGATGCACTTATTAATGAAGCCAGTGACTGATGTGGTAAACTCCTTAATGCCATCGGATGAATCCCAGAACAAGTTATGTGCAGGAGTGCAGGTTATGCAGTTGTTTTGAGGAAATATTTAGTGTGGACTGTGGAGTATGATTCCTCAGTCTTACAGTATAATAAAGAGGTATAGATTACAATAAATCGGGTACCAACCTTTTTGGATCCTCTTCTTTTTCCAAGGGCTCCAGGTCGCCTGTTTCTTGGACGGCCAGGAGGACCTGGTTTTCCCTGTGACATAAATGGGGGCTTGTATTTACATGTGATCCATTATGTTCTGTACTCTGCATTCTGGAAGATTCAGTTACTGTTACTAATTTGGATCATAAGGCACAATAATCCTACGTACTGGTAGTCCACGTGGACCTCTCAGTCCCTTAGCTCCAGGCATTCCTTGTATCCCCTTCATTCCCTGCGAAGAGCATGATAGATTTAGATGGAAACCATGGAAATATACCCAACAATAGACATTAGAATGCTAAATGGTTACTTACCCTCTTTCCAAAGAGACCCTGCAAAATAAAACAAACTAAATTGACCAAACAAGACTTCAAAATGTCATAATTTTAGCAAACCTATACTGGAAGAGACTCTAAGAAGGTTTGTGAAATATGGACAAAATACATACAGGTAGACCAGGGAAGCCCTTTTTCCCAGGTGGACCACGAGGACCAATGTCTCCCTATAAATTAGCAAAACATTGACATAAACTAATAATAAATATTGTGCTGATACTGTTGTGCAACATGTATCAGGATATGATTCCTTTAAAACAATTAATATGGAAAATAAATATCACCAGCTAACCTGTATGCCTTTTGGACCTAACCGCCCTTTATTCCCTGGCAGTCCTGTATTCCCCTAAAAGAAAAAAGACAAGAGTCATCTGCTCTCTAAATGTGAGGTGTGGTTGATTGATTTCCAAATTCATTCCAAATGACCTACTTTAATTCCTCGTGGTCCAATATGTCCCTGTAGGCCTCTGCCGCCAGCCTGACCCTGAGAGAGAACAGATATAAAGGAGCAATGATGTGACACCATAGAAAACTAATACTGTTGTTTTACTCTATAACATACTGTAGGTGTTATTGAGTGTTGAGACATATACAGCACCTTTGATCCATGCTGGCCAAACTTCCCCTTTGCTCCTCCAAACCCTGGAATACCCTATGCAGAAGAACAATATCAGAGTGCTTAGTTATCAAGCATAAGAAAAACGCCCGAGAATATAGACAGGGATTTACAACCATGAACGTAAAGGTTTCACATGTATTGGTTTACCCTTGGCCCCATTGGCCCTGCAGGTCCTCGCTTTCCTTTTGATCCAAGATTACCCTTGACAAAACATTGGTGGAAGGTTCTGAATGTAAATCATGGCAAAATAAAGATTTTTGGCCAAATAGCTCTTGTTGTATTTCTATGTAAATGCACTGTTGGATATCTCAATTAGTCAAACACAGGTCGTACCTTAGACCCTGGTGCTCCGTGACCACCACTCAATCCAGGTTGTCCACTTTGACCCTGTAACATTAATCATTAGAGTAAGGATGCATCAAGTTCCTAAATCCTGTGTACTTATCCTGCCTTAAAAACACTATGCTTAGGTCTGTATTTCACTCACCATCTTCCCTGGTAGACCAGGCCTCCCAGGGGCTCCTCTGTAACCAATATCACCCTGGAGATGAATAGAATTAAAGGAAGATCTATTAGACAATATGTCCTGGGGCTACTGCTTGACAAATATATACATAAAGATTATGCTTGGGCACCAGACAATGCTTACATTATCTCCTTCATTTCCTTCAACCCCCAGCAATCCATCCAAACCAGCAAGTCCCTGAGATGACAACCGAAACAAGAGATAGAAAAGACAATGTAACAAACACATCAATTGGATCAACATCATTATAACACGGTATATTGTATTTTCTGTGATAGGATCATGCAGCTGTGAATGGGTGTCACAGTCAGTATGCCCTATAGGGATACTTGCTGGCTTTCCAGGTCTTCCAACTGATCCATCTGGTCCCAATGGGCCTTCTTCTCCCTATAAGCAAGAGGAGGAAAATGTGGCACAGAAGAAAAGTTCAAATTGAACTATTGACTCTTTGCTTCAGTACATTGTGGGGGAAATCATTGTGGGCAGGGTTGGGGAGTAACGGATTACATGTAATCAGTGACATGTAATCTGATTGCAAAAAACTGTAGCTGTAATCAGTTACGTTACCAGCTAAAATAATGTAATCAGATTACAGATACAAAAACTAAATTATAAATTATTGGATTACTTTTAAATTCACAAAGGATGTTTGCGAGAAAAATATACATTATGACACCTTTCAGTTTTCTCAAGGACATTCAATTCAGCATTGAAAAAAGGGGCAAGTTTAAGTTTGTTCCAACTGAGCAAGTCTGACCATAAGTCATAGACTACTATGATGAAACACCAAATGTGTTTGATGGATCCCTTTTGTCTTCTTCTAATTCCTTTTAAGGGGAAAGTAATCCAAAAGTAACTAAAAGTAATATGATTACGTTACTGAGTTTGGGTAATCCAAACGCCATTACTGATTACAATTCTGGACAGGTAACTAGTAACTGGAACAGATTACATTTAGAAAGTAACCTACCCAACCCTGATTGTGGCGAAAGGGTTTGGTAGAGTGTAGAGCAAGCATTGAAAGAAAGAACTGATTAAACTCACTGGTTTGCCTCTAGCTCCCCTGCTTCCCCTCTTTCCTGGGCTGCCATGCAATCCCTTCAGCAAAGATAAATGAGAAAATCAGGTCAGACACAACCACTTTATAGAGTGTGATATTTCAAGAGGGATTGTGTACTGCATGACATGACCTCTCACCTTTGGCCCTTCTATTCCTTTACTACCTTTCTCTCCAGGGGCACCAGCAGGCCCAGGTCTGCCTTTACCTCCTGGAGAACCGGTGAACCCCCTCTTTCCCAATGTCCCCTGTGTACAAACATCCATAAAACATATTCAAACTTTAATCAAACAACAGCTAGTAAAACTGTATTTTAAATCAAAATGAAATATCCCACCATTTTGCCTCTTGTTCCAGACTCTCCTTTCTTCCCCCGTGGACCTTGCAATCCCTGAGAAAAACATATAGGAAGGAGAGTAGATGTGGAGGCTAAAACGATGAGAAAAACGTTTAATTTTTATTTATTTAAAAGTTGCAGAGCAAAACATACCACATCTCCTTTGACACCACCAGTCCCAGTCTTTCCCCTCTCCCCATAATCTCCCTGGGATCAAACACAAATTGCATTAAAATTGCATCATGGTACCTCAAATCCATATAAACTGGTTAAACAATGTAAATTACTCAACATCCTTAAGGTATCTGGATAAGAGCATCTGCTAAATGACTAAAATGGTAATGTAAATGTAACAGATTGAATGGTGCATTACACCTTAAGTCCACGAAGTCCACTTTTTCCATCGACTCCTCTTTTTCCTGGTAAACCCTGCAATGACAGGACATTAAGTGTCCTATTATGTATTCTCAGGTTAAATTAACTCTAAATAGTGTGCCATGAAATCAATCCTTACTGTTGGTCCTTTTGGTCCTACTAAGCCTGTAGGCCCAAACCTTCCAGGAGGCCCCTATTACATCAGAGAGAAAACACTAGTCAGACACTCCTTCACAACCCAGAACAGCTCTCTCAGCAACATTTCAGCTTCATACTGTATATTTACAAATAGTGGTACCATAACAGCCTTAGTCTACTTACTGTGGTTCCGGGGAGCCCTTTCTCTCCCTTGGCCCCGCCTCCTCCAGTGTTGCCCCCTGGTCCGTAGCGTCCAGCGAGGCCTGATGGGCCTCTAATGCCCGGCTGGCCCTGTCAACACACATCCACATCAGGAGATACAGGAATCTCATCTAATTTCAATGAAATTCATGGATTTATGTGGGGTTGAAAAGCCATCCCTTGTTTGATGGTTTGTGACTCACCTTTAGTCCTGAAGCTCCTTCTTTCCCTCTGTCCCCTGAGGGCCCTAAGTATCCCTGTGAATCAGAGGACACCAGTATTATCTCCTTTTCATAGATATACTGTAAACTCACAGGAACACTGATTCTGAGCCATCACAATCACATTTCTAGAATAAACACACCACCTACTTCTTTCCCCAGAGGGCCCTTTGGTCCTTGTTGACCTTGGTTGCCTCTGTCTCCCTGGACCCCTTTTCCACCTCTTTCCCCACGAGCGCCCATCTTCCCCTTTTCACCCTAACATATTAAAATGTCATATTGATCCTTTTGTCGGTTGAATATCACAGTTATTGTCAACCATGATTAATAAATCCTGAGATACTCACCGATAGCCCCTTCAGTCCTGGTGGCCCCATTGGCCCCCGCAATCCAGTTGGCCCCTAAAGCACAGCAACACTTGTCCCTTCTTATGCAATCATTGTCTTTACCCATTGAGAATCAATGGACTTACATCAGACTCTTTAGTAAAAAATGTTATGCCTGTATTTTGGAAACCAAATCTATCTAGATTTAGAATAAATAGAATGACTAAATAATCAATACAGTATAATCAATCTACCTCCTCACCATCGACACCAGCAACTCCCTTCTGTCCGATAGCTCCTCTGGACCCCTGCACAAACAGGATATTTCAGAGGATTATAAAAAGAGACTGGATACAGCTGATGCCCCATTGACATGGATAATGACAGAATTCACAGTAGTATAGAGTATAGTTGTACCTTATCCCCTTTGTCTGCCACTGGCCCAATGCCTCCTGGTGGTCCATCTTTACCCTAGAATTTAAGGACATTCACAATGTGAAGACATCAAAATGAAAGAAAATGTAGACCGCCCCACAATCGTTGAGAATACAGCAATCAATAAAATCGTCAAGGTAACTTACTGGGTAACCTACAACTCCACGGGGCCCAACTGATCCTGGGGGCCCCTTGTCCCCTGGTGGCCCTTGGAGGCCCACCTCACCCCATGGTCCTATATTGCCTGCTATGCCCTGTAGAAATAAGATCAGTACACACCATAAAGAACATCAAAAGTACTTAACACGACATACTCTAGTCTAGTGCTAAAACCAGGGTGTTTGGTGACTTTAGGTGGTGTAGTATATATTCACGATTATTGGTATATATATTTTTAAATGGCCCCTTTTACAATGACTAAAATGTGGCGTAGTCTTACAGGAGTTCCTCTGTATCCCTGTATCCCTGTCAATCCCTGCACGCCCTGAAACACAATGGGAGAAGATGTCCATGAGTCTCCATGTAGATTCAGCCAGACACACTTTACAAAGCTCTGAGAATAGAACTCATTTGACACTTACTGGACTTCCGCATTTCCCCTTCGAACCTTCTTGACCTCTGTTTCCCTTCAGAAATCAACATATCAGTAAGCTATGTCCATATTACAATACAGTATTACTAAACCGTTTATAACTCCTTTATTTCTTCATGGGAAATAATTGTTGATGTTCTGTATTTTAGGAAGTCCATTTCAGTACCTTCAGGCCAGGATTTCCCGGAAGGCCGTTCGAACCCTCTTTACCTTTGGCACCCTATGTAAAGGATGGTAAAACAAACTGACAAACGAAATTCCGCTGATACACTGACAAACACAACTGCTTTGTCTGACATAGCTAAGTAAAAGAGTCAGAGAGTGTTTATGGCGTAACGTGGACTTACCCTGACTCCTGGCTTTCCTGACTTTCCAGTGATTCCTCTACCACCAGAATCCCCCTGTTGACAAATAATATCACCATGCTTAGTCAGTATGATCATTTTATCATCGCCTGTTGTAAATTAGTGTGTATAGCCAAGAACAGTACAATACTCACACTCTTCCCAACTGGACCTTGAATCCCTGGTGCCCCAGTCTTCCCCACCATTCCCTATGAAATCATACAGTTGAAGTCGTAAGTTTACATACACCTTAGCCAAATACATTTAAGCTCAGTTTCTCACAATTCCTGACATTTAATCCTAGTAAAATTCCCTGTCTTAGGTCAGTTAGGATCACCATCATTTTAAGAATGTGAAATGTCAGAATAATAATATAATAATAATAATAATAATAATATAATAATAATAATATAATAATAATAATATAATAATAATTATACATAATAATAATAATATAATAATATAATATAATAATATAATAATTATAGAATAATAGTCGAGATAATTATTTATTTCAGCTTTTATTTCTTTCATCACATTCCCAGTGGGTCAGAAGTTTACATACACTCAATTAGTATTTGGTAGCATTGCCTTTAAATTGTTTAACTTGGGTCAAACATTTCGGGTAGCCTTCCACAAGCTTCGCACAATAAGTTGGGTGAATTTTGGTCCATTCCTCCTGACAGAGCTGGTGGAACTGAGTCAGGTTTGTAGGCCTCCTTGCTCGCACATGCTTTTTCAGTTCTGCCCACACATTTTCTATAGGATTGAGGTCAGGGCTTTGTGATGGCCACTCCAATACCTTGACTTTGTTGTCCTTAAGCCATTTTGCCACAAATGTTGGAAATATGCTTGGGGTCATTGTCCATTTGGAAGACCCATTTGCGACCAAGCTTTATCTTCCTGACTGATGCCTTGAGATGTTGCTTCAATATATCCACATAATTTTCCTTCCTCATGATGCCATCTATTTTGTGAAGTGCACCAGACCCTCCTGCAGCAAAGCACCCCCACAGCATGATGCTGCCATCCCCGTGCTTCACGGTTGGGATGGTGTTCTTCGGCTTGCAAGCCATCCTCTTTTTCCTCCAAACATAACGATGATCATTATGGCTAAACAGTTCTATTTTTGTTTCATCAGACCAGAGGACATTTCTCCAAAAAGTACGATCTTTGTCCCCATGTGCAGTTGCAAACCGTAGTCTGGCTTTTATATGGCGGTTTTGGAGCAGTGGCTTCTTCCTTGCTGAGCGGCCTTTCAGGTTATGTCGATATAGGACTCGTTTTACTGTGGATATAGATACTTTTGTACCTGTTTCCTCCAGCATCTTCACAAGGTCCTTTGCTGTTGTTCTGGGATTGATTTGCACTTTTCGCACCAAAGTACGTTCATCTCTAGGAGACAGAACGCGTCTCCTTCCTGAGCAGTATGACGGCTGTGTGGTCCCATGGTGTTTATACTTGCGTACTATTGTTTGTACAGATGAACATGGTACCTTCAGGCGTTTGGAAATTGCTCCCAAGAATGAACCAGACTTGTGGAGGTCTACAAATTTTTTTCTGAGGTCTTGGCTGATTTCTTTTGATTTTCCCATGATGTCAAGCAAAGAGGCACTGAGTTTGAAGGAAGGTCTTGAAATACATCCACAGGTACACCTCCAATTGACTCAAATTATGTCAATTAGCCTATCAGAAGCTTCTAAAGCCATGACATCATTTTCTGGAATTTTCCAAGCTGTTTAAAGGCACAGTCAACTTAGTGTATGTAAACTTCTGACCCACTGGAATTGTGATACAGTGAATTATAAGTGAAATAATCTGTCTGTAAACAATTGTTGGAAAAATTGTCTTGGGGTCATAGGCAGCATTCCAATGTCCTAACCGACTTGCCAAAACTATAGTTTGTTAACAAAACATTTGTGGAGTGGTTGAAAAACAAATTTTAAAGACTCCAACCTAAGTGTATGTAAACTTCCGACTTCAACTGTATATAAATATACACTACATTGCTCGTCGAACATCTCATTCCAAAATCATGGGCATTAATATGGAGTTGGTCCCCCCTTTGCTTCTATAACAGCCTCCACTCTTCTGGGAAGGCTTTCCACTAGATGTTGGAACATTGCTGCAGGGGCATGCTTCCATTCAGCCACAACAGCATTAGTGAGGTCGGGCACTGATTTTGGGCAATTAGGCCTGGCTTACAGTCGGCGTTCCAATTCATCCCAAAGGTGTTCGATGGGGTTGAGGTCAGGGCTCTGTGCAGGCCAGTCAAGTTCTTCCACACCGATCTCGACAAACCATTTCTGTATGGACCTCGCTTTGTGCAAGGGGGCATTGTCATGAGGGAACAGGAAAGGGCCTTCTCCAAACTGTTGCCACAAAGTTGAAAGCACAGAATCGTCTACAATGTCATTGTATGCTGTAGCATTAAGATTTCCCTTCACTGGAACTAAGGGGCCTAGCGCGAACTATGAAAAACAGCCTCAGACCATTATTCCTCATCCACCAAACTTTACAGTTGGCACTATGCATTGGGGCAGGTGGCGTCACTCCAGAGAACGTGTTTCCACTGCTCCAGAGTCCAATGGTGGCGAGCTTTACACCAATCCAGCCAATGCTTGGCATTGCGCATGGTGATCTTAGGCTTGTGTGCGGTTACTCGGCCATGGAAACCCATTTCATGAAGCTCCAGACGAACAGTTATTGTGCTGACGTTGCTTCCAGAGGCAGTTTGGAACTCGGTAGTGAGTGTTGCAACCGAGACAGATTTTTACACGCTACGAACTTCAGCACTAAGCGGTCCCGTTCTGTGAGCTTGTATGGCCTACCACTTCGCGGCTGAACCGTTGTTCCTCCTAGACGTTTCCACTTCACAATAGCCGCACTTACAGTTGACCAGGGTAGCAGGGCAGAAATTTTACGAACTGACTATGACGGTGCCACGTTGAAAGTCACTGAGCTTTTCAGTAAGGCCATTCTACTGCCAGTGTTTGTCTATGGAGATTGCACGGCTGTGTGCTTGATTTTATACATCTGTCAGCAACGGGTGTGGCTGAAATAGCCGAATCCACTAATCTGAAGGGCTGTCCACATACTTTTGTATATATACTGTATCACAACTGCAATAACTAGTAGTGACAAAAAATAACCAAAAAGCCAACAATAGAAAATAATCATTTAAGTTGTAGAATACCTACCCTTAGTCCAGTTGGTCCAGTATCCCCGTCAGATGCAGTTCCTCCGATGGGTCCCTAGAGGACAGGGATCATGGTCAAACCAAACCTCTGAGTGTATTAGACACAGGACCATCTCTGGCACAGGACACATACAGTACAATGGGATCTTACCGGGGCTCCATGTGTTCCATCCAGTCCCCTACCTCCTAGATAGCCTTGAAGTCCCTGAGTGGAGAAAGACAGTTGTTCTGTTTTCATGTTCTCTTCCTTTACACTTTTCTGAACTCTGGCCCCCTAGTAGTAATATGTGCATGTGCAGGTGTGGCAAGGAGTGAAAATAACTGTATCCTGAAATAAAATGGCACAAAATAGTAGTTTTACCTTCAGCCCTTTCAGTCCAGTGACTCCTGGAATTCCCGTCCTCCCCTGTGTGATTCAAATCCAAGTGTCAGATGAAAACAAGACCTCAAACATACTGACGGTCTCAATATATACTATGTTATATTATCAGATCTGTTCTTCAATGGTCTGGTGTACATATCTCTGGTGTGAGGGCATTTTTCTCTACTAACGATGGCAGGAAGCTGTATAGACAGAATAAGAAGTGTAGGTACATAGGAACCTTAATACCGGGTTCTCCTTCAGCTCCTTTCTCTCCTGACTTCCCCATCACTCCCTGTGGACAGGACAGACACATCGAGCCACAGTAAAGCCACAGTGGTAGTCACATCTAAAATCAGAAATCTGTGATCATGTTTACTTGAAACAAGGTAAAAATAGTATTTCACCACTGTATGATGGATGAAGGTCAATAATTCCTTGACCTTGATCATACTGAATTGTCTCGTTAATGAAGACATGCTATTTCCACTTACAAAAGGCCCTGGCAAACCGGCAAATCCCACTCGACCTTCTCGCCCCTGAGAAACCAACAAACAACAGCATCAGTACATCTCCCACTGGATTGGTATGCATTATTGAGATCAAAACAATGTTACAAGAATGATAAGTGGCAGATAGCTACAGAAATTGCAAGCTCTTCTAGTACCTTATCGCCTCTAGGTCCAACAACGCCTGGCCCACCGGTAGGACCTCTGTCACCCTGCAAAGACAGATGGCCTGATGTTTAAAATACAATAGTCAATCTGGATAAGTACTGTACAAGGTATGCTAGCTCCACCTCCAGACTGCTCATACCTTTGGCCCATCTTTTCCCTGCTTCCCATTCTCCCCAATGATTCCATCATAACCCTGAAGAAACAGATAGGTAAAGTACCATTGCATCAGGATATAGTGATCTTAACAGGTGTAATGATATTCCATCCCATTGCAGTACTGTGCAGTGACCAGATTAAAGAGGTTCTACTTACTGTGGTTCCAGGAAATCCAGGAGGCCCCACTGGTCCAACATTACCTAGCAGCCCTGATGATCCTCCTCTGCCTTTGAAGCCTCTTTTACCTGGAGGCCCGGGTCGACCCTGCCCATCAGGGAGGACAAGTAAATGAATACACAGTGAGGGGATTGAAGGAGGTCAATTGCTAACAGATGCAAGCAAATAAACAGAACTGTCATGTCTGACAGAAGAGTAGGGTCCCATAAATTGAAGCAACTTGTACAGTGAGGTAAAAAAGTATTTGATCCCCTGCTGATTGTGTACGTTTGCCCACTGACAAAGAAATGATCAGTCTATAATTTTAATGGTAGGTTTATTTGAACAGTGAGAGACAGAATAACAACTAAAAAATCCAGAAAAACGCATGTCAGAAATGTTATAAATTGATTTGCATTTTAATGAGGGAAATAAGTATTTGACCTCCTCTCAATCTGAAAGATTTCTTGCTCCCAGGTATCTTTTATACAGGTAACGAGCTGAGATTAGGAGCACACTCTTAAAGGGAGTGCTCCTAATCTCAGCTTGTTACCTGTATAAAAGACACCTGTCCACAGAAGCAATCAATCAATCAGATTCCAAACTCTCCACCATGGCCAAGACCAAAGAGCTCTCCAAGGATGTCAGGGACAAGATTGTAGACCTACACAAGGCTGGAATGGGCTACAAGACCATCGCCAAGCAGCTTGGTGAGAAGGTGACAACAGTTGGTGCGATTATTCGCAAATGGAAGAAACACAAAAGAACTGTCAATCTCCCTCGGCCTGGGGCTCCATGCAAGATCTCACCTCGTGGAGTTGCAATGATCATGAGAACAGTGAGGAATCAGCCCAGAACTCCATGGGAGGATCTTGTCAATGATCTCAAGGCAGCTGGGACCATAGTCACCAAGAAAACAATTGGTAACACACTACGCCGTGAAGGACTGAAATCCTGCAGCGCCCGCAAGGTCCCCCTGCTCAAGAAAGCACATATACAGGGCCGTCTGAAGTTTGCCAATGAACATCTGAATGATTCAGAGGAGAACTGGGTGAAAGTGTTGTGGTCAGATGAGACCAAAATCGAGCTCTTTGGCATCAACCAACTCGCCGTGTTTTGAGGAGTAGGAATGCTGCCTATGACCCCAAGAACATCATCCCCACGTCAAACATGGAGGTGGAAACATTATGCTTTGGGGGTGTTTTTCTGCTAAGGGGACAGGGCAACTTCACCGCATCAAAGGGACGATGGACGGGGCCATGTACCGTCAAATCTTGGGTGAGAACCTCCTTCCCTCAGCCAGGGCATTGAAAATGGGTCGTGGATGGGTATTCCAACATGACAATGACCCAAAACACACGGCCAAGGCAACAAAGGAGTGGCTCAAGAAGAAGCACATTAAGGTCCTGGAGTGGCCTTGCCAGTCTCCAGACCTTAATCCCATAGAAAATCTGTGGAGGGAGCTGAAGGTTCGAGTTGCCAAACGTCAGCCTCGAAACCTTAATGACTTGGAGAAGATCTGCAAAGAGGAGTGGAACAAAATCCCTCCTGAGATGTGTGCAAACCTGGTGGCCAACTACAAGAAACATCTGACCTCTGTGATTGCCAACAAGGGTTTTGCCACCAAGTACTAAGTCATGTTTTGCAGAGGGGTCAAATATTTATTTCCCTCATTAAAATGCAAATCAATTTATAACATTTTTGACATGCATTTTCTGGATTTTTTTGTTGTTATTCTGTCTCACACTGTTCAAATAAACCTACCATTAAAATTATAGACTGATCATGTCTTTGTCAGTGGGCAAACGTACAAAATCAGCAGGGGATCAAATTCTTTTTTCCCTCACTGTATATGTAGTAATGTTAGCCATGTGCATAATGTCCACTCACCTGGTCCCCTTTAAATCCTGGATCACCCTTGTCACCTCTCTTAGATGCTTTGATCCCCTACAGGATGAAGGTGAACATGGACAGACAGACAAACAAAGACAGCTACATGGTTAGCTAGACGGTTGGATATGAATGGGAATATGAATTAGTAAGAAAACCCGCACAGAACTTTTTCAGAGTAAGTAAAAGTACAGGGACAGAAAGAAACGACTAATGAAGTACTGTATCATGGAATTGTTACTTTGTAGGACAAAAGTACATGTCCTTATAGTGTTAACATAATTACTTTTAAATACTTAAGACTTAGATATCAACTCAACACAAAATAAAGAAATTGCTTTAAGTAATCTTACTGGGTCACCTGAGGGTCCAGTTTTTCCTGGTTTGCCATTGGCTCCCTGATAAGAGGGAAAAAACAGAGGCCAAGTTTATGAATTACTTTTACAGTATAATTGTTTTTTATAAAATACATTGCTATCAGTATTCACATCTTACGTGTACATTAATGTGTGCTTACGTTAATCCCAGGGAGTCCTGGTTCTCCTATTTCCCCCTCATCACCTGCGTCCCCCTGTTTAAAAACATGAAGGATTGCGTAAGATTGTAGAATAAAAGTTAAATTAATGGAAATATTCATCATAAATGCTTTTAAAATAAATTATTCATGATTGATTGATACTCACAGGATCCCCTTTCGGACCTGTAGGCCCATCTGCACCTGTTTTGCCCTGTGGACACATTCAAAACCTATTGATCCTCTACATTCATTGGAAATCCAGCTAATAAATGTGACTTGATAATCTACAATGATTTTCAGATGGTCTATGATCACTGGCACAGATGTATTTATTGTGCATATTCTCTTGTGAGTAAATGTAGCATGATCAAATCAATGAGAGTGCGAAAAAACGATATGATTCTACCTGAGGTCCACGAACACCAGGGAATCCAACAATCCCATCAGGACCTGGCTCTCCCTGGAATGAGACACAATAATATGAATTGTGGACAAGTACATTTACCTGGATGTAAATATCAGGTCAATTCAGCTTTCAATTCAGGAAGATGAATTCTCACCTGAGGCCTGAGTGGTCCCCTTAGGCCTAGCTCACCTGGTTGGCCCTAATGACAGACAGAGAGATTAGACAGGGCTGTTGAAACGTGGCTCAATACCTACAATATCATGCTCAAATGTGTCCTTACTGGTGGTCCATTGACTCCTGGTACCCCTTTTGGCCCTCTTGGCCCCATTTTGCCCTGAAAAGGAGATTAATAGGTTCATATAAGCAGCTTGGGTGACTTGGTTGACTTTCATTTCAGAGCATGATCCAATTGAGAGTGAAGCAGAATAACTTACAGGTGGGCCCGGCGATCCAACAAAACCAATGCCACCAATGTCTCCCTTAATAACAGAAAAGACTCTCTCAAGACAGTGCAGACATTTTTCAGAAGACAGGTAAATCAGTTTGGGGAAAAGGTTGATAATAACTGTTGTAACTGTTTTAATACACAGAGAGCCATGAGACTCACAGGAGGTCCAGATGCTCCTGGGAAGCCCAGTTGTCCTCTGGCTCCAGGTATTCCCTACACAGCATGAAAGGAACCACTTAAACACTCAACATACTTCAACATGTTCATACTTAACATGAGGGTTCAGTATCAAACAGTATCTGATGAAATAGCAATATTCAAATGTAGGTATTACTCACTATATATCCAGTGATCCCAATGAGGCCTCGGTTTCCTTTATTCCCCTGACAACAGCAAAGACACAAGTTAGGATTAATGTTGAAACCCATTATGAACTTCAAATGAATCCCTCAATGTGTGATTGGGTTGCTCACTGAATTGAAACTGAACCCATTTCAATCTGGGATTAGTTGGAATGAAAATTAGCATTCACAGCAGAGCTCCGGAACCAGTGATATAAAAGACTCAAGTGTGAGAACATTTAGTTCCATGAAAACAAGACACTCAGTCTGACCTTGTCTCCTTTCCGCCCTCTGTTTCCCTGGGGTCCTGGTTCCCCTTCATAACCCTTAACAATACACAGAATTACTGTTACAAAGAATCGGTGGCAAGACTTATTGGAAAGTCTAGCCTACATCACATTTCTTCATTGGGCCTTGCAGGAATTTATTGCACAACCAATCGGTGGAAAGCATGCCGGCATATACTGCAGCTGGCACTGCTGAAATTTCCAGTCACGATGAAACCTTCATGGTCAGAGTACAGTAATAAGTTTGCCCTGCTTAAAACATTTACTTTGATGAGTTTCTGTCATCTGTCCACTGATATCTAATGTGTTTCTATTGGTCAAACTAAGATATATTCTACACAACGTTAGAAGTCCTAGCCATTCTTACCCACTCACCCAGCTCCCCTTTGCTGCCCTTCTCTCCTCTGTAACCCTGGAGACCCTGTTAGTACAAGTAGAGAGCTCTGTCAACAACACTGACACTGGAACAGTCTCTATTGATGTATAACACATGAAAACTCTTCAGCCTTTGTACAATGTGTTCTACCTGTTCCCCAGGTGGTCCTGCAGGGCCATCATCAGAATTTATACCATCAATCCCATCACTCCCAGGTCTTCCTGGAGGCCCGGGCATCCCTGGTGGTCCAGAACCCCCCTGGAATACAGACACGGATGGCATAAGATGGGGAATTCAGTCTCAGGCTCTCAGTGTGCTCAAACCTATAGCCAATGATAATGGCAGACAACATGCAGCCCAAGGGCCATGAGAGGTCCAATTCAAGACTGAAAGCGACCCACCCAATTTTTAAAATTAAATTGTATAGTAGTTCATTCCATCAATGGCCAGTATAGACTTCAGTGTGTGGCAATTCACCACAATGCTGGCCCTTGGAAATGTAAAACTTCTCCTCATTGGTTAGCAGACAAGTAGCTTCTAGCCAGGATGCAGAACAAATGTGAGGGTACAGCGTCTCGTCTGGCTACACAAGACTAGCAGATAATGATCAAAACCCCAATAGTGGTGCTGTGTACAATCAGAACAACAGCTTTCTGCGCTTTCTGTGTCATAGCTGAAGTAACACTGTGGTGAAAGTGGTTCCTTCGGTGTGTCAGCTGGGTTCACTGGCAATCAGATGTGGACAGCTTGCCCAGTCTGCTGCAATTGTGTGGCGCCACTATTGACACCGTCTGTCTGGGGCAGCCTTGCATTACTGGGCATCACCGCAGTAGCAGTGTGCCAGGGCAAAAAGAGCAACACTTAGCGGTGATGCATTTCAGATGCATGATCATTGAAAAAAAGCTCAAGCGCTAATGTGCTGTTAACACTTATATTAATGACGCTCTGGGCACTCACTGGAAATTCTCATATCCATGAAAGTGCTGCTGCTTCACAAACAGAAGTGCTGAAAGCAAAAGCAGCATGTAGCTTTTGGGCTCAGATCTCCAATGAATGCTAATGAGAGCACAGCGTTGACCTGTTGCCTGAAGTGGGTGTTGCTATGATACTGTGGAGTGTGGAAGCAGTCATCTGACTCATCTAACAGCATCCTGTGATCCTATTTCAGGGTTGTTAACATTCTGTGATAGCAGAGGAGGGAGAATAGAAACAGCAGATGGGTTAGCTTCACCTCACTGCTCTGTTTTTAGATCTCTGAGTTTAAGTAATTGTAGTTAACAGCTACATTCAGCATACCGTATGGACACGCTTAACATATACTTATCCTGTGTTCTCACAGTTGGAACTGCCAATTGGAATGAATCAGTAATTTATTTGGGTGATCACACATGCATATAAATCGATTTCCACTCATGGGTCCACATATCATCGACTGAGTTTCAACTCACAGGCAAAACAAGTTATGCCTCGGTGTAGATTCTGATCAAATTCAGATAAAACAGAGATACCTACGATTTTCCCTCCATCTCCTTTTCGTCCTTGTTTTCCAGGAATTCCCGGGGGTCCCTGGAACACAAACAATCTCTGCTGTCAGTGAACAAGCATTATGAGTGTGATGTGTCAATCAGTAGAGTCTAATAATGAGCAATGTTGGGATAATGATATACAGTATACAGTTATACGTTTACTCACAGGAGGTCCAGCATCCCCAGGGGGGCCAAGAGGCCCTGGAGGGCCCTTCAATCTCTGAGGATAAACAACCAAAGCTCTAATTGACATACAGTACATAGACTGTGCAATCATTTCAAAATAGAAAATGATATTCCTTTTGATATGATGGAATACAGTTTACTTGATATGCTGCATTGACAATAAACTGTGATTTAAACTCCTATGGTATACAGAAGGTTTGGCCACTATACTACCGCCTAAAGGGCATATCCTTCTAGTTGTTTCTGTCTAGAAACTACTGATATAGAGCTGAGATCACCTACCGGCCAAGTTGCAACAAGCTTTTTGTAGAATTTCTTTTTCTGCATAAAAACAGTACACACAACTTTTAAAGAAGAAATAAGAAATCAAAGGTCTGGGTATCAATGGTTCAATAATCAATGGTTTTATGCTGAAATATAATCACATTTATAATCACTCAACCAAACAAGAACACATTGACAGAGCCTTTGTCGTGTACTATGAAACACAGTATAAAAGCACCTTGAAGGCCTCCCACTCTTCCTCTGAGCTCTTGAACACTACGATGGCGGGCATCCCTGGTGGACCAATGGGGCCTCGGTAACCTGTGCGTCCAGTCCGGCCCATTCCGCCAGCATAGCCCTGTCAGGAGACAATACAAACTGAAGTGTTTTATGGACTTCCACAATATGGAAACATCTGCATGCACACCTACATGTCAATAGGAATCCGCAGAGCACAATCTAGAAATAATACTGAGTACCCAATAATACTGGGCAACAGAATTATCATACAGTGAGGGAAAAAAGTATTTGATCCCCTGCTGATTTTGTACGTTTGCCCACTGACAAAGAAATGATCAGTCTATCATTTTAATGGTAGGTTTATTTGAACAGTGAGAGACAGAAGAACAACAACAAAATCCAGAAAAACGCATGTCAAAAATGTCATAAATTGATTTGCATTTTAATGTGGGAAATAAGTATTTGACCCCCTCTCAATCAGAAAGATTTCTGGCTCCCAGGTGTATTTTATACAGGTAATGAGCTGAGATTAGGAGAACACTCTTAAAGGGAGTGCTCCTAATCTCAGTTTGTTACCTGTATAAAAGACACCTGTCCACAGAAGCAATCAATCAATCAGATTCCAAACTCTCCACCATGGCCAAGACCAAAGAGTTCTCCAAGGATGTCAGGGACAAGATTGTAGACCTACACAAGGCTGGAATGGGCTACAAGACCATCGCCAAGCAGCTTGGTGAGAAGGTGACAACAGTTGGTGCGATTATTCGCAAATGGAAGAAACACAAAATAACTGTCAAACTCCCTCGGCCTGGGGCTCCATGCAAGATCTCACCTCGTGGAGTTGCAATGATCATGAGAACGGTGAGGAATCAGCCCAGAACTACACGGGAGGATCTTGTCAATGATCTCAAGGCAGCTGGGACCATAGTCACCAAGAAAACAATTGGTAACACACTACGCCGTGAAGGACTGAAATCCTGCAGCGCCCGCAAGGTCGCCCTGCTCAAGAAAGCACATATACAGGCCCGTCTGAAGTTTACCAATTAACATCCGAATGATTCAGAGGAGAACTGGGTGAAAGTGTTGTGGTCAGTTGAGACCAAAATCGAGCTCTTTGGCATCAACTCAACTCGCCGTGTTTGGAGGAGGAGGAATGCTGCCTATGACCCCAAGAACACCATCTCCACCGTCAAACATGGAGGTGGAAACATTATGCTTTGGGGGTGTTTTTCTGCTAAGGGGACAGGACAACTTCACCGCATCAAAGGGACGATGGACGGGGCCATGTACCGTCAAATCTTGGGTGAGAACCTCCTTCCCTCAGCCAGGGCATTGAAAATGGGTCGTGGATGGGTATTCCAGCATGACAATGACCCAAAACACACGGCCAAGGCAACAAAGTAGTGGCTCAAGAAGAAGCACATTAAGGTCCTGGAGTGGCCTAGACAGTCTCCAGACCTTAATCCCATAGAAAATCTGTGGAGGGAGCTGAAGGTTCGAGTTGCCAAACATCAGCCTCAAAACCTTAATGACTTGGAGAAGATCTGCAAAGAGGAGTGGAACAAAAATCCATCCTGAGATGTGTGCAAACCTGGTGGCCAACTACAAGAAACGTCCCTTGCCAACAAGGGTTTTGCCACCAAGTACTAAGTCATGTTTTGCAGAGGGGTCAAATACTTATTTCCCTCATTAAAATGGAAATCAATTTATAACATTTTTTACATGCGTTTTTCTGGATTTTTTTGTTGTTATTCTGTCTCTCACTGTTCAAATAAACCTACCATTAAAATTATAAACTGATCATGTCTTTGTCAGTGGGCAAACGTACAAAATCAGCAGGGGATCAAATACTTTTTTCCCTCACTGTATGTGTCACTATGAATAGTTTAGATTCAGTAGATATTGTGTTAAAAAGTTAACATATACTTTATCCCCTTTTGGTCCAGGTGGCCCTGTCAAACCAGGTGGGCCCTGAAGTCCCTGGGAAAACAGATAAAACAATCCATTTCCATTAGTGTCTGTTTTCATGTATGACGTCTTGATACAAGAAGTAAAACTGTTATTTGGGTTTGCATAGAAAATACTATTTGGTTTTAAAATAAAATAATATAATATTGTTCTGCTTTTGTTAATCAATTACAATGAATAATTTAATTCCATTACTATTAAAGTTGTTTGCAAGGACTGCATGCCCACTGCTAATGTACTGGTATTGACAAGTGCTTAGATGCTGCAATTCCAAAACCTACCACTGGAGGAGGCATGTGTGTCTAGCTTACATTTTTTGGCAAAAGACTCCCACAGGCCACACTGATCGATCAACAGCATCCCCACCCTCTTTCAATATGGGTAATTTCTATATATATGCCGCATAATGGACCAAATCCCATCTGTAGGGCCATGCTAGTACACTTAAATGACCCCATTCCTCCACCACCCTAGGCTTAATTCAATAAGCTCAATGCAAACTCAATTTCGTTTGAAGGTCTTCAGACAGCTATGCAGCCTGACTGTAGACCAGAGCGCTGAGAATGCATGTCCCTTCATAACACCATAGTCTCATTGCTTGGAGGATGTTCTTGAACAATATGCAAATAATGGTGTTTGTATGTTCAAGGATACATGTGTGCATGTTAAATGTTTCTCTGCTCATTCAAACAGAATTAGAAGAGATATACAGGAAAATATGCTCAAATGTGCTCCAAAGTAATGCTCAAATGTGTGTCGATACCCCCCCAAAATATGCTATAAAAACCATCACAAATCTTTTCTTTAGCCAGTTAAAGTGTTCATGCCTCTGCTTTAGTGTGATGTGAAAAATGAAAAAAAATTATGAAAAATGTATGCACTCACTAACTGTAAGTCGCTCTGGATAAGAGCGTCTGCTAAATGACTAAAATGTAAAATGTAAAATGTGCATCTCTGTGAGTATGAGTGGAACTTTATACCTGTTGCATTCGAAGACCCGGTTTATTGGCTGTCCCTTGCTCTCTGAGTGTGTGTCTTGGTTGGTGATTGGCTGAAATGACAGGAACGGACAGGTTGTTCATCCTGGACTCGTAGAGTATCCTCTGAGCTTTCAGAGACAGACCCTGTGTCAGAGGTTGAGGTCTCGCCCCTGCTGCCATGGCGATGACCCTTTGACCTCTCTGCTCAGTGTCTCTGAGGAAACAGAAGTAAAACTCGGGCCACAGAGAGTCTGAGGGGTGCATGCTATGAGGGTACTGTGTCAAAGGACACATGCTGTGTACTTTACCTGGCACACTGGCAGGAGGTAGAGGGGTAGGGGGCAGTTCCCACTCTGATCCTCTCGGCTCCGGGGACATGAGCTCAGTTAGGACATCAATTTTGACGGCTCCCCCATTCTTTTTGAACTGCCTTGTGTTGACTTGAGTGATGTTGTGTGCCAACTTGCTGTCGCCTACATCTGTTTCCTCTGTCTCTGATTTCTTATCATTGTCCTCATCAACTTCTTCCATTTCTGTTTCTGTATCCATCTCTTCTGCTGACTCTGACTCTGTCTTTGTTTTTGTGTTGGTCTCTAGATCCTCTGCGGGTGGCTCCTGGGATAAAACGTTATCCCCCTTCTCCATGACTTGTCCAGCATCTGTCAAAGTCTTTGTCACAGTCTTTCTGCCCTTTTGTTTCTTGTTTGAAGCTTTGTCACCTGTTGATGTGGAAGTGATATCAGTGGTATTTTGAGGTGTTGCTCCCTCAGGTTTCTCCAAGGGCACCTCTGCTCCTGTAGCCACACTGTTAGGCAGAGGAGCCTCTGGGACAGTCTTTCTCCATGTGACAGTGCTATTCTCTGGAGGTAGCACTGGAGGTAGAGGAATCACAGCCTGCCTCAGTAGCTCCTCCGCATCTATTTTCTTGAATTCAAGGTTGGGTTGTATGGTGGGTTCTAAGGACCCTGTTGGTCTTGTAGGTCCAAAGGCCTGTTTGGATTCAGGTGGGATCTGTAAATCATCTAACCTAACTGATGCTTTTCTCCCTGAGCCTATTGATTCTCCATCCCTGTCTGACTCCTGGATCAGCAGGGCTGGTTCAGTGGGGTTTTCTGACCATGCAGTGGGACTGAGAATGGCTGTCTCCACTGTCTGAGACGGTACTACTACACCTTTCATCCCAGAGACATCTCTGGCTGTATTGGTTTGGTTTGGCCGATGAAGAGGTCCAGAGGTTTGTGAAGATACTGTTCTGTTTCTGACGCCTCCTGGACCCTGTGGCTCCTTTATTTTGATAGATGAAATGGGTTCAGAGGAGGCAGCCAGTTCACTGGATCTGTCACTCTCGGATGGCCTATCAGGAGCGGATAGGGGGGACTCTGCTACTGTGCCAGTATCAAGCCCTACATATTTTACTATAGTACTATTTCTAGTGATCTTTGCTACTTTATCATCCTGCAGTGTGGAAGTTTCATTCAGCCATCCTGTCTTATGAGTGATCTTTGACTTGTCTGTTTCAGGTGTTATCCTTGTCTTTCTCTGTGTCTCTGGCTCTGACTGAGCTCTTACTGATGGAAATGACTGTGCTGATAGGTTAGTGCTCTTGGCTGTGTCCTGTTCTGCACTCTGATCTCTCAGCCTGGGTCCATGAGACTCCCTCCCTGAGGAATCTTCTTCTCTGAATGATGCCCTGGTCGCAACTTGAGCAAGCACCTTCTCAGCAGCTGAAACCACTTGCTCCTGGAAAATAAGTTGAAATAAAAACAAATATAAGATGTTAATTCTCATATTCATCTTAAAAATAAGAATCTAATCAGGATTGTTATATGCCTGTAAAGAAAAGAGTGTGCTTGGAGTACGCTTCAATTTGAAAGGGACTTAAAAGAAGAACGCCCTCAAATACATTTTTTCCCAGAGAGATCACACAAGCTGCGGAGGAACAGTTATGGTCCAGATTGTCTAGTTTGGGTCCAAAACAAATCAGATTTTATTCTCTCATAAACCTTGCACTCTCACGCAGACTGTTTTCATGACCCGATGGAGCCAACCAACAGACAGACATGGAATTGTGGCGCAGTTAAAATTCCAAGCATTAGTGCCACACAAACAAAACATTATTTTTATCAGTCACATATAGCATTATTGGTTGTCAATTTAAGCCCTACACCTGCTATAGACCTTTGTGGACCATACCTGTTTGTCTGTGTGAGGGATGCAGGTGTTGTAGCCTTGACAGTGCTGTCTGGCTGCTGTAGGATCACCCATTATGAAGGTCATCTGTTGTATGGTGCCCTGGACATGGATCAACCAAACAATAAAACATGCTATCAATGCCTTTTTCAAATCATCAGCATTGGAGCAATACTTTGTAGCTCATATTTGTCTGTGTAATATTTTTTCATATAATTTGAAAGCTGTCATTCATGTCTTTGCAAAAATAATGTATTCACATTGTCTATTGATCCCAATGTAGAGATCTATTGGTGTCCCTTGTGACACAAACAATGATGAGGATGGGAAATGCTTGGCCATAAAACAACAGATGGAAAATCATCTATACAGTAGAGGGAGTGCATGAGAGTTTTGGGCAAAATCTATGGCCCATGAAGCTATCGCTACTCAATAAAAAGTCAATTTCTAAATGTAATCTTCTCAATAAGGGAAATCAATTGGTATGAATAATATTACCCAAAATACAAAAATAACAGGCAAAAACAGCAATCCAAGCAGCTCAATTCCTGAACCAAGATAACTTGGGAATGATAATATTTGCATCATTAAACATAAAACATTTGATATGATCAATAAATTAAGTCTACCTTATTAAATTATGTGTTCATTTGAAAAAAAAGAAGCTTTTAGCTGTCCTATCTTTTTTATCTGAGCAGATAACAGACAACCTTACTCCCTCATCAATCACATCGTGGCATGTATTCAAACAAAGTTGAGTGAGAACTTTTGGATCAATGACCTAGCCAGGGAGGACAGGACAGGTCTCAGACAGTGTTGACACTGCGGTCAGACTGGCGGTCTTTGTTTGAGGATGTCATACAATGACAGTGTTATTCCATGGGTCCACCTAGGGTCAAGTAGCATTGACCCCGATGCCTGGGCACTGTGACCCTGTGTAAGAGGCCGACTGTCAGGCAGCTGGGAAGTAGAGCCTCGCCATGAAACTGTGGCAGCTTTCACTAGTCACATGTTTGCCTTGCTCAGACAGGCTCCATCCCATCCCACACTCAGAAAAAAAGGCACTGAATTGTACTTAAAGGGGTACAAATGCTTGTCACTGTAGTGGTACCCTGTAAGGTACGTCCATTGTACCATTACTTATAGGTACATAGTTGTACCCTTGCAGATTGTACCTTAAAAGGAGCCAATAGTGTACCACAGGTACAAAACCGTACTTTCAGAAAAGGTACACGTTTGGCTTTTTAGGGTACCACCACAGTGACAAAGCCGTTTGTTCCTTTTAAGTGGCAAAAATGTACCTCTTCTCTGTATCAGGTCCCTCACGTATACACACCTCTCCACCATCCCACTTTTGATAACAATGTAGCGAATTGGAGGGGTAGCCCCAACCAGGACTCGAACCTGGGTCCAGCGATTGTCAACACCTTAACCATTACGCCAAGAGGTCTGCACCTCTAGACAAGGCCGCTCAGTGTTGTGTTAAGGTTGCTACAGTGGGGGAAAAAAGTATTTAGTCAGCCACCAATTGTGCAAGTTCTCCCACTTAAAAAGATGAGAGAGGCCTGTAATTTTCATCATAGGTACATGTCAACTATGACAGACAAATTGAGGAAAAAAAATCCAGAAAATCACATTGTAGGATTTTTAATGAATTTATTTGCAAATTATGGTGGAAAATAAGTATTTGGTCACCTACAAACAAGCAAGATTTCTGGCTCTCACAGACCTGTAACTTCTTCTTTAAGAGGCTCCTCTGTCCTCCACTCATTACCTGTATTAATGGCACCTGTTTGAACTTGTTATCAGTATAAAAGACACCTGTCCACAACCTCAAACAGTCACACTCCAAACTCCACTATGGCCAAGACCAAAGAGCTGTCAAAGGACACCAGAAACAAAATTGTAGACCTGCACCAGGCTGGGAAGACTGAATCTGCAATAGGTAAGCAGCTTGGTTTGAAGAAATCAACTGTGGGAGCAATTATTAGGAAATGGAAGACATACAAGACCACTGATAATCTCCCTCGATCTGGGGCTCCACGCAAGATCTCACCCCGTGGGGTCAAAATGATCACAAGAACGGTGAGCAAAAATCCCAGAACCACACAGGGGGACCTAGTGAATGACCTGCAGAGAGCTGGGACCAAAGTAACAAAGCCTACCATCAGCAACACACTACGCCGCCAGGGACTCAAATCCTGCAGTGCCAGACGTGTCCCCCTGCTTAAGCCAGTACATGTCCAGGCCCATCTGAAGTTTGCTAGAGTGCATTTGGATGATCCAGAAGAGGATTGGGAGAATGTCATATGGTCAGATGAAACCAAAATATAACTTTTTGGTAAAAACTCAACTCGTCGTGTTTGGAGGACAAAGAATGCTGAGTTGCATCCAAAGAACACCATACCTACTGTGAAGCATGGGGGTGGAAACATCATGCTTTGGGGCTGTTTTTCTGCAAAGGGACCAGGACGACTGATCTGTGTAAAGGAAAGAATGAATGGGGCCATGTATCGTGAGATTTTGAGTGAAAACCTCCTTCCATCACCAAGGGCATTGAAGATGAAACGTGGCTGGGTCTTTCAGCATGACAATGATCCCAAACACACTGCCCGGGCAACGAAGGAGTGGCTTCGTAAGAAGCATTTCAAGGTCATGGAGTGGCCTAGCCAGTCTCCAGATCTCAACCCCATAGAAAATCTTTGGAGGGAGTTGAAAGTCCGTGTTGCCCAGCGACAGCCCCAAAACATCACTGCTCTAGAGGAGATCTGCATGGAGGAATGGGCCAAAATACCAGCAACAGTGTGTGAAAACCTTGTGAAGACTTATAGAAAACGTTTGACCTGTTTCATTGCCAACAAAGGGTATATAACAAAGTATTGAGAAACTTTTGTTATTGACCAAATACTTATTTTCCACCATAATTTGCAAATAAATTCATAAAAAATCCTACAATGTGATTTTCTGAAAAAAAAATCTCATTTTGTCTGTCATAGTTGACGTGTACCTATGATGAAAATTACAGGCCTCTCTCATCTTTTTAAGTGGGAGAACTTGCACAATTGGTGGCTGACTAAATACTTTTTTTCCCCACTGTACCATATTAATTACAGCTCTTTATTGTCGCATGCTCTTATGTAAGAGTTTATAAAGACTTCAGAACTGGCAGCAGACATGCTCAAACTTTAATTAACATAACCATAGACCACATGAACTGGTACAACACTTCCACTCACGGGTGGCCAAATATAACTAACTGAAAGCTACACCCCTTTTAATCCACGCCTCCAACCTGGGAAACAGAAATGTACCTTCACTTTCTTTGTGAGTGTGTGATGATTGTACCTTTATATAAAAAAAGAATTATACAAAAATGTACCATTATACTAGATTATCCGCACATGTACCTAAAAGGTACCGAACTGTACCATGTGAGATCATATGTATACCTCTGAAGGTACATTATGTGTATATTGATATTTTTGTACCCCAGGGATCAATACTGTAGCCTAATGGTACCCTTTTTTCTGAGAGCGCAGGCCGTTCTCATATATGTCAGTCTCTGATTAAACACAGTCAAACTAGGGACAACGTTTTTAAAAAGGTGAGTTAACAGAATGATGTCATCCCTCCCAAACCTAAAACGGTCTATAATTAGACCAGGGCAGTGATTTAGGTAAACCGAGTCTCCAACGGGAACGGCTGAAAACAAAACAAGTCCCATTGATGTGGAGGAGAGGCCTTGTCAGGGACACCACTCTCTGAGCCTTCACATGTCAAACAGCTATAGCAGTGATTGAAACTTCAAATCATAGAGCAAATAAGTAATGGGGAAATACATGCAAAAAACCTCCAAAACAACTGAAGTTTCTACTATCGAATGCATTAGGTTGCCTTGGAGATACCACTTTTCACTGAACAAAGTACTCAATCATATTCAGGCCTCTCAGTTTTTCCCTGTTGTCACTTTAATGTCAAGGCCAAGGCCAAAGACAGGGTCAGACATCATAATATTACACTCATTCTGTATAATATTACTTGTTGCATACGCAACTATTACATAAAGTACTGAGATATTACTGTGGTCTTGGGTTTGCCACTGCAAAGAGGCCAGTTTTTACCCAATGATTTATGAGAGTTGTCTTGCGAATGTGAAAATCTTCTCTGTCCCTCATCTGCTCGCATGCACATGTAAAAAGGCCTCAGGCTTGATCCACAGATCCAGGGCATATTCCAGTCACAGGCTGTACACTGCGTACCCACCACATGAAGATGCAGGGGCAAGTAGTTACTAACAGTTGCATTTACAGAAAACCATAAAAGAACCAAGCAATGCTGTACTGGGAGAAGGCTGATAAAAAAGAAATAACTCAATCAAAAGGGTTTAGTAAATTGTTAGTATTGGGCCTTCATCCTATGTTGCATGTGACCAGGAACAATCTTCCTAACACAACAAAAGAAAGCAAAACACAACAATCTTGTCCAATCATCCTTCTAAAGTCTTGCATTGTAATTCTTACAGCACTTGTTGCTTACTTTACATGTGAGGTACTACTGTCAATGAAAAATCGAGCACAGAAGAACCAGAATTCAAGCAGAATCCATAACAACTACATTTCAATACAACACAATCCCCTGCTCTTCCCTTACCCCAGAATATACCCCATAGAGCTGATAGTAGAGGAGGACTTACATAGCTGAGTAGCAGCAGAACCACAGCAGGGCCGTGCATCGCTGCAGAGCTGACAGACGGTTGATCCCTCTGACTGCAGTAAGAACAGGTCTCCCTGTCTCACTCACACACACACTTCACCCAGCACCCAGTGCAGTGCTAGAACAGACCCCTCCCTGGAGAAGGGCCAGTGCTAGGCTGGCTCCCACAGACACAGACACAGGCCATAGCAGTGACAGAATGACCAGGAAAATAGCCCTCAACCACAGCAGACAATTGCCACACACAAATTCACAAGGTGACAGGTCCACTTCCTATGTACAGTGTGTAGCTCCAGACAGTCAGATCAGTATCCACCAGGGAACTTCTTACGCGTAAACATCAGTATATTCCATATGCACTGGTCACTTATTTTCAGATGGGAGTGCTAGTTGTTGGTGTGTGTGGTATGTGTTAGTCCTGCTTTGTTCATCTGCAGGGAAGGACAGAGTGAGGGGAGACGTGAGGTTTTATACAGGCGGGGCATCAGTGAGGCAGCAGCAGCAGTGTCATCCATGGAGACCTTGTCACTGACGTGGACCAGGATGAGGGATGTCTCTTGAGATGGCTAGACTCAGAGACCATCCACACCACACGCCTGCCTGTGTCCACACACACCTTGGTTGGCTTAGACAAGCCATACAGGACCACCAAATGCAATATGATGATGGTTCTCCATTGATTTTAATATGTTATCAGGCAGCGCTCAGAACTACCCAAAGCGCCAATATGAAACTCAAAAACAAAGCTCTGAACAGCTTCAAATGTTAATAATATTCATTTGATTCAAATGGACAAAATTCTAATTATGCATTGAATGCATCGTAAAACTGTTTAATCATCAAGAACAATATCAGTTCAAATAAGACAAGTTAATTAATTAGTAAAATAACATAATGTGACTAACTCCACCAGAAGATATGATTAATCAGCATAGATCACCGGGTCAATTTGACCTGTCTACCCACTGGGCACAGACGTCAATTCAACGTCTATTCCACATTGGTTCAACGTAATTTCATTGAAATAACGTGGAAACAACATTGATTCAACCAGTGTGTGCCCAGTGGGTACTGATTAGTCCAATCAAGCCAAAAAAATGTTTGTGCCATTGAACTTCATATTGAGCCAACCCTCCTCCCTGGTGCATCCCCCTCTTTTCCCCTGGGGTGGGAGGAGGACTGGGGCCGATGTGAGGAATGTAGCACGGGGGTCAGAAAAGCAATGGGCTTACGGTAAAGGGTGTGTGGTAGGGCTGGGTGGCCCCTCCCAGCAGAGTGAGACCCTGGGTGGAGACCTCCAAGCCGGGGTAGTTCCTCCAGGGTATACTCTCCAGCAGGCTGCAGTCAGCATACACCTCCAGTCTGGACAGAGAGACAGACAGGGCCAGCCAGTGCCACTCTCCATCCCACAGGAGGCCTGCTGGGAACCTGCCCAGAGGAGGGGGACACAGAGGGAGAGGTGTGGTGGATCAGTATAGACAATTGGTATAGAGCCACTCCACTGTAGAGGACATTGTGCCTATGAGCTACAGCAGGAGTAGGCAACTGGAATCACCCACGGGCCGAGTTTTTTTGGAGCGAATGGTCGGGGGGCTGGAAAATAATTCTAATAATTTGTACATTGCAATTTTACTAAAAACTTTGGGGCTCCCAAAAAATTACTTGGCTGCCTGTTGCTGACCCCTGTGCTACAGTGTCTATGTCAGGTGGAATTAGTCATTTAGCTTTTTCTTGAGGGCAAAATAAATGATACGCTCAAAGGTCTTTCATAACATTGTAATCGGAGACATACAGTATATTGTACATCAACCATTCTAATGCCATGCATTACAACATCATCAGCCATAGCCCGTGGCGGTGAGGATAATCAAATCAAATTTGAAATCAAATAACATTTTATTTGTCACAAGTTTCATAAACAACAGGTGTAGACTAACAGTGACATGCTTACTTACGGGCCCTTTCCAACAATGCAGAGAGATAAAGAGAAAATAATAGAAAGATAATAACACGAGGAATAAATACACAATGAGTAAAGATAACTTGGTGACTGTGTGCGTGTATGTGTGTATATGTGCATGGCACATGTACTGTATATGTTGGTGCTGTCTCACTCGTAGTGGCGGCTCCAGGTACTGATGAAGGTGAGTAGTCCAGGTCCCAGTCTCAGCTGTAGCAACTCCTCCCCTTCCTCTGACAGTACCGCTAGCAGGCTCCTCTCCTCCATCCACGGCCCCCCCAGCCTCAGCCTCATCACGATGCTCAACTCATCTGAAAACCTGACACATACACACGTCTCACACGTCAGGCTCCCACTGCATCATCAAGCACTCACACGCTTGACAGTCTTGTCTATGCAATCATGACTGACGCAAATTAGCAAGCCAAATAAGGCTATTTTGCATTCCAAGTGGAGTGAAGTTGAATTTAGGTTATGTTTCAGACAGGGTAAGTGATATACTGTTCCTTTAAACACATAGAAGCACTGTGACGAGTGGGTCCATCCAGACCAGTTTCACACGCCAATGCAAAGTTTACCACAACGCTGGCAAATTAATTCAGCTTTAGTGCCTGACATGTCAACATTCAACTTCAGGTTCAGCACCAAAGCATAATGTTAACCTTGAGAGCAAGACACTTCATCGAAAGAGAACTTCCTCATCTACCCAATAAATTAAGGCATTTCGTCAATGCTTTGAAACTTCAAAATAAAGGTTAAATAAAAAAACTCAATATTATTTGATTTTCTCGTTACATCAGCTTGCTGGTTATCATTTCCACAAGCTGTTTATCTATATGACTTACTGAGGGCCAAACGCTGTGTGTGTGGGGAGGAACAAAGTGGCGTACTGTCCGATCTCGTAGGCCAAGCAGCCCCTGTCATCCTCTGCTGTAGAGACATTGTAGTGGTCTGGGGAAAGCATGTCCAAGAGGTCCAACAGATCCACTTCTAGAAAAGCGAACAAAACATGCATCTCAGAGACAGGATTGTGGGACTGAAGGGTATAATGTGATAGCTGTGGAAATACCCAACTTTGATTGAAATGAATGTTAGGAATTCATCAGCCATCACCTCAATCTATGGAATTGAAACAAACTGATCTGGGCAGGACTTTGATGTAAGTAAGAGTTCATCAGTTAGTTTAAAAACAAGCTGGATGTGATCATGTTCTCCCACATCTGTTTGGCCAGCCAATGTGAGGACAAGGTGAGATACCAGCCGCTGATCATTGGAACAGGTTGCTGTGTCTACCTAGAGAAGAGAGAACTTGGCTGCCCTCTCTGTGAGATCAAAGACTGGAGCCTCACCTGCTGCCAGTATGGAATGTCTGGGTGGAATCACCCCAAGCATGAGAGCAACCTCCATGTTTGACATGGACCAACTCTCTGCCTATTTTAAGGGGCTCTATGACAGCACTGTGTGGCGAAAGCCAGAACCATAAAGATATATGGCTTTGGTGAAGTTGGCATGGCTATAGTAACGAAGAAGGAACACATTACACAAAACAACACCTTCCTACTAAACACATGTTTGTTACAGATTTTCTTAAATAAATTATCACAATTCTGGGATTACCACAGTATCAAAAATGATCTCAGTACCTTCAATATCAATTACTGTAAATACACCAAACATACGTACAATATATTGCTGCCATGACCAGATCCCTTTTATCCTGGGATGCCTTACTCACCTTTAGCCAGGGCTGGTGTTAGGTCTCCCCTGCCTGGTCCTGGTTGGACAGGGCACAGCCCATGTGAGGAACCATCCTGAGAAGCTCCCTCTCCCAGAGCCCCAAACAGACTTAGTCCTGCCCAGAGAAGCAGCAAGGTCTCTGCCATGCCAACCCCTCCAGGTGCCCTTCTGGTGCCCATCATATCCCGGTAGGGGGGGGGGGGGGGGACCAGTGAGGAGGATCTGAGGACACAATCACAATGACTCACTGTATCAGCGTTGTCATGACTGTGTTCTCCTCTCACACACTGTAGAGATCTCTGCCACTGCCTGTCTACCGCTCCACTGAACCACTCTCACCTGAGTTATGTGGGTACATACACGCCCATATCAAACCACATGTGGTTTATCTTTAGCATACCGAGACAAAGCCAAGCAGCCAAGCGAGAAGAGACACAGCTCTCCACATCACCATAAATATATCTGCTACATCTAAAGCAGTGAGCTGTGTGATTTATACATGATATAGGTTTAATAAAAAATTTAATCATCAAAGATGAGACCAAAACACCTGCTCAAAAATAAATCTCTCTTCTCCTCATTTCGCTGGAGTCAAAATTCTGTGTTAATACTTCAACGTTTTCGCTGAGCATAAAAATTAAGCCATAAATTGATTTTCAAAAGACGATTTGTTACCACAGCTTAGTTGAAATTTAATTGAAGAGGATTCATCCTTTTTAATGGTTCTTTACACAGATATGCAAATTGTTTTTTGTCAAAGTCATAGACAGGCATCTAGATTGAAATATGGTATAAACAGTCCATTAAATTAGACATGTATTTATTTATATATACTACATATATACCAGAACGCTTTTCTATACCAGAAATTCAGAAGCAACATAAAACTCATCATGTTTCACAGAGCAGTGGGCCCATATAGGCCAGCAGAACATTGGACCAAATACGTCCTATTCACATTTCAGAAACATGTCAACAAAACAAATTACAACACGGCACATGATATAATATAAGCTCTTTTTTTGGGAACAATCACTGTTCAAAAGGATGTTGAAAAGTGGAAATGTACAAATGCTGGACTCAAAACTCACATGTAAACATAATTCTGTTGGGGTCTGATGAGAGAGAACGCCACTGAGTGCACATGGATCCGTCAACTGCTCTGAGTCACCCTACTCACAGGCAGGCACATTTTATCACTATCACCATAACCATCACTGTCCCTATCATCATCATGTTGCTACAACACAGAGCTGTATCAGGCTAAACTCTGTTTTTATACAGCACTGTAAAACCTGTTGGCAAAAACAGTCAGTCAGTGTTCAGAGTAACCTCGGAGTTAACTTAAAAATAAATCATAGTTAGGAATCATCCATAAAAACATCCATATTTAAATAATTTGCATCAAAGGACAGATAGTATTCATTATTACATAAAAGGCAACACATCCTCAAGACACTCGATTCTATTTACAGGAAAAATGGCTTTGTAGACTATCTTTTCAGTACTATCCAAGATATGGACATGCCATGTCTGTTGTTTCCATATTGTTCTGTAGGAGAGGCCAGTTTTGCTGCTGTCCAGTGAGGGTCTATAGTTCAGGGCTGGACCTCATCCAGGGCCTCACAGTGGACATCATGCGTAATCCAGTGAGGTGACAGTGACAGACAAAAGCAGGGCAGAGGGTCCTCTGTCCAGAGACACACTGAAGGGCACACAAGAACCCACCATATTTATGCTGAAAATGACAACTAGAGCATTGACATGGAATGTCAATGCTGGAACACCTGACTTTCCAGCATTGACATGGAATGTCAATGCTGGAACACCTGACTTTAGAGGGATCAAAGCACCAGAGCTCTGGAAATGTACAGTATCTATCAGGGAAAGGTCAGGTCCTTGCTCGACAGGTTTGTCTCATGTCTCGTCTTGAAGTAGATGGTCATATCTACTGGAGAGAACAACCGTTTTTGTTCTCAGGTGAGAGCTCATGATCGGTGAGTTAGCTGGTGCATACGGTAAGTCCTGTTGTGACACCACCTTCTCCATTGGCTGACTGACATGGAACCATTTAGTAGACATCACTGCCTGAGAAAGACCCCATTGACGTAGTGTGAGATGAGAGAGGAGAGTTGTTTTAAAGCAATGTCTGTGACAACCAATGTCTGTTGCAGACCCCTACACACCTATCACTGTTTCATCATCATGATCCACAAAGATCTGATAACTGAGAACTTCCTTCTTATCTTACAGGAGGAAAATAGCACAATTTCAATACATTCCTGATACTTCAGTGCCACATGCTATGTTTCTGCTACACACTGTACTTAAAACATACTTAGTCTGTTTCATAGGTCTAAGAAGTGAGGATACATTCTCTACATCTTGAGTTATTCAACTTTGTTATTCATCAAAATCCAACTGGTGAACATTTGCACTGTACGCCAGAAGTCCACTCCCCATATCTTCCTTGTCTTGTTGATTTGGCAAACATATTGCACTCCTACAAACACACACACTCTTAGAAAAGAAGGTGCTATCTAGAACCTAAAAGGGTTCTTCGGTTGTCCCCATAGGAGAACCCTTTAAATAACTATTTTTGGTTCCAGGTAGAACGCTTTTGGGTTCCATGTAGAACCCTTTCCATAGAGGGTTTTACATGGAACCCAAAAGGATTCTACCTGGAACCCAAAAGGGTTCTACCTGGAACCAAAAAGGGTTCTCCTATGGGGACAGCTGAAGAACTCTTTTGGAACCCTTTTTTCTAAGAGTGCAGATACACACACGTACAGATGCACACTCAGTACACGACCTGACAGTGTGCTTCAGACTGAGGACCCCTGTCTTTCTGATACCCAGTTTTGCTGTCCATCTTCCTCCTCTTCCTCTCCAAGTCCCGGCCCTAACAGCGGTCATCCTCGTCGGTGTCACTCAGGAGCTCGCAGGCGGCCACAGAGCTGGCCTGACCCAGGCGTTTATGGAAGTGTCCGTTGGGGACCTGCCAGTTGTGTCTGAGCTGGGGGGCAGAGCTGATGGTGTTGGCCCGGCCCAGACTGGTTGCAATGGCCGCCTCGAAGGTCAGAGTCTCATCAAGGCCTGAGGAGTCTGGGCTGTGTAACTCCTCATGCAGGGGCAAGTACGGCTCCGAGATGTACCGGTGAGGTGAGGGGTGCGGGTGACTGACCCCTAACCCTGGGCCACCCACGCCTATTACCACCCCCACCCCCGCTCCTGACACTGGGGTTGGCCTCTCCCCCTCCTCCCTCAACGAGGACTCCTCCGTCTCTCCGGGGGCCTCCTGGGTCCGGGCTCTGCCCTCGCTGACAGCAGAGGGGGAGAGGTGGGCTCGGCACACCAGAGGGGAGTAGGAGATGTGAGGGCGTGGCCGCAATGGCGTCTGGGGGAGCTGGCGCCGGCCGCGGGGGGTGCTGGACAGGCCTGGGCTGCCTGAAGTGTCCCCCTGCAGAGAGAAGAGACCTCACACATAAACCAAGCTTCAATGGTAGTAGGGACAGTGTTTGACAGGTAAAGCCAGGATTTGAATAATAATAGGCTCAGGGCCGTTGAGAGAACACCCACCTGTCTGTGGTGGACATGTGTGCGTCCCTCGCTGGGGGAACGGGACTGCTTGCGTTCCTGTGACGGGTCCTGGCTCCGCTCCTCAGAGTTGCAGCGGGACACGTCAGGAGACAGCAGGTGGCGTCTCTCTTTGGAGCGCCCCCGCTCATGATCCACTGGTTCCCTGAGGTTGCACCTGATTCCTGAGAGGCAGGGGGAGAGAGGGGAGCTATGAAGAGGAACAAAGTATAGTAAATACAGCCTTCATCAGAGGGCATCTGAAACTGAGAACTTCCACTGTTCTTCAATGGGGCTATGAAAGGGGAAAGGATCAGTGAATGGACCCCAAGCAGAGGCATAGTGGAGACACGTAAACTCAGTGGCTGACTGTTACTGTGTGTAAAATACCTCTGATGCTCCTCTGTCGTGGTCTGTTCAGACGGTCAGGACTGACCCTCTTCAGAGAGTACTCCTCCTGCCACAGCCCATTCACACACTGATCACCAATAGTGGAGAAGGAGCGCTTCATCGATTTGCTGCTGTCTGTCCCCACCTACACACAAACAGATAAACACATACACACATACAGTAGACACACACACACACATATACATATACAGACATATACACACATATACATTTGGTTGAGAGAATGTGGGAGGGTAGATAGTGTGTGGAGTTCTAATCTGAGTTCTGAGCAGAAGACTTTCTCTCATCCACCACACACATTCCATGTTTAATACATGCTTTTTATATAGCACTTTTCAAGGACCCAAAAGCCACTTCCAAGCCATATTAACTTGGACAAAAAAGACAACATTTTGGGAAACCTGGCACACTGACATTTTTGCCACGCAAGGCTTTAATATAAACCATCAAAGTATGCCATCTACACTGTCAACAACCATGAAGGTAGCAGCTGAAATCAGATGTATATACTGTAGCAACCTAGTTAACACCCAATCCTCCTCCACTTCATGGCTGATTGCCGTATCTATGTGCCTGCACTGCTCCAGTGTTCAGTCCCTCTGAAGCCCCCACAGAGGCTGTCTGCCTGGGTCCTGTTCTCTCTGAGGCCCCATGGGTAGAGGAGGGGAGGTGAGGGGCTGTAACAGGTACCTGTGTGTCTACAGCCAGCCGAGGCATAGAGGAGGCTCGGATAGAGACTGCTCGCCCGGGCACCCTGAGTGGGGCATCCTGCCTGTTAGTGGGGCAAAGGTTGCGGTTAAACTCTTTGCGCTCCGGAACCTATATAGTCAGAGAAAGAAGGAGGGGAGAGAAACACAGCAGAGTTCTAATGTGTGAAAACAGAGTTTGCAGCAATGACGTCAGAGGACCAGCAGAGGGCTACTGTACCAACACGTCACAAGCAGATGTAGTATGCTGACTGACATTTTGTACAGTATCGCTATCGAATAGCCGTACACCCTCTTTACTCAGATTAAAAGCACCAGCTGAGCACAACGACAGCCAAAGCACTGTGTGTTGGCGGTGTAATGTATGAATTTTTCATTATTCATTGTGAACCTGTGTGAGTGGTGCCTGTCTGGAGTGCTCAGAAGTACTGTGAGTACCACTGTCAACTAGGGGCTGACAACCAGGCGGGCAGGGCAGAGAGGAGGGGCTGAGGGGAGGAAGTGAGCGGTGTCTACATGCGCAACAAGGGCTTAAAGCTTAAGATGGAGCTTGATTAACTGAAAGTCATGAAGCGGAGGCAAGAACCAGTCACAGGCATGCAGGCATAGGAAACCAAAACGCCCCACTCTTCACTAAAGAGCTGAGAAGAGCTGAGAAACCATAACCAGGAAATATGAGCAGTTTCCTCCAACAGAACTCTGTACAGCTGCTCAAAGAAAAGAGAGATGGGTGGGAGTTCCATATGGCATATAGCTCTGTTTGATGACAAAGGTGCCAAATACCAACACAGCACAGTTAAACCACAAAACCATGAGAGCAGTGCTGACATCAAACCACCAGAGACAAGCCGCTGTCTCCGTCTCTGTTCCATTCACACACTTACAGAAAGTCACACACTTTCATGTGGTCAGAGTCACACTCCCCACAGTGCCAAAACTCAGCAGAGTCACGACAATCTTGCAAAATAAGCATAATACGCATGGTTCATCAAAGCCTATGGCGGAGAAATTATGATACCATTCAAAGAAATGGGTGAGTAGTGATAAATGCCTTAAACAAGGGACACTGTGTGGAGTGGACAGCATGGTGAGACATTGCCATGGTGAAGTTAAGAATGACACAGAAGGGGGCCAGACAGCCGTATCAGCTACTGCAATCCAGCTCTGCTAGATAGAACTGGCTTTGACTGTGTAGAGTTAACAAGAGTAGGTGTGTGTTTGAATGGCTTTGAGTGTAAGGTAAGAGTGTGCATGACTCACAGATGAGTGAGGGACCAATCTGTTCTGGGTCTAATAGCTATGATGACAGTCTGATCAACAGCAGTGCTTTTTAAAATGTTGTTTCAGACAAGAGTTTGATGATGAAGCAGAATATACTGCCACCATACATCAAATCTCTCAACACAAATCACAAATCAACACCCTCCCACGACCACCCCCCACCCCACCCCAATAATCAACTAGCGTCAGAATACTGAATATTGATTGGGCCGGGGCCTCTTGGGTAACTTGTTCATTTGTGGACAGAGACAACTAATTGGCTGGACAGTGACACAGAGATGGATGGGGGAGTGGATGAGTCAGAGTGAGTCCAGTCAGACGCTGCCTCTGCTGGGAGAGACAGCCTCAACCCCCCCCCCACCCCCCCCTCCCCTCTCCATCTCTCTGGATCACAAGCACAGCCTACCAGACCATAACCCTTCTCACCCCATCATATCTCACTGGAGGTTTACCCATCAAAAGTCTACTAATGCATTATGTTTGTAATAATGACACAATCATTTCCACATTAAGTGTGTAACACAGTAATACATACATATAACATACAGTGTGATATAATGTATTGTACTGCTTAGTTGAGGGAGCTTGCAAGTAAGCATTTCACTGCACCGTTTAAACCTGCTGTAAACTGTGTACATGATGAATAAACTTTGATTTGAGTGTGTTTCTGGGGGTGTTACAATACTTGAGACCCAGTCCTTACCAGTGTGTGGAGCTGGTGGTGGAGTTGGTGGTGGTGGTGATAGTGGTGGTAGTCCTCCTCCTTGTCCTCTAGGTCCTGGGACATGGGCTGCATGAACATCTCCTGAGGGGATATGGGACTCAAGGCCACAAAACCTCCTCTGGTCCTGATGGAACAGATAAGAAGACAGACAGACACTCAGAATGGCATGCCTATCTAGGATGAACACACATATGTTAACTACATCTCCAGGCACACACACACACAGGATCAGGGACTTCAGGAGTAGGGCTGTGGCGGTCATGACATTTTGTCAGCCTGTTATTGTCATGCAGCCGGTTATTGTGGCTCAGTTGGTAAAGCGTGGCACTTGCAACGCCAAGGTTGTGGGTTCGATTCCCACGGGGGACCAGTACGAAATAAAATTATGAAAATGTATGCACTCACTTCTGTAAATCTGCTAAATGACGTGAACGTAAAAATACTATTGGTCTCACGTTAATTAACGTAAACATTTTTAGCATCTCCAGCCCTCCACGCATATGAGCTGCATACAAGCCGCTGATGCGCGCCTTTGGAACATCTACATTTAAAAAAGTATAATAAATCAATATAATATACACCATCACAATAAATCCGTTATTTATGTTAGTCAGGTCTAAAGAAACATTATGATATGAAGAAAATGTATTTCAGAAGAACAGAATATGAGTTGGCCTACTGTATGTTATCTGGCTATGCCCCATGCCATAGGCTGTAGGCTTGTTCATTTAGCTGATAAGATATGCTTATAAGTCCTGTGCCATTATTTTATATTATATGATTTTATAGTAAGAAGAATATAATTGAACTAGCTGAATAAAATAGAAAGTGTAAAAGTGATCATTTGAAACAGGTCCTATACTCTAGATTTAGAGTTATTTGGCAACTTTAGTTGTGAATGATACAAACCTTAGAATGTCTTAGAAATCAAAACATTATTGGGCTTAATATGAGCAGATGAGAAATAAATATAAGAACACTTATTTCACTCCATGCATGTACCACTGTTTGAGGAGCATGCTCTCGCTGCACGACAGGTCATATTCCGCCTAAACTCTGTATGCAATGGGCTCTCCAACCCCGTTCCTGCAGCTACCCAGTGCTTAATTTGGGAAACCAAGCGAATGAAATCTGTTCGGGAACATCGATAGTTACATGTTTACGCAACAAAACATATTTCACTAAACTGTTGACAGCCCCTCTGCACGCTTGAGAAAGGAATAAAGGAGAGAGAGGAGGAGATGGAAACGTATGGGGGCGGCAGGTAGCTTAGTGGTTAAGAGCGTTGTGCCAGTAACCGAAAGGTCGCTGGTTCTAATCCCCGAGCCGACTAGGTGAAAAATCTGTCGATGTGCTCTTGAGCAAGGCACTTAACCCTAATTGCTCCTGTAAGTCGCTCTGGATAAGAGCGTCTGTTAAATGACTAAAATGTAAAAATGTAAATGTAAATATTCTGCATAGCTAAAAGGTAATGTGCCACCCAATTCATTATAAAGATACAAAAAAATCCCTATTACTAGGCTAATCAAAAACATTCACTATAATTGTAGGCTACCTGTAAGCTGCCCTGCACAATCAATGAACCAACAGCATCGCCTAAGGCTCTCTACCAGAATCATGGATAGACATTTTGGAGAGTAGCATAAGGTAACCAGTCCATCCAGTATGCGTAATAATACAGTTCACCACACTCAAAGGCAATTACTCTAATTTGTTTAATTTTAGAGTATAGGCTATACCAGACATCTTAAATCAGTTTTGTTTTATGTTTTTCTGCCATGGGTAATATGCGGTAGGCTATGTATTGTATAACAGCACAATCGTCATTTTAAATCTTTTTTTTAATAAAAAATTTTAGGCTTGGGCTCATAAGCCTATGCATATGCATAAGTTCTAATATGTGTATGTGTGTTTTGAATTAATCATCACCTTAGAAAGCGCTGTCCATTTCATTGTATTAGGCTTTGAAATAACATCCACAACTACCATGTTTTACACTCAGTTTCAACCTGCTGTTGAACTTCTGTCTTCAAATTGATCATCACAGTGAGGTCAGTTTTAAAAGCACTGTACTGTTCTGATGATAAGCGTTTGTTGTGATTTTCGATCGCATTTGCATTGATGTCAGAGTGGTTAGAGGGACAATAGAGCCCTGAGTACCAGGCCATTAGGACCTGATGGTCGTCAGCAAGTTGGGTACTACCAAAGCATGTCCTGAGTGCATAAGAGGAGATTACTGTAACTCAACGATCACGTGGAATTTTACTGCGGTCATGACTCACGACTGCCGGTGTGGCGGTAATACGGTCACCGCAACAGCCCTATTCATGAGTAAAATAACATATTTACAGGGCAGATCCAGCGCTGTGGGGCAGGAAGGGGAGGGCTTTGACACTGCAGAGGATGTCCTGAGGCAGAGAGGATGCGTCCATACGCTGGAACATGGGAGCGTGTTTCTATAGAGGGTGAGGATGAAACAGGTACAGTATGAGAGTATGCAAACTACTGTTAAGAGGAGATGATTTCCTAACTATACTGTACATAGAGGTATATACCTGCTCCTCCAGCTGTTGCCTGAGCTTCTTGGCTTTGCTCTGCTTGTAGTAGTCCATGATCATCATGGCTGCGTAGATCTTCCCGATGGTCATATGACTGGCTGGAAGACCAATGGCATAATGTCACTCATTTGGAATTCTTTGAAAAGCATAACTCCTAGAGTAAATAGTTCAATTACATTGACTAATGCCAGTGGTACCATAAATTCTGACTGTCACCTTTGTGGATGGGAACGAGCAGGTCCAGGGTCTTCTGAGAAAGGTGTGACCAAATGACACTGATCTCCTTCTGTAGATCTGAATCCATCTGACCTCGGTCCTCCCCTCCTGGAACCACCACAACAACAGCAGATCAAGCATGCAGCTTATGGAGGCAATTGATCAACAGTGTGTGGAGAAAGTAGAGAAAAACAACAAGGTTATACTAAGTATATAGCACGTTAGCTAGCGCCTGACCTCTGGCTATCTTGACCTCCAGGGCGGTTCGGATCAGGGCCATGAGGGTGGAGGTGAAGTGAACCGACATCTCTTCATCCACAGGCATGTTCATCAGCACCAGCCTCTGAGGGTGTCCATGGAAGGGACAGAGTGGGAAGCAGGAAATATATCTCACCAAACAGGAGACAACATGTTGCCAATGGGAGGAGCTAGCCATTTACAGTCTTAATGTAATACTCAAGTCTCTACTTGATAATATGTTTTTACTGTTTAAGCTAAACGTACAATATAAGGATAGAAACACATGTGATAACACAATTCTCTAATAAGAATGACATAGTAAGAACAGCCAAGAGACTCACAACACAGCATGCACAAAGAGGGTAGGTTCATCTCTGCCATTGCACATGCACACATATCACAAAATAAATGACAGGGAAATTATATGTGAAAAAAAGCAACAGAGTGCATGGGCAGAAGGCACATGCATATACTTATAGGAAGTAATCAAGAAACACTGATTGAAGAAGATTGTATGACATTCTGACACTGTAGAGTGTGGCTCTATGAAATACACTACCGTTCAAAAGTTTGGGGTCACTTAGAAATGTCCTTGTTTTCGAAAGAAAAGCATTTATTTTCCCATGAAAATAACATCAAATTGATCAGAAATACAGTGTAGACATTGTTAATGTTGTAAATGGATATTGTAGCTGGAAACGGCTGATTTTTAATGGAATATCTACATAGGCGTACAGAGGCCCATTATCAGCAACCATCAGTCCTGTGTTCCAATGGTATGTTGTGTTTGCTAATCCAAGTTTAGCATTTTAAAAGACTAATTGATCATTAGAAAACCCTTTTGCAATTATGTTAGCACAGCTGAAAAATGTTGTGCTGATTAAAGAAGCAATACAACTGGCCTTCTTGAGACTAGTTGAGTATCTGGAGCATCAGCAATTGTGGGTTCGATTACAGGCTCAAAATGTCCAGAAACAAATAACTTTCTTCTGAAACTCGTCAGTCTATTCTTGTTCTCAGAAATGAAGGCTATTCCATGCGAGAAATTGCCAAGAAACTGAAGATCTCGTACAACGCTGTGTACTACTCCCTTCACAGAACAGCGCAAACTGGCTCTAACCAGAATAGAAAGAGGAGTGGGAGGCCCCGGTGCACAACTGAGCAAGAGGACAAATACATTAGAGTGTCTAGTTTGAGAAACAGACGCCTCACAGGTCCTCAACTGGCAGCTTCCTTAAATAGTACCCGCAAAACACCAGTCTCAACGTCAACAGTGAAGAGGCGACTCCGGGATGCTGACCTTCTAGGCAGAGTTGCAAAGAAAAAGCCATATCTCAGACTGGCCAATAAAAATAAAAGATTAAGATGGGCAGTCTGAGATATGGCTTTTTCTTTGCAACTCTGCCTAGAAGGTCAGCATCCCGGAGTCGCCTCTTCACTGTTGACGTTGAGACTGGTGTTTTGCGGGTACTATTTAATGAAGCTGCCAGTTGAGGACCTGTGAGGCGTCTGTGAAGGGAGTAGTACACAGCGTTGTACGAGATCTTCAGTTTCTTGGCAATTTCTCGCATGGAATAGCCTTCATTTCTCAGAACAAGAATAGGCTGACGAGTTTCAGAAGAAAGTTATTTGTTTCTGGACATTTTGAGCCTGTAATCGAACCCACAATTGCTGATGCTCCAGATACTCAACTAGTCTCAAGAAGGCCAGTTGTATTGCTTCTTTAATCAGCACAACATTTTTCAGCTGTGCTAACATAATTGCAAAAGGGTTTTCTAATGATCAATTAGCCTTTTAAAATGATAAACTTGGATTAGCAAACACAACGTGCCATTGGAACACAGGACTGATGGTTGCTGATAATGGGCCTCTGTACACCTCTGTAGATATTCCATAAAAAATCAGCAGTTTCCAGCTACAATAGCCATTTACAACATTAACAATGTCTACGCTGTATTTCTGAAAACAATGACATTTCTAAGTGACCCCAAACTTTTGAACGGTAGTGTACATGTCAGGTTTTTGTACCCGTTTCAAAACTGTAGACTGTAAAAGCCATTTACTGCACAAACAGCTCTTAACACACAAACCATCAATAAATTACTCAGTCAGTTCTCTGCCAAGATGCAAACCAATACAAAAAAGAAAACACCAAAGCACAATGCTTATTTATTTTTACTGTACGTATTATAATCCGCCAATCAAAAAACACCATTGCAGATTCTCTTACAGTTGAACAAGCGACACATTACGATACGATAGACAACAGCAATTTCCCACACTTCATTTGGAATTGGGATGATCCAGTATATGGCACAGAGAGCAAGGTTTTAGTTTGCCGTGTCCATTGACCTAACATAGAAACTTTGCCTGTCTGTCTTTGGTCTACCTTATAAGCCACTTTGGATGGACATTTCTTGCCGAGGCCTAGAGGTGGCGACATGAGGGTCAGCATTTCATACATGTCAGTGTAATGAATACGCCCGCTGGGGAGGCAGGGAGCAAGGCAGATGACGAGGAGGAAGAGGAGGAGGAAGGGCAGGGAAGGCATTCCCAAGGAATGGAGGAAGAAAGGAATATGTAAAAGGGAAAAGGGAAGAGATATCAGAAAGAGGGTTATTCAATGGCATTACACAGAAAGGAAAAAAGGATAAGATCAGGTTGTGGTCTTTCTATGCAGACCTGGCATAGAAAAGAGGGAGAGGAAGAAATCTAACATGACCAAAGGAATGACAGTAGGGTCCTCTGTGGATCTGGCAGATACTTACATCACATCCTGAACCTGTACTGCTGACAGTTGTCAGGGAGGGACTTACAGTAGGCCATGAAGTCCCCACCATAACCCTTCTCATCCTTCTAGAACCAGTCAGCTAACCCAGAGGTACCAGATCCAATCAGGCACAGAGAGCCAGGGTATCACAGCAAACTGCTTTTGTGTAGTTGTTAATGTTATACTACATGTTCCAATAGTTCATTGCTCTGCATCTACAGAATGAAGTGCATAATGAAATGTTCTGTATGCTAGAGGATGACCCGTCTCTTTGTATCCTGAAGCGATAGCCCAGTCATTCTTTGGCCTGGAGCAGAGCCAGAACTGGCCCCCTCCAGCAATGCAAGCAGGCCATAGAGTGGTAGTAGTAACTGGTAGAGAGGAATGGAGGGGGGGCAGAGCAAGGATCCCAATGGAGGAGGGGTTTGAGGGAGCAAGGGATAGTGGGGTAGTGGTGGGGGAGCCAAACCTTGCAGGCCACCATGTAGGGGCAGTTCTTTCCAAAGCCCAGGGGAGGTGAAATAGTGCGTACTACTTTGTACATCTCCTTATAGTGAATCCTTCCACTGGAAAGAACATACATTTATGTAGTTAACAATGAACATAGAGATTCAGCTATGCTGGAGTTTACCAGAGCCGAAGTGCCAGCATTGTCCTAAGATAAATAACCTGGAAAGCAAAGCATCAGGACACAATGGACAGCAATTAGCCAAATATGCAATACTATTCATATCATGAGATGTTTTGGACATTAGGGCTATATGGTGGTCTTTGTAAGTAGGTGGGAGTAACATTAGAATAACTGTAAAATATAAAATAATTCACACATGTGCTGCTACTTTGTATGTGTTAGTGTTGTTGTTGGGCCTGTGACTTACCAAGCAGCTCGGTCATATTCACCCCAGATACGAACAAATTCATCCAGGTGGTGAGGCCCCAATATCGAGGAATCCCGGGTGAGGTACTCAAAGTTGTCCATGATTACAGCCACAAACAGATTCAGCATCTGAACAATGATTAGAGGAGGTCATAGACAAGGAACTACAGTAGGTGTGTATGAAAGTGAAATATGTATGTATGTACAGTGAGGGAAAAAAGTATTTGATCCCCTGCTGATTTTGTACGTTTGCTCACTGACAAAGAAATGATCAGTCTATAATTTTAATGGTAGGTTTATTTGAACAGTGAGAGACAGAATAACAACAAAATAATCCAGAAAAACGCATGTCAAAAATGTTATAAATTGATTTGCATTTTAATGAGGGAAATAAGTATTTGACCCCCTCTCAATCAGAAAGATTTCTGGCTCCCAGGTGTCTTTTATACAGGTAACGAGCTGAGATTAGGAGCACACTCTTAAAGGGAGTGCTCCTAATCTCAGTTTGTTACCTGTATAAAAGACACCTGTCCACAGAAGCAATCAATCAATCAGATTCCAAACTCTCCACCATGGCCAAGACCAAAAAGCTCCCCAAGGATGTCAGGGACAAGATTGTAGACCTACACAAGGCTAGAATGGGCTACAAGACCATCACCAAGCAGCTTGGTGAGAAGGTGACAACAGTTGGTGCGATTATTCGCAAATGGAAGAAACACAAAATAACTGTCAATCTCCCTCGGCCTGGGGCTCCATGCAAGATCTCACCTCGTGGAGTTGCAATGATCATGACAACGGTGAGGAATCAGCCCAGAACTACACGGGAGGATCTTGTCAATGATCTCAAGGCAGCTGGGACCATAGTCACCAAGAAAACAATTGGTAACACACTATGCCGTGAAGGACTGAAATCCTGCAGCGCCCGCAAGGTCCCCCTGCTCAAGAAAGCACATATACAGGGCCGTCTGAAGTTTGCCAATGAACATCTGAATGATTCAGATTAGAACTGGGTGAAAGTGTTGGAGCTCTTTGGCATCAACTCAACTCGCCGTGTTTGGAGGAGGAGGAATGCTGTCTATGACCCCAAGAACACCATCACCACCGTCAAACATGGAGGTGGAAACATTATGCTTTGGGGGTGTTTTTCTGCTAAAGGGACAGGACAACTTCACCTCATCAAAGGGACGATGGACGGGGCCATGTACCGTCAAATCTTGGGTGAGAACCTCCTTCCCTCAGCCAGGGCATTGAAAATAGGTAATGGATGGGTATTCCAGCATGACAATGACCCAAAACTCACGGCCAAGACAACAAAGGAGTGGCTCAAGAAGAAGCACATTAAGGTCCTGGAGCGGCCTAGCCAGTCTCCAGACCTTAATCCCATAGAAAATCTGTGGAGGGAGCTGAATGTTCGAGTTGCCAAACGTCAGGCTCGAAACCTTAATGACTTGGAGAAGATCTGCAAAGAGGAGTGGGACAAAATCCCTCCTGAGATGTGTGCAAACCTGGTGGCCAACTACAAGAAACGTCTGACCTCTGTGATTGCCAACAAGGGTTTTGCCACCAAGTACTAAGTCATGTTTTGCAGAGGGGTCAAATACTTATTTCCCCTCATTAAAATGCAAATCAATGTATAACATTTTTGACATGCGTTTTTCTGGATTTTGTTGTTGTTATTCTGTCTCTCACTGTTCAAATAAACCTACCATTAAAATTATAGACTGATCATGTCTTTGTCAGTGGGCAAACGTACAAAATCAGCAGGGGATCAAATACTTTTTTCCCTCACTGTAGGTGTCTCCTTCAACTTCTTTCGCTCATTTCTGGTAAGAGTAGGACTCTTAGAGTAGGACAGTAGGACTTTTAGAGTAGGACTCTTAGACTAGGACAGTAGTACTCTTAGAGTAGGACAGTAGGACTCTTCGAGTAGGACAGTAGGACTCTTAGAGTTAGGACAGTATAACTTTTAGAGTACGACAGTAGGACTCTTAGAGTTAGGACAGTAGGACTTTTAAAGTAGGACAGTATACCTCTTAGAGTAGGACAGTAGGACTCTTAGAGTAGGACAGTAGGTCATGTAGAGTAGGACAGTAGGTCATTTAGAGTAGGACAGTAGGACTTTTAGAGTAGGACAGTAAGACTCTTAGAGTTAGGACAGTTGGACTTCTAGAGTAGGACAGTATACCTCTTAGAGTAGGACAGTAGGTCATGTAGAGTAGGACAGTTGGACTTCTAGAGTAGGACAGTATGACTCAGAGTAGGACAGTAGGACTCAGAGTAGGACAGTAGGACTCTTAGAGTAGGAGTCTTAGAGTAGGACAGTAAGACTCTTAAAGTAGAACAGTAGGACTCTTAGATTAGAACAGTAGGACTCTTAGAGTAGGACTCTTAGAGTAGGACAGTAAGACTCTTAGAGTTAGGACAGTAAGACTCTTAGAGTTAGGACAGTTGGACTTCTAGAGTAGGACAGTAGACCTCTTAGAGTAGGACAGTAGGACTCTTAGAGTAGGACAGTAGGACTCTTAGAGTAGGACTCTTAGAGTAGGACAGTAAGACTCTTAAAGTAGAACAGTAGGACTCTTAGATTAGAACAGTAGGACTCTTAGAGTAGGCCAGTAGGACTCAGAGTAGGACAGTAAGTCTCTTAAAGTAGAACAGTAGGACTCTTAGATTAGAACAGTAGGACTTTTAGAGTAGGACTCTTAGAGTAGGACAGTAGGACTCAGAGTAGGACAGTAGGACTCTTAGAGTAGGACAGTAGGACTCTTAGAGTAGGACAGTAAGACTCTTAAAGTAGAACAGTAGGACTCTTAGATTCGAACAGTAGGACTCTTAGAGTAGGCCAGTAGGACTCAGAGTAGAACAGTAAATATCTTAATGTAGAACAGTTGGACTTCTAGAGTAGGACAATAGACCTCTTAGAGTAGGACAGTATGACTCTTAGAGTAGGACAGTAGGACTCAGAGTAGGACAGTATGACTCTTAGAGTTAGGACAGTTGGACTTCTAGAGTAGGACAGTAGACCTCTTAGAGTAGGACAGTATGACTCTTAGAGTAGGACAGTAGGACTCAGAGTAGGACAGTAGGACTCTTAGAGTGGGACAGTAGGACTCTTAGAGTAGGACAGTAGGACTCTTAGAGTAGGACAGTAGGACTCTTAGAGTAGGACTCTTACCAGAAATGAGCTGAAGAAGATGAAGGAGACAAAGTAGAAGTAGGCAAACTCAGTTCCACAGCGCTCCTCATGGTCTGACGTTAGAGCTAAGGGGTCTGGCTCACACTTCTGCCCCCCTAAACACGACAGCATGATCTCCTGCCACGACTCCCCCGTGGCACTCCTGCAGGCAGACAGCAGTGTGTTGTTCAGTGACTGAAAATGAACTCCGGTTAGCCACTGTGTGACACATGAAGGATATCCTACTGTACCTGAATAGCAACATCAGAGCACCAAAGAAGGTCTTGAAGTTGTTGTGTTGGTTGATGTGAGTCTCCTCATCCAGTCTGATGTTTCCAAAAACCTTGAGGAATATTCAAGCACATATCATGAGATATGTCTTGACTCAGTCTTGTATGCAGAACCGACAGATTCACACCATGCAATGACGAACTTAGAAAGTGTCAGAATAGATAAAGGATGTGAGCAACACCTTACCTGCATTCCGATGATTGCATATATGAAAAAGAGCATGGCAATGAGCAGACAGACGTAAGGGAGAGCCTGAAAGAGAAACCCTATGTCATGATACAGTAACAGACGTTACACACACAAACGCACACGCACACGCACACGCACACGCACACAAACACACACACACCTTCAGTGTTAAGTGTCCCTATTCAGTGCTGTACTGAAATGTGAGTGGAGCTGACCTTAAAGGACTGGACAAAGGTCCAGAGCAGGATGCGGATGGTATAGCCCTGCCTCAACAGCTTGATCAGTCTGGCTGCTCGGAACAGCTTTAGGAAACCCATGTTGAAGGTCTCAATTGACTTAAGGGAGATGAGAGAGTATGTTTACAGCTCATTAGCAGTGCACTGTATAGAAATGGTAACACAATCAGCCATTGATTGATATTCAGTAATGCTTTGTTACCTGCAAGTCTACCACTATTTCTGTGATGCTTCCCAAAACTGTGATGAAGTCAAATATATTCCAAGTGTCTCGAAAGTAGTTCTGGAGAAGAGGGGAAAACATCCATACTTCAGTCAGTAGATGTTAGTAGCATTGCTAACAGGATCAGATCATGATGTCAGGGGCAGTAGGCGTTAACTCGTTCCTCACCAGAAAGCCAAAGGCCATGATCTTGAGGACACACTCCACAGAGAAGAGCACTGTGAAAGCTGTGTTCAGGTGTTTCAGCACAGCCTCGTATGCTGGTGGGGCAGAGTAATACTACCACCACATAGGATATAAAGAGAGACACCATTAAACATAATTGGAATGACACCAAATTACTGGGATGCACAGACAACCCAAAAGAACACAATGAAACCAAACACACACCATCTTGCTCAATCACAATACAACTGTAGATCTATAGCCACAGGTTCATAGCAGATTCCCTCTGATACATAAATAGCGAAACATTAAGCTGAGGCTATAAAATGAGTAATTCCTCTGAGTTGTACAGGCAGAGTTAATGAGGCCATGTTAAATACTAGCCGGTGGATATAGATCAATATTTAATAGAGGCTGAGTCATCCTCTCCTTCCGTCTGACTGAAGGCCTTTCTTGGAATAAATGAAATGCTCACAGGGACGGGGATGGAAAAACCCCAGACCTAGCTAGAGAACAGCACAGAGCAGAGGGACATGCATCTTACAACCCCAATCAGCTACAGCAACAGGCTCCATAATACCTTCTGCACCACAGAGACTTGACTTCTGCTAGGATTTACAAATGGGATTAGTTCAGTGTATTGTTTGAATGTGATCATTATCCACACCTTCATCATCAGGACAATGGTGTTGAGTGCAATCATGGCCAGCACTGTGTATTCGAAGGAGGGGGAGACCACAAAGTGCCAGAGACGGTACTGGAACGTCTGTCTGTTCTGTGGCATGTAGCGGGTTAGGGGTTTGGCACTTATGGCAAAGTCAATGCAAGCCCTCTGTAAGGGAAAACACACAAGAAAGAAAGTTGAAGAACCCTTTGTTGTGCAGGAAATACCCTGGGAATAAGCATGTAGCACCTAGCTCTGGGAAAGTCCTTATACTTTCTCCTTGAAGTAGACACACTGCTATATGGACTGCTGGGAACATTCTGGTCAATATTGACTGAGGGATACCTGGTGGGAGAGACTGTGTGAGTCTGGAGGGGAAATCTCACTATTCCTGTATATTTACCAGGCATTTTCCATGAGCCAGTGTGCTCTTCTGTGTAATAACCTGTCAAGACTGACCAAGTTAAGTCTAAAAGCCCAGACAGGGTCATTTTGATGTACATGCTACATTCCACCAGCAAACCACATCAATAACACATACACTGAGCTGGTGTGTTCTAGGTTATCACTGGAAAGTCTACAGTTAAAAAATAATGTCTAGGTTCCATTTGGCTTGTTTTATGATTATCTGTGTGTGTGTGTGTGACTCCATCACCTCGTTTTTCTCCAAGCTGCACTCCTCCATCATCTTGTCTCCCTGCTCCTGGAAGGTGATGATGATGAGAGCCACAAAGATGTTGACGAAGAAGAAGGGGAAGACCACAAAGTAGATGACATAGAAGATGGACATCTCCATCCTGTTGCCCCGGCTGGGACCTCTGTCCTCCTCTGTCACGTCCACAGAGTGCTGCAGGACCCTGGACAGACACACAGACAGACCACAGTGGGCTCAGCAATGGACATTCTGAACCATAATTCAGTCTAACCTAGAGACATAATAAAATAAAGTAGCCTTGTGCGAGCCGGAACGGCTCATAGGAGCACGAGCCTATCTCCTGTTTCTGTAGCGTGAGGCAGCTTGATGTACAAATACACCCCCTGGACAGGACGCCAGTCTATTGCAGTCTTTGGTATGACTCAGCTGGGGATCGAACTCCCAACCTTCCAATCTCAGGGCGGACACTCTAACCACTAGGCGCTGTGGTAACATAATGAATAGTGTGTAAGGAGAGAGTGAGACTTACTGTGGCCAGCCCTCCCCAGTGGAGACAGTGAACAGAGTGAGTAGGGCCCAGACTATGTTGTCATAGTGAAAGTCATGTCTCCTCCAATCCCTCCTCTTCACCTCCTTCTTATCCTTCTCATAGTCAATGTAGAAGCCCCTGATAGAAAGAGACAGACACACAGTGTACAATAGACATTCAGAGGACAAAGAAGCAGTAGAAAACATGACCATACTGTAGGTCTCCAATAGGTCTTCATCCACCACAACTACTGTATGTTAGTGTTCTGTAAGGCCCAGTGTATGAGTGTATACAGGCAGCTCAACAGACACTTACTGGCAGTCCTTCTCTGTGTCTTTGGATCCGTCTGTGCAGTAGAAGAACTTCCCTTTGAACAGCTGCACAGCGATGACAGCGAAGATGAACATGAAGAGCTTGTAGACGATGAGGATGTTGAAGACGTTCTTCAGAGAGGTCACCACACAGTCAAACACTGCCTACACACACAGGCAGAGGACGAAGCATGAGGGAAGGCAATTGAAAAAGAGAGTCAAAGAAAGTGATACGCTAAAACTGAGGGGGTTCAGCTTTCGTCCAGTTAGCTAGTGATTTGTTGAGGCTGACTTCTAACTCAAGTGCTATAAATAGCATACAATTGTCCAATATGATCCCAAACTATTGTTGCTACATGAGTGACTGAAAGAGGATTGTATTACTCTGTAGATCTTTATTTCACTTTCCAGTCCCAGGACAATCAGGTCTATTGATTGCGGTGTGTCTGGTATCAGCTGACTGACTGAATCCCTGGTCCACTCACACAGTTATCAGTTGGACTCATTTCCTCATTTCCTTTGACAGACACACTCTTCCCCCCCAGCAGAAATGGAATGTGTGAGGTTTGGGAAATCAAGTCGTGACAAAATGTTTTCATGCTCGAACTCTCAGGTTTATCACCTCATCTATCAATCTTTCCTTAGTTTATTCTCTGCTGCCTGGAAACCCTCATGTGGAAATAGGTGTGACTAAATGGATGTGAAGTCATCTCCAATTGTTTAACAGTGGCTACTGACCTGATACCGTCATACCACACACATAGACAGTACCGCAGCCTTGATAAACCCTGAACAGCCTGATAGAACTCCCCTGTAGTCTGTCCCTCAGACTGTTGACTGGGGCAGGCACTGTTAACATGGGAAGCAATTGCTGAGAAAACAAATGGAAAAGGTTACCTTGAGTTTCGGTAGTCTCTTGATGGTCTTCAGGGGCCTCAGGACGCGCAGTACCCGAAGAGACTTGATGGTTTTGATGTCCCGTCCTTTATTATTTCTACAAGTAGAGACACGTAGAATGAAGACCTGGTAAACTCACTCCAGCATTGAGCTAACCATTTTACAGGAGACGTATTACTGTACTTTACGTCTCTGATTAGAAAGAAATACAGTGCCTAAAAAAGTATTTGCCCCTTTTCTGATTTTCTCAGTTTTTTCATATTTTTTATACAGTATGTTATCAGATCTTCAACCAAAACCTAATATTAGATAAAAAGTAACCTGAGATTACAAATAACAAAAAAAATGTATACTTATTTTATTTATTTAATTAACAAGGTTATGCAACACCCAATTTCCCTGTGTGAAAAAGTAATTGCCCCCTTACATTCAATAACTGGTTGTGCCACCTTTAGCTGCAATGTCTGAAACCAAATGCTTACTGTAGTTGTTGATCAGTCTCTCACATTGCTGTGGAGGAATTTTGGCCCACTCTTGCATGAAGAACTGCTTTAACTCAGCGACATTTGTGGGTTTTCAAGCATGAACTGCTAGTTTCAAGTCCTGCCACAATATCTCAATTTGGATTAGGTCTGGATTGACTAGGCCATTAAAAAACGTCAACATTTGTTGCTTTTTAACCATTTTCATGTAGACTTGATTGTGTGTTTTGGATAATTGTTTTGCTGCATGACCCAGCTGCGCATCAGCTTCAGGTCACAGACAAATGGCCTGACATTCTCCTGTAGAATTCTCTGATACAGAGCAGAATTCATGGTTCCTTCTATTAAGGCAAGTCGTCGCCAGACATAACGGGACCCACGTCGTCCAAAAAGTTGACTCAAGTTTGCCAAAAAGCACCTGAAGCCCCTGGATGATCATCAAGACTCTTGGAAGAATGTTCTATCGACAGATGGGTCAAAAGTATAACTTATTGGAAGACATGTATCCCATTATGTGGGTGTTGCAAAACCTTGTTTATGAAATACATTTAATAAGTATGTAATTGTTATGTTATTTGTTCAATCAGGTTCCCTTGATCTAATATTAGGTTTTGGTTGAAGAACTGATAACATTGAGTATCAAAAATACGCAATTAGAAAAATTTGAAAGGGGGCAAATACTTTTTCACAGCACTTATGTATGAACTATAGAGGAAACACAGGATCCTGTTGAGAAAAGAGCAGAAAGAAAGAGAATAAAGAGAGTGTTTTTACCCCAACACATTCCTGGCAGTCCCACAGCAACACAATCCACAGGAGCAGAGAACGACAGAGAGAAAGACATGATACTGAACATGTACATCTCAGGGTGGGAAAAAACATGTATATCACAAAACAGAGTGAAAAACAGTGCTATGTCCAGTCAAAGACCTGAGCAGTCAAGCTACACTGGCAGTATACACTCTAGTACTGTACACTACACAAACCACTACACAGGAAGTTATAACCTATGCAAGGTCACATGACTCACGTGAGGGCGAAGGCCACCAGAGCTCCGACCACCACGATAAAGTCTAGAATGTTCCACAGGTCCCGGAAATAGGAGCCGTCATGGAGAATCAAGCCCTGGTCTATCATCTGTCAAATACACATCTTTGTTAAGTCATTTGAAAACTGCACTAAATATTGGCATAGGGGGGCCTCACTGTTAATTAGCAAAATACTGTACATTCTGTCTATCTGACATTACATTTTCTCGGGACTACCCACTGGGCACAGACGTCATTCATTGAAATGACATGGAAACAACATTGATTCAACCAGTGTGTGCCCAGTGGGTAACAGCTTATGCCAAACATGTTCATGTACCATCTGCCCAATCCAACTGCTTCTGCTACAGTATGGTATGTCCTCTGTCATGTAAATATGACACAGTTTGGTCATGTTTCAATACAGGATTCCTGCTGATTGAATAGAGAATACTGTATTTTCTTTCTATTAAGTCATAACTCACCTTTATTATCATTTCAAATGTAAAGACACCTGTGAACACGTAGTCAAAGTAACGCAAAACCTGTGGGGTAAAAAGTAGACAAATATATTAATACATTAATTACAATATTGGACTCCAGGGGTTGATGAAGAACATTTAATTATTTGCCATCAGCTCATACATTAGAGGAGAACAAAAAGCACTTAGGACCAGAGTGAGACTCTGAGACACTATGTTTAACGTGTTGCATTTGTTCTTCACCACTGAACTGGGGACACATTTCCCTTTTAGGAAACCAACTTCTCTCTTTAATGGTCACATTGATTACGTTTACCCTGAGGGCCTTCTATTTCTAAGACAATGCTTTTAAGTGGTGCCCTTCTCTTCTGATGAATATATGCTTTGATTATCTTCCTAGGATATCGCACAGGCCCATTGCATTTCCAACTCAATCTGCCTCAATCACCAACATCCAAAGAAGCCCCCCCCATCAAGTCACCGTGGGAGACCTTCACAAAGCAATTATAATAATGCTTTCTTTTAGTATTTCAGCTAGTACATGGCCAGATATGAGACCCCAGGCACACATTCAAAATGATTCGTTTTTACTTGAAGGAACTTCTGTAACGACATACAAAACAATGTCATCAACAATAGAAATTCTGTAGAATTCCAGATTGTACTAGCTAGATCAACGCTGTTTGTGCTATCTGTTTGATTTGTTGTCGTAGGAAGAGACTAAAGCAGAGGCAGCTGTAGGGAGTGTGATGTGATGATTCTACACCCTACAACACCCTCCTCTCCTCAATCTGGCTCCTCAGTGTGAGCAGAGAGTGACAACTCTAATATTGCTCTCCCTGTGAGATCAGATACAGTGTCAGATGCAGACACAATCCCTGTCAGGGGCACATGTTTGCACTCCTCGTTATGCTGAGAGAAAAATAATACAGCAGAGGAAAACAAAGCAAAACAAAAGCAACCACACACCAAAGACAATAGCCTAGCCACCATTGTGGAGAAGGACAGTTAGAATAGTGAGGCTCAAGGTCAGCGAGGAAAACAGCCATCTGTTGAGTCCATGTAAAGCCCAGTGACCAGACTGGCTCTCACTTTGTTCCAGTTAGAGGTGGCTGACACGGGGTCCTCTGCAGCCAGGGCGATACTGCTGGCAGCGATCACAAGCAGGATGCACGTCTCAAAGTAACGCAGGTTCACCACATAGTGACAGGCCCGGCGGATCCTAGACAAGGAACAGAGGACACAACCGCTCTGACTGATAAACAACTGACAGAGCAGGACTGAAACCTATATCTATATCTCTATCAAGTCTGTGTTAGATGGTGAGGATGATGGTGTTAGGATGATGGTGTTAGGATGATGGTGTAGGATGATGATGTTAGGCTGATGGTATTAGGATGATGGTACTAGGATGATGGTACTAAGATGATGGTACTAAGATGATGGTGTTAGGATGATGGTGCTAGGTTGATGGTATTGGGATGATGGTGTTAGGATGATGGTGTTAGGATGATGGCATTAGGATGATGGTGTTAGGATGATGGTATTAGGTTGATGGTATTAGGATGATGGTACTAGGATGATGGTTCTAGGATGATGGTACTAGGATGATGGTGTTAGGATGATGGTCCTAGGTTGATGGTATTGGGATGATGGTGTTAGGATGATGGCGTTAGGATGATGGCATTAGGATGATGGTGTTAGGATGATGGTATTAGGTTGATGGTGTTAGGATGATGGTGATAGGATGATGGTATTAGCTTGATGGTGTTAGGATGATGGTGATAGGATGATGGTGCTAGGATGATGGTATTAGGTTTATGGTGTTAGGTTGGTGGTGTTAGGATGATGGTACTAGGATGATGCTGTTAGGTTGATGCTGTTAGGATGATAGTACTAGGATGATGGTGTTAGGATGAAGGTTCTGGATGATGTAATAGGAGTAGCAGAGAGGAACAGAGGGAGACTTACGGGTTGCCAGGTTTGAAGATGAACATGCTGTCAGGTGTGACAATATTGGCTGGGCTGGTCAACTGCTCCTCTTCCTTCTCAGGCTTGGACGCCTCCATGTCGTTACTGTTACCTGGAAGAGGTGGAGAATGTGGGTGTGCTGCTGTGCTCTGATTGTGGTAACATGCTGTGATATCAGAGATATCTCCAACCCCCAAGAGATGGAGGCTTTCATACACCAAGGCATTTCATACACCTCTCAGCGGAACTAGCACAATGAATGCACATATGTGATAGAATAAGGACACCCTTGAAGGTGTTACCTGTGATGGGGGTGAGCTCTAGTGACGACTGAACATTGGTCACCTCTATGTAGATACTGGAGCTCAGAGGGGAGTTATCCTGGTTCAGAGTGGTGGCATTGTTCCCAGTATCACTATCTCCTGTCTGGCCCTCTGGGAGCTCCAGTACTGCAGCCTGAAATGGCTGCAGGGTGGGTGGTTCTGACTGTGGACCCTGCTCCCTGTTCTGCAGCTCAGGAACCCCAGCCTGGTTAGGGTCACCCTGTCTGTCGAGGAGCAGAGGGACAAGGGACAACATCTAGGCTTGGAGTCCGGATTCATTGGGGATTTGTTGCATTTTGGGCACTCTGAAGTCTGATACATTGAACATAGCAGAAAACTGACTACTAACAGTTTACTATACAAACAGAGTCTACAGAATACTATACAAACAGAGTCTACAGAATACTATACAAACAGTCTACTATATACTGAACTAATAGAACTAGCTGTACATCAGTGTCAGTTCCTCCTCACCTGTGTTCAGCCTCCCTGGTCTCAGAAGGCTGGCTGGTCTCTCCCGCATTACCGGCTCTCCTCTCCTTCTCCTGTGGGTCCTCTGGGGTCTTTCTCTCCCTGCTGATAGAGCGACTGCTCCCCTCCCTCTGGGGTGAGTCCAGGCCTCTGGCCCCAGCCTGGGCTTCGTGGTGCCCTGTGCCCCTTGGCCTCCTGAACCTCATCCCTGCCATGTCAGGGGTCAGGGTGTCACCAGCAGGAGGGCGGAACTTACGCACCGCTCTCTGCCTTCTCTCCCCATTTAACCTGGGGCTCCTGCGGCCATTGACACCTGGGTGGCTGTGGTTGGTGACATCAAGCTTGCTCTCTGGGCACAGCTCAGATTCAGTGGGCTCCGGAATGGACACAACTGTGGACGTGGAGGGGTCAGGCAGGGGACTGTCGATGGGTATGGGTGACTCTGCTAAAGGGACGGACAAGGGGGGCTCAGGGACGCCCATGGACAGGGGTGGCTCCTCTAGAGTTAGGTCCATGGGCTTGGGGGGCTGAGCTGTGGAGGCCGTAGGGTCAGCCGTGGGGTCAGCCAGCTTCAGGCTGCCTGTGGGTGTGCCTGTGGCTTTGAGGTGGTGGGGGCATCCAGGGGGCACCTCCTGCTCCTCACTGGGGCTGCTGAAGAGGATCTCTCGGCTGGACATCTGCCGGTGCCTGCGCAGTTGGCTGGTTCTCTGCTCCCACACAGACATGGTCATCCGTCTTCTCCTCTCCCCCCTGGACATGAAAGAGTTAGAGGAATTCAGTGGCGGGCAGGGGGGCCCCTCGGCGAGGCTCTCAGCCTCCTCCAGAGAGTAGGCAGGCCGGCTCCTGTGTATCGCTCTTTTCCTGTACAGGTAGGGTCTCCTCCTCCTGCTGGGAGAGAGGACAACAACACTGTCAGGATTAGCAGTAAGGGAGATAGAAACACAGTACTTGTATATAACAGTGATATACACTGAATATTGTAACCTCTACTTTTCATTTTAAACCAATTCCAAAATGTGTTAGAATAGTTTTTTAATTTCTTCTACTTGCTTGTGTACAAATGTTTGTGAAACATACACTTATAAATAAAACATTTGTACAAAACCAGTGAGCAGTTGGAACACATTCGAGAAAAGGCAATTTAGTCTGATTTTCAAAGCTTGGTAAACAAGATCCAGAATTTTAATTAAGCATTGATGAAAAACAATTTACTGGCTCAATGAAGATGTTATGTAATAAATTAAGCAAAATGTAACTAGGAAGTTGTAATAACTATAATGAAAGTGGGAGACGTAGAAACCAGTGGAACTGATATAAGATGCAGAGCCAAATACTGTAAGATTCTGGAAGTAAAACAAGGAACGTAATAAAATGAGAACAGAAGAGTTACCCAGTTAAGAAAATCAGGCAGTTTGTTTTGAAATTGAAATGAACAGACAGCGTTAATACTTACTCGTACTTGTACTCTTGTGTGGTCCGTGTTATCAATAAGCGATTGGTTGAAAACAAGACATTAGTGCTTTTGTGAGCAGAGACAAAACAGGCCCTGAGACACAGTCCAACAACATTACCAATTTCAATGGATCACTATTAGACTATAGTCTACTGCATTGTATGTCTGTATAGCCAAAATCATTATTTTCTGTATTACCAGGTAGTAAAACCCTTTTAAATGATTCAACCAAATGAATATTGCCTAAATGTTTTGGGCTGTGCCTCTAGGCAGGCAAAGCGCCACATGACAAACAGGATGGCAGCAGTATTAGATCAGAACAACATTAACATCAACAGGTGCAACATATAAAATATTCAGGAAGTTTGAAATGTTAAAGACATTCAGAGATACAGTATGGCACAGGAATAAAACACAGAAATGGCCTTCATTGGCACAACAAACAGAACAGAGACAGAGATTGTTTAGGCAAAGCAACCATATCAGTTTGCATTACGTGTGCAGCTCTCCTCCCCAAAGTTGTGCCAGGGTAACATTCTCATTGGTCATGCTGGTCAGAGAGAGACATGCAGCCATCGCTCTCTACAGTATCAGGAGTCTCAGACATGCTTCAACCTTTTTCACTTAGTCAACATCATCATCATCATGCTCTGAAGGTCAGTTGTGCAAGATCCCCCGGAGGAAAGACAGTTACAGCATTTCACCTCAGACATCACAGACATGATGCAATGCTACCAAAGTTCAGAGATTTCTCCAAACACAGACGCTGGAAAACCTATGGTATTCAAATCTCATCAACGTGATTCGACAAGTGCCTGACCCTGAATATGTCATAAGGTACCCTGCAAAACCCTGCACATACAGTGGCTTGCGAAAGTATTCACCCGCCTTAGCATTTTTCCTATTTTGTTGCCTTACAACCTGGAATTAAAATTGATTTTTGGGGGGTTTGTATCATTTGATTTACATAACATGCCTACCACTTTGAAGATGCAACATATTTTTTATTGTGAAACAAACAAGAAATAAGACAAAAAAAGAAAAGAAAACTTGAGCGTGCATAACTATTCAGCTACTTCAAGTTGGATGGGTTCCGCTGGTGTACAGCAATCTTTAAGTCATACCACAGATTCTCAATTGGATTGAGGTCTGGGCTTTGACTAGGCCATTCCAAGACATTTCAATGTTTCCCCTTAAACCACTCGAGTGTTGCTTTAGCAGTATGCTTAGGGTCATTGTCCAGCTGGAAGGTGAACCTCCATCCCAGTCTCAAATCTCTGGAAGACTGAAACAGGTTTCCCTCAAGAATTTCCCTGTATTTAGCGCCATCCTTCATTCCTTCAATTCTGACCAGTTTCCCAGTCCCTGCCGATGGAAAAACATCCCCACAGCATGATGCTGCCACCACCATGCTTCACTGTGGGGATGGTGTTCTTGGGGTGATGAGAGGTGTTGGGTTTGCACCAGACATAGCGTTTTCCTTGATGGCCAAAAAACTCAATTTTAGTCTCATCTGACCAGAGTACCTTCTTCCATATGTTTGGGGAGTCTCCCACATGCCTTTTGGCGAACACCAAACGTGTTTGCTTATTTTTTTCTTCAAGCAATGGCTTTTTTCTGGCCACTCTTCCGTAAAGCCCAGCTCTGTGGAGTGTATGGCTTAAAGTGGTCTATGGACAGATACTCCAATCTCCGTTGTGGAGCTTTGCAGCTCCTTCAGGGTTATCTTTGGTCTCTTTGTTGCCTCTCTGATTAACCTCCTTGCCTGGTCCGTGAGTTTTGGTGGGCTGCCCTCTTGGCAGGTTTGTTGTGGTGCCATATTCTTTCAATTTTTTAATAATGGATTTAATGGTGCTCCGTGGGATGTTCAAAGTTTCTGATATTTTTTTATAACCCAACCCTGATCTGTACTTCTCCACAACTTTGTCCCTGACCTGTTTGGAGAGCTCCTTGGTCTTCATGGTGCCGCTTGCTTGGTGGTGCCCCTTGCTTAGTGGTGTTGCAGACTCTGGGGCCTTTCAGAACAGGTGTATATATACTGAGATAATGTGACAGATCATGTGACACTTAGATTGCACACAGGTGGACTTTATTTAACTCATTATGTGACTTCTGAAGGTAATTGGTTGCACCAGATCTTATTTAGGGGCTTCATAGCAAAGGGGGTGAATACATATGCACGCACCACTTTTACGGTATTTATTTTTTAGAATTTTCTGAAACGAGTAATTTTTTTAATTTCACCAATTTGGACTATTATGTGTATGTGTATATATTATGTGTAAATCCAAATAAAAATCCATTTAAATTACAGGTTGTAATGCAACAAAATAGGAAAAACGCCAAGGGGGCTGAATACTTTTGCAAGGCACTGTATAGATATGCCTCAACCTGGGTGAACCTAGATGAAAAACCAACAACTTCAAGTTACTGAGGGGAAAATCCTCCAGTTTTATATTTCCGCATAAGCAATTCATGGAACTGGTTATATTTGTAGCACGCACCACAGCTCTGCTAATCTTCACTCCTGCTGTACTAACGTATTGCCAAGGAGATCTAATGCTGCACAGCATGAGACCAAAATGTTTAATTATGAAACATTTAAAAATGCTTTTTCCGCGCATGTGGTTTGAATGACCATGCAATATGCTGTTCATTTCCAACATGCGTACCATCTCTCTATGTTTCACCATGCCTAAGTACATGCACTTCCACCAGACAGACTGGGTGTCACAACATTCATATAGGAAATCAATACTGTGGGCTTTGATGAAATAACATTACTTTATGACTCTTGTCTCTTGTAACCCAACATGGCATGTCCAGATGAATGACTTCCTGACACTTGGTAATTCTTCTATTTACTCCAAAAACATAACGATTACAAAAATCAGTCTTGTGAAAGTAAGGGTGACTAAGTACTGCAGAATATTTATCTAATTGGAATGATATATTAATTTGGATGCCAGTAATGCTGTCGCTATGACGACGGTATAGGCTCATCCCTGCAGATACTGGGAAGCCTGCCGGTAGCCATGGTGACACGCTGTTCAATTTAGAGCAAATTATAGAGGTACAATCTAAAACAGACCTATAGACCTATCAGGAAGGGTATATCAATACCTCTTTAGTTGTTCAGTTCAGTTGTTTCCAGCACACATTTTCAGCAATATGAACATCATTAGCGATGGCCAAGAAGTCATTAGGCCTCCTGTAGCTCAGTTGGTAGAGCATGGCGCTTGCAACGCCAGGGTTGTGGGTTCGATTCCCAAGGGGGGCCAGTATGAAAAATGTATGCACTCACTAACTGTAAGTCGCTCTGGATAAGAGCGTCTGCTAAATGACTCAAATGTAAAAAATTATGAAGGGCACTACGACTGTCCGGAGCTCCATTATACAGCTACAATTACAGTAGCCTGTACCTAGATCAAACGGACTAAATCAACTATGATTTACCAGTAACACAAACTACTCTGAGTGTATAAAACATTAGGAACACCTGCTCTTTCCATGACATAGACTGACTGACCAGGTGAAAGCTAAGATCCCTTATTGATGTCATCTGTTATATCCACTTCACTCAGTGTAGATGAAGGGGAGGAGACAGGTTAACAAAATATTTTTTTGACAATTGAGACATGGATTGTGTATGTGTGCCATTCAGAGGGTGAATGGGCAAGACAAAATATTTAAGTGCCTTTGAACAGGTTATGACATTAGGTGCAAGATGCACCGGTTTGAGTGTGTCAGGAACTGCAACGCTGCTGGGATTATCACGCTCAATAGTTTCCCATTTGTATCAAGAATGGTCCACCACTCAAAGGACATCCAGCCAACTTGACACAACTGTGAATCAACATGGGCCAGCATCCCTGTGGAACGCTTTCAACACCTTGTAGAGTGATGAATTGAGGCTGTTCTGAGGGCAAAAGGGGGTGCAACTCAATATTAGGAAGGTGTTCCTAATGTTTTGTACACTCAGTGTATAATCTAATCTAGTTCAAACCCGGGGCTCTAATGCAGTTCAAGGCACATTTTCCTGCCGATTTGCAAAAGCCAAATTCCAAGGCATAGCACTACATAACAAAAATTGCCCATAGTCAAACTGATTCCCTAAGGCTTTGTCAGCCTCAATCCCTCCCTTCCTTTAGTGTTGGCTGTACTACAGCAACAGCCTCTGGTGTGACTACATAGTGTTAGTACTGTTAGTTAGCAGTCTGTTAGAGTCCTGAGGGAGACAGAGAGGAAGGGGAACAGGCAGCAGGGGTACACACACCACTTACTGTGATGACATCAGGGAAGACATGGCCCCTACTTCCTTGGCTTTCTGGAGAGCATGTTTCTGATTGAAAGCAGCCTCTTCGTCCTCTTCGTCCTAGATATAAGATTGCATAGAACAGATTAATTAATCACAGATGCTGTTGAGAGCAGGTATCATCTTCAATTATGGGAAGACTAGTGAATTGTTGAAAGGAGATTTTACCTTGGTTAGTTCCTGGGCATTGGCCAGATTGTCCACAGCGATGGCCAAGAAGACATTCAGCAGCGTGTCTGGTCACACTCATGTCAAGGACCTAGATGTCTGATCTACAGAATCCACACATCAGACGTTTAATCTAATCATATCTACAGTGTGAAAAGTGATTTGCTAGCTGAGAAAGGATACAGTTACCAAAGAGTGTGAGCACAATGAAGTATATGGAGGACCACATTCCTGACTTCACTCCTCCCTGGGAGCGGATCCCATTGTACATCACCTCATTCCAGTCTTCTCCTGTCAGGATCTAGATATACAGTGCCTAGTGAAAGTCTACACATCCATTGCACAGTCTTCATCGTTTTCTGCCTTAAAAAGGGATTACATTAGTTTTTTTTCATACAGATTTGCACAACCTACTCCACATTTTCAAAGTGAAAGATAGTTACAGAACATTTTCCAAATTAATAAATAATCAAAAAAACAAAAATTTCTTGATTGCGTATGTCTTGGCACCCCAGAGTTAATACTTGGTGGAAGCACCTTTGGCAGCCATTACAGTTGTTAATCATTTTGAATAAGATTCTACTAACTTTGCACAACTCTTAGGGCAACATTTTTCTGTTGTCTTTGTCAAAATTGCTCAAGCTCAGTAAATTTGGTTGGTAATCATTGATGGACAACAATATTCAGACCTTGTCTCCAATTTTCAAGCAAATTTGACTAAGGCTGGACCACTCAGGAACACTCAACACCTATTGCAAAACCATTCTGGTGTGTCTTTGGCATTTACATTTTGTAATTGTCCCACTAAAAAATACTATCCCAGGGTAAGGTTTTCAGAAGACTGAAGCGAGTTTTCCTCTAACTTTTTACCTGGGATTTGCTCCTTTCATTATTATTTTGATCCTGACAAACTCCCTAGTTCCTTCTGGTTATAAGCTTACCCATAACATGATGCTGCTACCACAATACTTGAAAATACAGAGGGTTTTACTCTGTGTTGTGTTCTATTGGATTTGACCCAAACCTGTAGTTTTAAATTTAGGCCAAAAAGTTAATTTATTTGCCGTGTTGTCTTGCAGTATTGCTTAACGGCCTTGTTTCAAACAGGATGGATGATTTGTAGAGGATTTTTTAACACAGTCTTTCTTCTTTTAACTTTTTCATACAGGCCAGTATTGTGGAATGAATGCAATGTTGTTGATCCTCTGTATTTTCAAGTATTGTGGTGGCAGCATCATGTTATGGGTATGATTGTCACCAGCAGGGACTGGGGAGTTTGTCAGGATCAAAATAAATATGAAAGGAGCAAAGCCCAGGTAAAATGTTAGAGGAAAATCCGCCGTAGTCTTCTGAAAACCTTACGCTGGGATAGAGTTTCAGTGGGACAATAACCCAATTATTATTACTATTTTTTTGTACTTATATCCCTTTTTCTCCCCAATTGGTAGTTACAGTCTTGTCCCATCGCTGCAACTCCCCTACGGACTCGGGAGAGGCAATGGTCGAGAGCCATGCGTCCTCTGAAACACGACCCTGCCAAGCTGCACTGCTTCTTGACACACTACTCGCTTAACCCGGAAGCCAGCCGCACCAATGTGTCGGAGGAAACACCGTCCAGCTGGCGACCGAAGTCAGCTTGCAGGCGCCCAGCCCACCACAAGGAGTTGCTAGAGCGCGATGGGACAAGGAAATCCCGGCCGGCCAATCCCTCCCCTAACCCGGACAACGCTGGGCCAATTGTGTGCCGCCCCATGGGTCTCCCGGTCACGGCCGGCTGTGACACAGCCTGGGATCAAACCCATGTCTGTAGTGACGCCTCAAGCACTGCGATGCAGTGCCTTAGACCGCTGCGCCACTCGGGAGGCCATAACACACATGTTTATGCCAAATACACATCAGAATGGCTTTACAAGAGCTGTTGAGTGTTCCTGAATGGTCCAGTCTCAGTCCTGACTTAAATCTTCTTAAAAATCAGAGACAAGGTATTGCTATCCATCAATGATTCCTAACTGATATATGTTGCCTTAATAGTTGTACAAGGTTGGTAGAATCTTATTCAAAATTATTCACAGCTGTAATGGCTGCCAAAGGTGCTTCCACCAAGTATTAACTCTGGGGTTTGAAGACATACACAATCAATACATCTTCATGTTATATTTGTATTTATCTGGAACATTTTCTGTAGTTTTGTGGAGTAGGTTGTGTAGATGGGTAGGAAAAAAAATCAAATGTAATCCCTTTTTAGATTACATTTTAAGACAGCAAAATGATAAGACTGTGCAAGATGTGTGTAGACTTTCACTAGCGACTGTAAGTACCACATACTGTATCACAGGATTCAGGCACAAGATACAGAGTAGATAATCTGCAAATTCATGACAATCCAAATATTTATATGGACTCTGTAAGATTTCCACATGCAAAGCTTTGTTACCTGAATCAAAAACACAAAACTTTACTCAATCAAAACAATTGAATTAGACCAGACCTGAAAGACAGTCATGATGGCAGCAGGAAAGGTGTCAAAGTTTGTAGGAGTGTAGTCTTCAAAGATGAACCTGCGTGGAAAGATGAGGACAGAGAGGACATCGAGTTGAGCCAGGATTTTAAAATGTTTTTTTCAGAGAGAGAGAAACCAATTCTTTTATTTTCATTTTCTGGGTAATAGAGGGGGGACTTTTTCCCAAAGTTTGTTTTATTTTCTGTATTCCAGTGGCCAGGCAACATACATCTCCGGCATGCACTGCATTCATTGAAGTGACAGTTTCCCAGAAACGGTCCTTTAACCGTGTGAACATAGCGGGACAACAGCTAAGACTAGATGTGTGACAGAATCTGCTAGGGAAAGACCGAGTCCTGTCAGGGTGTTTTTTACATTGCCACAGGGGATGAAAATGTCCTCTGTAATATCAAATGTCACAAGGAGAAGGTCATGATGACACAAATCAAATAATCAGTTGTACTACATCCACTTTGATTACATCAACTGCCAGTATCTATCATAGTTTGTGATGAGACTAGATCTGACAGACGGGCAGTGGTAGTTCATCCTTGTGTCTATGGTACAATACCTGCCACCGAACAGCTGCATGCCCAGCAGAGCAAAGACCAGGATGAAGAGGAAGAGGAGGAAGATGAGGCTGATGATGGACTTCATAGAATTCATCAGGGATACCACCAGGTTCCTCAGCGACGCCCAGTACCTGCCAATCACAACCAACCAGGGGCGGGATTAGTGGCATTTGAATTCCGTCTAAATAAGAGACAATCAATTAATTAACAATGTCTAAATATTGCTATTGTGAGGGTTTTAAATTATTTGTAGCCAGCCTGGCAATTGACATATCTGCATATCCTATCCCTAGCAGGAGGCTACAAATATCACACTGATGTGACACCCAGGAACCTCATAATCTAGGACATTGATAGCTAGGTGCCAGTGCTTGCTATGCATTGCCTCATTGCATACTGCAGGAAGAATGTTATAAACCAATGAGGAGGCCTTGGACTAACTTGGTGATCTTGAATATCCTCAGCAGACGGAGAGCGCGCAGCACACTGATGCCAAAGGACATGTCAGGCCTGAAGAACCCCCACATCACCTCAAAGATGCTGCCCACTATCACCTGTTAACAGGGCCATTAACAACATAATCACCAGATGTACCAGCACACCAACAGCAGACTTTAACGTACAGTAAGTATACAGAGAGACAAAGATGAAGGATGTCCATTCACAGATGAGTGCAGATGTGACAGAAACAGAACAGAGACATTTACTGCACTTCATTATCTAAATTACACCATCAGTGTCACTTTCATTAAAAAGTGTTTAAAGGGGCAATCTGCCGTTGAAAGATTAACAAAGCGGACACCCCACATCTGTTTTGGAAAAAAATCTGAGGGATGGGCCTGGAGATATGTAACCATTCATTCAAAGACAGAGCTATTGATGCAAGGACTGACCATCCAATATGTCACAATTCTTGTTTTAAGTACATTTTGAGGATATACAGTGTTTGTTTACGTTTACAATGTTTACAAACAGATTTAAAAAAGTATATATTTTGGGTTCTGATGAGGTACGACAGTTGAACTAAGCTCATAAGGCATTTATATTCTTCAAGAAACAATGAGTATATATAATGAATTTATAAGTCTTAAAATGGAAGCAGCAACTGCTGATTGCCCCTTTAAGTCACTGTCCAATGTTTTAAGTAAAGCATTTCCTCTCATTCCCTCATAATTGGGGCAATGTTATAATCTACAGTATGTCACTGTCTTTCCATCTGGCATGGTCTCTCCATGTTGGTTAGCGATTAAACAGAAAAAGAAAGGGACTCACGCCGCAGTCGAAGCGGTTGAAGGCGGAGTGAAAGTAGAGTCTGGGTCCCAGGCTGTACATCTTTAAGCACATCTCAGTGAGAAACAGACCCAGGAAGAGAAACTCTGCATAGTCTGAAATGCAGACAACAACAGCAACAACAACACTCATAAACACAGCAGAAAACAATCATCTCAAAGATTAATGCCACCCGACTTTATTTATTTTGGATGGAGATGATGGTACGTACCTGTGTGTGTGTGTGTGTGTGTGTGTGACTTACAGAGGAACACAGACAGCCAGTTGGGCTGGTTGTGATGGACGATGGCCACACAGAGTGTGTTGAGGGCCACCAGGCCCAGTACGGTCCAGTAAAAGGTGTGTGTCTTCACCATGCGGCGGATAGAGATACGCAGCAGACGCTCCTTCCGCTTAAAATAAGCCATAGGTCCTCTCTTAGCACTCCTGATGCTGGGTCTGGCCATCGGGATGCCTGGCGGGGACAGCCATTTTAGATCATTACTAAAAAAATTATAGTAGTACAATGACAAATACACATTATCTTGTAGATCTCTCCTCTGTGAAATGTTTCATTTGCACAATAGATACAATTTCTCCAAAAGGAAAACGAAGAGCCAAAGGCCTTCTCATCCATTTAGCTTAGCTACTGACTGTAACATGTAATGATGGCTGGAACTGATGTGTTGCCATTTCCAGTTTTATTCCCAATACGACAATGACAATCTCCTCCTTTGTAATTACAGAATTTAATATGGAGGGGGTGCCTGCTGCCTGATGGCAGATCATTCAACCATTCGGGATGTTAGCTACAAACTACTGCTCTTTTCAGTGGCTTGACACACACACTCACCCACAGAAGAGATGTCACCATACTGCTCGTCCCCTGGGCCCCGGTGGACGGCATCCACCCCTCTCCTCTTGATGGTGGCCCTCTTCAGCACTGCAGCCAAAGGTTTCACATTGTCACCCAGCAGAAAGCCCACACAAAACACAACGTTTATGACACTCCAACACAGAGAACATGTCATGAGACACACAGGTAGATATACAAGATCATGAGGGCATTACTGACAAGATGAGAAGAGAATGGTGAAAATAATCAACGCATTTACATGCCACTGTGTTTGGTGCTTTGGGTATTGTAAAACAAGAGTACAAACATGCATTTAGTACACATGGGTAACAGATTACAGCAACATGGTGTTATTAAAATATGCATCTATTGTTATTACTGTATGATGAACCCAACTTAACTACAACTAATCGTTGTTGTTGTTGGTTCTATTCTCTTGGCTATAACCCACACTCACATTAAGTTTGAGACAATATCATACCATATCATTGTAAAGAGCTGTATTGATGCACACATATAATTGTATGTGTGCCTGATGCGGAAAAAAACAAGAATTATCAGGGTGAGTTGAGCTCTTCCTCCAGCCAAACCTCGTACACCCCCACCACCTTTTGATTAGAATCTCATTTATTTATTCATATTTACCTAGACATTCCCCCTTTTAATAAGCCAGTGAACCAATAGTGTATGCACGAGGCACACACTGGCTGACACCCGGACATTTAATTTCAGTTGCTATGGCAACACTGGCGCACTCTCTCAAAGCTATTACATCTTCTGAATTTGTTTCCACTGGAACAGCTGGACCTTTTCACGGCTACTTTTGGTTTGCTTGTGCCAAATTAAATGTTTGGAGTTCAGAATGGCTCGTGGTTTATTTGTAAGTGTGGTTTGTGGAACAATAGCTGGCTTTATTTAAACGTTCATGTCAGACTGAGTTGTTGAAAAGGAACAAAAGGTGGCAAGGAAGTGTAGAATAGAAGTTGTTCCTCACCATGGTTACCGCCTGTATTCCATTCAGACAGCCTCTTGGGAGCTGTCAATCAACATTTAATAAAAACGATTTGTTTGTTTGTTTGTTGGGGGGGAAAATCATGCTTCACTTGATAGGGTCATAGCTTTGTGTAAGTGTTTGTCTGGTAGGTTTAAAAGTCCATATTGATATTGAGGTAGTAGAAATGATTGCTTTTGGGGGTACATCATGCATGGTCCTCAATAATTCTAACTAAAGCTGTTTTTGAAGTGCACCACACCAGAAGCAACAACAATGGTATTTTAGGCATAGCTATTCTTGTGAAAATGTGCTTCTAAATAGGTATTTGGAATAGATACATATCGTGAGTACACACAAGCCCAGAGATATTACAAAAACAGGATAGCACACACATTTAAGAGTAATGCGAGGAAAAACTCAAAATAGTTACACTGTTATGAGAAAGTGTTTGTAAATTACTGTCACAGAGTCAACCAAACAGATAGTACTGTACGTTCCAACACTCAATGAGACAAAATGTATACATATCATGCCTCAGGAGAGACTGAAATTGACAGTGAAAATCAACAACACCTACTCTTCCTCGCTAGCACTTACAGCGCATTCGGAAAGTATTCAGACCCCTTGACTTTTTCCACATTTTGTTACGTTACAGCCTTATTCTAAAATGGATTAAATTGTTTTTTCCCCTCATCAATCTACACACAATACCCCATAATGACAAAGCAAAAACTGGTTTTTAGAAATGTTTGCTAATTTATTAAAAATAAAAAAAGTATTCAGACCCTTTATTTAGTACTTTGTTGAAGCACCTTTGCCAGCGATTACAGCCTCGAGTCGTCTTGGGTATGATGCTACAAGCTTGGCACACCTGTATTTGGGGAGTTTCTCCCATTCTTCTCTGCAGATCCTCTCAAGCTCTGTCAGGTTGGATGGGGAGCGTTGCTGCACAGCTATTTTCAGGTCTCTCCAGAGATGTTCGATCAGGTTCAAGTCTGGGCTCTGGCTGGGCCACTCAAGGACATTCAGAGACTTGTCCCGAAGCCACTCCTGCGTTGTCTTGGCTGTGTGATTAGGGTCGTTGTCCTGTTGGAAGGTGAACCTTCACCCCAGTCTGAGGTCCTGAGCGCTCTGGAGCAGGTTTTCATCAAGCATCTCTCTGTACTTTGCTCCATTCATCTTTGCCTTGATCCTGACTAGTCTCCCAGTCCCTGCCGCTGAAAAACATCCCCATAGCATGATGCTGCCACCACCATGCTTCACCGTAGGGATGGTGCCAGGTTTCCTCCAGATGTGATGCTTGGCATTCAGGCCAAAGAGTTAAATCTTGGTTTCATCAGAACAGAGAATCTTGTTTCTCATGGTCTGAGAGTCTTTAGGTGCCTTTTGGCAAACTCCAAGCGGGCTGTCGTGCCTTTTACAGAGGAGTGGCTTCCGTCTAGCCACTCTACCATAAAGGCCTAATTGAAATGCTGCAGAGCTGGTTGTCCTTCTGGAAGGTTCTCCAATCTCCACAGAGGAACTCTAGAGCTCTGTCAGAGTGACCATCGGGTTCTTGGTCACCTCCCTGACCAAGGCCCTTCTCCCCCGATTGCTCAGTTTGGCCGGGCGGCCAGCTCTAGGAAGAGTCTTGGTAGTTCCAAACTTCTTCCATTTAAGAACGATGGAGGCCACTGTGTTCTTGGGGACCTTCAGTTCTGCAGAAATGTTTTGGTACCCTTCCCCAGATCTGTGCCTCGACACAATCCAGTCTCGGAGCTCTACGGACAATTCCTTCGACCTCATGGCTTAGTTTTTGCTCTGACATGCACTGTTAATACATTTGCAAAAATGCTTTGTTTTTGCTTTGTCATTATGGGGTATTGTGTGTAGATTGCTGAGGAAATTGTTTTATTTTATCCATTTTAGAACAAGGCTATAACGTAAAAACATGTGGAAAAAGTCAAGGGGTCTGAATACTTTCCGAAGGCACTGTACCTACGTAAAATAATTTGTGGTTATCTACAGTGGCTTGCGTAAGTATTCACCCCCCTTGACATTTTTCCTATTTTGTTGCCTTACAACCTGGAATTAAAATGGATTTTTTGGGGGTTTGTATCATTTGATTTACATAACATGCCTACCACTTTGAAGATGCAAGATATATTTTGGGGCGAAACAAACAAGAAATAAGACCAAAAAAAGAGAAAACTTGAGCGTGCATAACTACCGAAAGTCAATACTTTGTAGAGCCACCTTTTGCAGCAATTACAGCTGCAAGTCTCTTGGGGTATGTCTCGATAAGCTTGGCACATCTAGCCACTGGGATATTCTGTGGGAGCTGTGGTCGGGAGAGGTTGTGTTTTCTCTAAGCAGGAGGTAAGCTTGGCTTCTTTTATGGTGTTGAGTAAAGCTTAAACCATGTATTTAGATCGTAGGTAGGTAGTTGTAGTTAGGTATTGTAGGTAGTTTATTTAGTTATTGTAGGTTTCCGTAGGTAATTATTGTAGGTAAGTATTGTTTACGGCGGAGCCCGGCGAAGCACGAGGCTAGCTAGCTAGCGGGTAGCTACTGGTAACGTTTAGCAACGGTGGAGAGTTGTTTCCAATGTTAATGTTAATGTGCCAGCTAGCCAACGTTTAATTTTTGCTGCGTTATGAAAGGAACTAGACACGGACACGAATTATCTGTTTAGTGTGTTAACACACTACTGGTAGTTTGTTGTAACCAAGTATTGGTGCTAAACTGTGTGTTATTGGATGCTAGCATGCTAGTTAGCTATGGCGTCATAGTTAGGCATCGTGGGCTGTTGTGGGTAGTTACTGTAGGTTAGCATTGTTTTTCGGCGGTGCCGGGTGTAGCACGAAGCTAGCTAGCTAGCCGTTCTTCAAACAAAGTCAACACAGTAGCCATTGCTAGCTAGCCAACACGACCAGCTAACTGTACTGTAGTAGCTAAATACAATATACTTGTGCTAGCTAGCCAACGTCTAATTATTGCTGCGTTATGAAAGGAACTAGACACGGACACGAATGATCTGTTTAGTGTGTTAACACACTATTGGTAGTTTGTTGTAACCAAGTATTGGTGCTAAACTGTGTGTTATTGGATGCTAGCATGCTAGTTAGCTATGGTGTCATAGTTAGGCATCGTGGGCTGTTGTGGGTAGTTACTGTAGGTTGGCATTGTCTTCGGCGGTGCCGGGTGTAGCACGAAGCTAGCTAGCTAGCCGTTTTTCGAACAGAGTCAACACAGTAGCCATTGTGTGCTGTACTGTGGCAGCTAAATACAATATATTTGTGCTAAGCTAGCCATCGTTTAATTATTGCTGCGTTATGAAAGGAACTAGACACGGACACGAATTATCTGCTTAGTGTGTTAACACACTATTGGTGGTTTGTTGTGACCAAGTGTTGGTGCTAAACTGTGTGTTATTGGATGCTAGCATGCTAGTTAGCTATGGTGTCATAGTTAGCTAGCTGAATAAAGTGGGTTGAGTCTATTCCTTTAAACATTGGACCGCTGTGGTTCACAACAATTCTGATTTCTAAAGGTGGAAGTTGGGAGAGTTTTTGTTCGGGTGGATCAGTGAAACAATTATAGTTTCTGAGGTGGAAGTTTTGGTGAGGGAGGCCCTGCTCTCTCCTCTCCCAGATGTTTAGTTCATTTCATTCCGATCTCCTCTGCATTATTGTAGCCATTTGCTACAGCCTGTCAACTATGCCTCTGCCTATCCCTGTTCTCTCCTCTCTGCACAGGCTACACAAACGCCTCACACCGCGTGGCTGCTGCCTCTCTAACCTGGTGGTCCCTGCACGCACCCCACACCTGGAGTTCCAGGTCTCAGGCAGCCTCTGGAACTGCCGTTCTGCTGCCAACAAAGCTGACTTCATCCCCGCCTATGCTAACCTCCAGTCCCTCGACTTCCTGGCGCTGACGGAAACATGGATTACCACTGAAAACACTGCTACTCCTACTGCTCTCTCCTCGTCTGACCATGTGTTCTCGCATACCCCGAGAGCATCTGGTCAGAGGGGTGGTGGCACAGGAATCCTCATCTCTCCCAAGTGGACATTCTCAATTTTTCCCCTAACCCACCTGTCTATCTCCTCATTTGAATTCCATGCTGTCACAGTCACTAGCCCATTTAAGCTTAATATCCTTGTCATCTATCGCCCTCCAGGTTCCCTTGGAGAGTTCATCAATGAGCTTGACGCCTTGATAAGTTCCTTTCCTGAGGATGGCTCACCCCTCACAGTTTTGGGGGATTTCAACCTCCCTATGTCCACATTTGACTCATTTCTCTCTGCCTCCTTCTTTCCACTCCTCTCCTCTTTTGACCTCACCCTCTCACCGTCCCCCCCTACTCACAAGGCAGGCAATACGCTTGACCTCATCTTTACTAGATGCTGCTCTTCTACTAATCTCACTGCAACTCCCCTCCATGTCTCCGACCACTACTTTGTTTCCTTTTCTCTCTCGCTCTCCTCCAACACTACTCACTCTGCCCCTACACAGATGGTAATGCGCCGCCGCAACCTTCGCTCTCTCTCTCCCACTACTCTCTCCTCTTCCATCCTATCATCTCTTCCCTCTGCTCAATCCTTCTCCCTCCAATCTCCTGATTCTGCCTCCTCAACCCTCCTCTCCTCCCTTTCTGCATCCTTTGACTCTCTGTGTCCCCTATCCTCCCGGCCGGCTCGGTCCTCCCCTCCAGCTCCGTGGCTTGATGACTCATTGCGAGCTCACAGAACAGAGCTCCGGGCAGCGGAGCGGAAATGGAACAAAACTAAACTCCCTGCCGACCTGGCATCTTTTCACTCCCTCCTCTCTACATTTTCTTCATCTGTTTCTGCTGCTAAGGCCACTTTCTACCACTCTAAATTCCAAGCATCTGCCTCTAACCCTAGGAAGCTCTTTGCCACATTTTCCTCGCTCCTGAATCCTCCTCCCCCCCCCCCCCCCCCTCCTCTCTCTCTGTGGATGACTTCGTCAACCACTTTGAAAAGAAGGTTGACGACATCCGATCCTCGTTTGTTAAGTCTAATGACACTGCTGGTCATACTCACACTGCCCTACCCTATGCTTTGACTTCTTTCTCCCCTCTCTCTCCAGATAAAATCCTGCGACTTGTGACTGCAGGCCGCCCAACAACCTGCCCGCTTGACCCCATCCCCTCCTCTCTTCTCCAGACCATCTCCGGTGACCTTCTCCCCTACCTCACCTCGCTGATCAACTCATCCTTGACCGCTGGCCATGTCCCTTCCGTCTTCAAGAGAGCGAGAGTTGCTCCCCTTCTCAAAAAACCAACACTCGATCCCACTGATGTCAACAACTACAGACCAGTATCCCTTCTTTCTTTTCTTTCCAAAACTATTGAGCGTGCCGTCTTTAGCCAACTCTCTTGCTATCTCTCTCAGAATGACCTTCTTGATCCAAACCAGTCAGGTTTCAGGACTGGTCATTCAACTGAGACTGCTCTTCTCTGTGTCACGGAGGCTCTCCGCACTGCTAAAGCTAACTCTCTCTCCTCTGCTCTTGTCCTTCTAGACCTGTCTGCTGCCTTTGATACTGTGAACCATCAGATCCTCCTCTCCACCCTCTCCGAGCTGGGCATCTCCGGCGCGGCTCACTCCTGGATTGCGTCCTACCTGACCGGTCGCTCCTACCAAGTGGCGTGGCGAGAAGCTGTCTCCGCACCACGTGCTCTCACCACTGGTGTCCCCCAGGGCTCAGTTCTAGGCCCTCTCCTTTTCTCCCTATACACCAAGTCACTTGGCTCTGTCATATCCTCACATGGCCTCTCCTATCATTGCTACGCTGACGATACACAACTAATCTTCTCCTTTCCCACTTCTGATAACCAGGTGGCGAATCGCATCTCTGCATGTCTGGCAGACATATCAGTATGGATGACGGATCACCACCTCAAGCTGAACCCTGGCAAGACGGAGCTGCTCTTCCTCCCGGGGAAGGACTGCCCGTTCCATGATCTCGCCATCACGGTTGACAACTCCGTTGTGTCCTCCTCCCAGAGTGCGAAGAGCCTTGGCGTGACCCTGGACAACACCCTGTCGTTCTCCGCTAACATCAAGGCGGTGACCCGCTCCTGCAGGTTCATGCTCTACAACATTCGGAGAGTACGACCCTGCCTTACACAGGAAGCGGCACAGGTCCTAATCCAGGCACTTGTCATCTCCCGTCTGGATTACTGCAACTCGCTGTTGGCTGGCCTCCCTGCCTGTGCCATTAAACCCCTACAACTCATCCAGAATGCCGCAGCCCCCCCCCCCCAAAAAAAAATATTTGTAAAGTGGTTATCCCACTGGCTATAGGGTGAATGCACCAATTTGTGAGTCGCTCTGGATAAGAGCGTCTGCTAAATGACGTAAATGTGCCCTTGAGCAAGGCACTTAACCCTAATTGCTCCTGTAAGTCGCTCTGGATAAGAGCGTCTGCTAAATGACTAAAATGTAAATGTAAATGTAATATTTGCCCATTCTTCAACGCAAAACTGCTCCAGCTCCTTCAAGTTGGATGGGTTCCGCTGGTGTACAGTAATCTTTAAGTCATACCACAGATTCTCAATTGGATTGAGGTCTGAGCTTTGACTAGGCCATTCCAAGACATTTAAATGTTTCCCCTTAAACCACTCGAGTGTTGCTTTAGCAGTACGCTTAGGGTCATTGTCCTGCTGGGATGTGAACCTCCGTCCCAGTCTCAAATCTCTGGAAGACTGAAACAGGTTTCCCTCAAGAATTTCCCCGTATTTAGCGCCATCCATAATTCTTCAATTCTGACCAGTTTCCCAGTTCCTGCCGATGAAAAACATCCCCACAGCATGATGCTGCCACCACCATCCTTCACTGTGGGGATGGTGTTCTCGGGGTGATGAGAAGTGTTGGGTTTGCGCCAGACATAGCGTTTTCCTTGATGGCCAAAAAGCTCCATTTTAGTCTCATCTGACCAGAGTACCTTCTTCCATATGTTTGGGGAGTCTCCCACATGCCTTTTGGCAAACACCAAACGTGTTTGCTTATTTTTTTCTTTAAGCAATGGCTTTTTTTCGGCCACTCTTCTGTAAAGCCCAGCTCTGTGTAGTGTACGGCTTAAAGTGGTCCTATGGACAGATACTCCAATCTCCGCTGTGGAGCTTTGCAGCTCCTTCAGGGTTATCTTTGGTCTCTTTGTTGCCTCTCTGATTAATGCCTTCCTTGCCTGGTCTGTGAGTTTTGGTGGGCGGCCCCCACTTGGCAGGTTTGTTGTGGTGCCATATTCTTTCCATTTGTTAATAATGCATTTAACGGTGCTCTGTGGGATGTTCAACGTTTAAGATATTTTTTTGTAACCTACATCTGTACTTCTCCATAACTTTGTCCCTGACCTGTTTGGAGAGCTCCTTGGTCTTCATGGTGCCGCTTGCTTGGTGGTGCCCCTTGCTTAGTGGTGTTGCAGACTCTGGGGCCTTTCAGAACAGGTGTATATATACTGAGATCATGTGACAGATCATGTGACACTTAGATTGCACACAGGTGGACTTTATTTTACTAATTATGTGACTTCTGAAGGTAATTGGTTGCACCAGATCTTATTTAGGGGCTTCATAGCGAAGGGGGTCAATACATACGCATGCACCCCTTTTCCATTTTTTTCATTTCACTTCACCAATTTGGAGTATTTTGTGTATGTCCATTACTTGAAATCCAAATAAAAATCCATTTAAATTACAGGTTGTAATGCAACAAAATAGGAAAAACGCCAAGGGGGATGAATACTTTTGCAAGGCGCTGTATGTATCATGCACAGTGCATAGGGTAATATGATATTATTAAATTAATAATTCATAGGAAATTACATATTTTCTACAAATGATATGTTTCAGTCTAGGCCTATGTTATAGTTATTTTACATTGTGTGGCTGTCTTAGTGGACAGACAGATAAGAAATATTATCATGGCAGACAGTCATGTGTACAATTAGAATGCCATAAATCCAGTACAGACAGATAAACAGTAAACTAATGCAGGGGTGTAAAGACAATATAACCAATGGGGCCATCTTTACATTCTTACCATCAAGAGCAGAGGGTCCTGAATTCTTATTCTCCTCCGCAAGCATCACCTCTTCTGCAAAGCAGACCCAACAATGAAGTCTGATTCATACAGTAGGAAGGTAAATATCAAGGACATTGTGTTTCTGAGGTAACCTTTAAAAAGCATGACGTGTATTGGGTCTATAGCGTAATACAGACAGTGGTTTCAGTACCTGCTCTGTCGATCCAGGCTCGGTAGCCATTGAGTTCCCGCTCAATTTGCTGTTGCCTCCGTAGCTTCATGAACGCCCTGCGGTTTTCCACCCGCTCCCTCTCCTTGGCAAACTCCCTGCAAGCCAAACACAACAGCAGATAATTACTGTTCTGGGACCTGTTGTTCAGCGCTGACCTGGCCTCCCTCATCATTCAGACAACAGGGGAGAGAAGGGGTGTGGAGGGGGAGACTCAAACCTTGTCTTCTTTCCATGCAGTTAATTAGAGTATTTTGTGCATTAACCTTTTGTATAAAACCCATTAACTTGTACAGACAGTGACAGAGTGTATAAAAGACATGTCAGCCACCCCGGCACAATGTGGCAGTGCCACGGTGCTGCTGTAACGTTAAGGTGGACTCACCCTGAGAGCACTCCCAAAACCAGGTTCAGCACGAAGAAGGAGCCGATGATTATCAGAGGGATGAAGTACATGCAGTTCCACGTGGGGCCTAAGGCATCATTGGTCTGTGGAGATACAACACAAACAGCAGACAATAACCAGGAGATATTGAATCCAGGAGAAAGCACTGTATTATTATACTGTACCAACACAAAATATGGAGCCCCACATTGTTGTTCCACACCTGAGATCCATGAGTATAAATCATATTTTGACATCATCATCAATGCATGATTTGTGCAAAGTGGAAGTTACAGTCCTATCTCAAGACAGGATTGAGCCCTATGGACATGCATGTCTCTGGCACAAATACAACAAAGTCATGGTACCAATATAATATTTTTTGATGAAACATGTTCAAATCATCTATGACTTTGTTGAGCTTCACAATCAATTTTAGATACTTTAGGATGATTTGGTTATGATGCGTGAAAAATGCTAATTACGGTACTAGGACCTGGATGGGATTTGTGCCACAAATGCTTCAACATTAGCATTTGGAAACAGTGACAGGGAAATAAAACCAAAGCATGGATTGCTGTCATACCTTGTCCATAAACTGCTTACAGGTGAAGGAAACCAACGTGTCATTTTGTAATTTGGGTGTGCTATCCCTTAATTATCTAAAAGCTGGTGTTACCACGATCCAAAGCAATTGTTAACAAGTAAACATGGCTATGACTATCTCCTGACTAAAGCCAGTGTAAAACGTTCTGGCTTGTGTTCCATTGACCTGCTGTGCACTTTGTCTGCATGCTGCTGCACCTTGGGTATTTGTGCTTTGTCAGACAGCAGCGTACAGAGTCAGAGAGTGGTAGTCTTTAACTAGCTATTAGGCTGTACCACGGTCAGTAATGAGTCAGGCAGAGGCTAGCTGACTGACTACAGGAAGTAACCGAGTTCAAACACACATCCTCAGTCTCACAGTTATACAGAGGTCTCATTAACTTAATGAGGGGGCCTATTCTGTTCTCTACCTCCATGTGACAATTCCCTTTGTCCACGATTCATAAACGGTTTTCACTGTAACTTGAATCTGGACTTCGGGGAACATAATGGATATATGTGAAACTGAAAACCAAGTTGATCTGCGTTAAATAAAACAGCAGGATATAGTGTGCAGCAGAGAGGCAGCAACTGCCTGCTGGTGTCTCAATCCTAGAGAGAACAGAAGTATTGATTAGTACTGGGCCAACATGAGAGGGGAGAGTGGATCCTGTATGGCAGTAAGTGGATTCTGTATTAGAGAATGCAATGAAAACAATAAAGAGCAGCATCTGTACTCAACGTTGTTTTCGCAGACTGCAATGAAGTGGGTGGAATGGTTTGTTTGTGAGTGACTTACTGAGAGTCTGTGTACGTGTACATGTGAAAAGTTTCATTCCAAAACGCTATATATCCATTTTCAGAAATGTTAGTAAATTAGCTTTTATTGTTTAAAGAAATTATGAAAGAGATGGTGTGTTTTTTCACTATCTAATCATGGCATGGGGTTGTTTAATGACAGACACATATTTGTTTAAAATCTATCACTTGATGGTTTCATTTCAGAGAGACAAATAATCATGTTCTTTTGCAAAATGCTCTATCTATATCCACTTCACTCTTAGAGAAATAAGTAGTACTGCTAGGTTTTACACAGTCAAATGTAACAAATAACAAAAATGTTTATAAAGAAATGTACAAATTCAACATTTGTAACATGTAAAAAAAAAAAAATTATTCCAGTAATATGAGCTTTATATGTAAAAAACGAAATACAAGTTTGGCATGGTCCCACAAATCCTGAAAAGGTTCTACAGCTGTACCATTGAGAGCATATTGACTGGCTGCATCACTGCTTGGTATGGCATTACCACCGCCCTCGATCGCATGGACCTACAGAGGATTGGGCGGACAGCTCAGTACATCACTGGAGCCGAGCTCCCTGCCATCCAGGACCTCTATATCAGGCGGTGTGAAAAGAAGGCCCGGAAAATCATCAAAAATCCCAACCACCCAAGCCATAGACTATTTTCTCTGCTGCCGCACAGCAAGAGGTACCGGTCCATCAAGTCCAACACCAACAGGCTCTTGAACAGCTTCTATCCCCAAGCAATACGACTGATAAATAGCTAACAAAATAGCTACAAGGAGTTTACCTTGTATCTTTATTTACCTTTTATTTCAATATTTGCACTGTCTCTATGCACACTCACAGGGCCCTATACACACACACACACACACACACACACACTGTCACTCCAACACACACACAAACACTCACTCCATCATTTGCTCCCTCACACATAATATGCACATACATTTATATTGACTCTACACACACGCACACCCACTCACATACAAGCTGCTGCTACTGTTTATCTTATATCCTGTTGCCCAGTCCCCTTACCCCTATACATATCTACCTCTATCAGTCCAGTATCCCTGCACATGTAAATATGGTATTGGATCAGACTTTTGAAATATTTTCAGTATATAGTATGCTTACTTACTTACTTTATTGTGTATTTCATATTTCCTATTTCCTATTCTTATTTCTCATGTGTTTTTTTTCCTAGTAATACATTGCATTGTTGGGTTTTGAGTTTGCAAGAAAGTCATTACACTGTTCTTGTGCATGTGACATTAAAACTTGAAAGTTAAAACATTTACATTTGAAATTTTAGTCATTCAGCAGATGCTCATCCAGGGCGATTTATAGTAAGTACATTCATCTTAAGATAGCTAGGTGAGACAACCACATATCAGAGTCAAATATTTTGGATAAGAAAAAATTCCATTCCAGCTAAACAATGGATATATAGCGTTTTGCAAAAAAAACACATTTTCATACACATCTAAATTCTATGAATTAAAAATCGAAGAAAGCAGTAATATTTTACACACACATGAAGGAACCCATAAGCAATCATTACTGATGAAAAAACCCAAATGTGAAAAATTGGTGGATGTAGCGTTTTGGAAATAAACTCTTCATGTGCACATGTGTTTGACTGAGTGTGTGTGTATGTGCATGCAGTGTGTGTATTCCTGTAGAAAGGAATATGAAACAGCATTAGAGAAACTCTCTTGTCTGCTAGCCCTTTTAACCAGAACAGACTCTCATTATCTACCCTCCACTGTCTCTCTTCATTCCTTAATAAATTCCATTCACCTTAATGTAAGTCAACATAATATAATCACGGCAGAAAATCATCTGCCTCGATCTATTTAAATAAAGAGCTGTGAAAGCAGTGAGCAGAAAGTATGGCCTGGCATCTACAGTGCCTTGCAGAAGTATTCATCCCCTTTGGCGTTTTTCCTATTTTGTTGCATTACAACCTGTAATATAAATTGATTTTTATTTGGATTTCATGTAATGGACATACACAAAATAGTCCAAATTGGTGAAGTGAAATGAAAAAAAAAACTTGTTTCAAAAAATTCGAAAGAATAAATAACGGAAAAGTGGTGCGTGCATATGTATTCACCCCCTTTGCTATGAAGCCCCTAAATAAGATCTGGTGCAACCAATTACCTTCAGAAGTCACATAATTAGTGCAATCTAAGTGTCACATGATCTCAGTATATATACACCTGTTCTGAAAGGCCCCAGAGTCTGCAACACCACTAAGCAAGGGGTACCACCAAGCAAGCGGCACCATGAAGACCAAGGAGCTCTCCAAACAGGTCAGGGACAAGGTTGTGGAGAAGTACAGATCAGGGTTGGGTTATAAAATATTATCAGGAACTTTGAATATCCCACGGAGCACCATTAAATCCATTATAAAAAAATTGAAAGAATATGGCACCACAACAAACCTGCCAAGAGAGGGCCGCCCATCAAAACTCACAGACCAGGCAAGGAGGTCATTAATCAGAGAGGCAACAAAGAGACCAAAGATAACCCTGAAGGAGCTGCAAAGCTCTACAGCGGAGATTAGAGTATCTGTCCATAGGACCACTTTTAGCCGTACACTCCACAGAGCTGGGTTTTACAGAAGAGTGGCCAGAAAAAGCCATTGCTTAAAGAAAAAAATAAGCAAACACGTTTGCCAAAAGGCACGTGGAAGACTCCCCAAACATATGGAAGGAGGTACTCTGGTCAGATGAGACTAAAATTGAGCTTTTTGGCCATCAAGGAAAACGCTATGTCTGGTGCAAACCCAACACCTCTCATCACCCCGAGAACACCATCCCCACAGTGAAGCATGGTGGTGGCAGCATCATGCTGTGGGGATGTTTTTCATCAGCAGGGACTGGGAAACTGGTCAGAATTGAAGGAATGATGGATGGCGCTAAATAAAGGGAAATTCTTGAGGGAAACCTGTTTCAGTCTTCCAGAGATTTGAGACTGGGACGGAGGTTCACCTTCCAGCAGGACAATGACTCTAAGCATACTGCTAAAACACCACTTGAGTGGTTTAAAGGGAAATATTTAAATGTCTTGGAATGGCCTAGTCAAAGCCCAGACCTCAATCCAATTGAGAATCTGTGGCATGACTTAAAGATTGCTGTACACCAGCGGAACCCATCCAACTTGAAGGAGCTGGAGCAGTTTTGCCTTGACGAATGGGGGGGTCTTATTCCTTGTTTGTTTCACAGTAAAAAATATTTTGCATCTTCAAAATTGTAGGCACGTTGTGTAAATCATTTAAATTCCAGGTTGTAAGGCAACAAAATAGGGAAAATGCCAAGGGGGGTGAATACTTTCGCAAGCCACTGTTTGCTCTGTGGGTAGGCCTGTCATACACTGTGCTACACTGGTAGTCAAGCAGTGAAAATGAAATCTTTAATCAAAATCAATTAAATGTGTTTTCCACTACCTTACAAAAGATGTGTTAGGATAATCTTTCCGTGAATCTCAATCCCAGGGTATCTATGATCTAAACCGTATGATTCCCCTGGTGAGAACAGTGGTTTTCAGAGATTGTGTAGCATATGGCAAGCATGTTATCCTGTGGTGGCCGAACATGCTGCAATGCTGTGTTGACAAGGAATCCGCTGACACTGTACTTGATTATAACTTTTATTACATCATAGATTACAGCATCAATTTACAGACTTCTGCAGAGTCTGGAGA